AAAAAGTTCTTTAGAACTTACGACAGAGAAAAATCAAAGATTTTCCTTGATTTAAGTAAAAACAATCTTTGGATTGTCACGGGGTTTCTAACAGGACACTGTCTCCTCAACGAACACCTGTAGTAGGCTGAAGCTGAAAAACAACGGCGAATGCAGATTCTGTGGGGAAAATGGGGAAACACCTTATCACTGAGTGCGCCGAGACGACCACCCTTCGTGCCATGAACTTTGGTACGGCTGATGTCGAGAATGGAGAGGCTGGCCTCTCAGCCATCTCAGATACTGGCTTTTGTTAAAGCCCTGAGACTGTATGATAAGTTATAACTCGTTATAACTCAAGAAAGGGAAACACACAATAAATCTGTAAGGTCGCGGTGATTAAATCCCCTCCTAATATCCTACATTTTAGAGGTTCAGTTCAATTTTCAGTTTAGTTTCAGTTCAGTTGTCCGTTCGGTTCAAAAATAACGATCTATTTAGACAATCAGTTGTGTTTTCATTGCTGCCATGCACAGTGCACTCGCCATGGATGAAGAATTACTAATTCCATGAACTTTGGCCTTAGGACTGAATAAGAAACCAAGAAAGAAAATAAATAAATGGAGCAAGGACTGGCTTCTTAAGAGAATATCACTGTCTCATGTAATATAATGAAGAAACGTCACTTTGAACCTTCTGATTGTTCATTCTATTCAGAGTGTCATTTTCTATCGAATAAAGTAAAAAAATACCGAGGGTGCCGGTTAAAAATCAAAAGTTGTAGTCATTTTCGGTGAAACAGGAAGTGACCGAAAATAATTGAATACGTTAATCAATCCTAATTTCTGTCACATACTATCATACCAAATATTCTTTTTTTTCTAAAAAATTAAAAAAATTATAGGGGTTAGCCACTTTTGAGACGCACCCGGTATATCTGAGTATGCTACTGCGAAAACTATGGCGAAAACTAACAAAACTAACAGTATAATTTTTAACGCATGCTTACTCAGTGTCTAATTTTTCATTTTATGACACTTGTATTCAGTGGAGGATCTAGACTCTAGAAGAGAAAGAAGAAAGAACCTCGAATCCTCGAAAAGACAATCTCAAAGGGGACTCAATGGGGGTCTAGGTCCCTTTAGGATAGACCATAGACCCGCCTCTCCTTGTAACAATATTAATGCACCTTTCAGTTCTTGAATTAAGCCCCCGATACACTTTGGTTATTTTGCCCTTTTTTAACTGAATGGGCAGGACTGTTCAGTTAAAACCGTCAGTGTATGAGTGTGTTCGGCCTAGTTTTGCTGATTCGTTCATTATGTTTCTTCACAACGAGGTCTATAAGTTTAATATACTGAGAGCAAAGTGCTAAAATACATACAGGATGCGGATACATATAAAAATCTAATTTTTACATATATCGTATGATCAAAAAAAAAACGGCGTCCAGTTGGCTGGGAAATGACGATCGATGACACTTCCCATATAAATTTACATATAAAATAACAGCGATCTTCATCTCATAGCCATGGCTGACACCGTTTTTTTCGATCATATTGTATTTATGAATAATAATTTTTTAACAGGGTGGCAATCAAAAAGTGGCCGCAAATAGGGGTTGCCACGGTTTAAATCCGTTCCTACTACCATTGTTTTTATACCGTATGATCTAAAAAACGGCGTCAGCGATGGCTATGAGATGAGGATCGCTGTCATTTTATATGTAAATTTATATGGGAAATGCATCGACGTTTATTTCCAAGCAAACTGCACGCCAATTTTTTTCGATCATACAGTACTATACATATAATATAAAAATATTGCTACTACTTATACAGGTCCGACAATAGTGCGTCGGGCATCTGTAGATCATATAATAAAAAACTTTGTCATATAATAAAAAACGAATTTTATATAAGCGCAAACCTAAAGCACAGCTTAAAGTATAAAATTTCAGGAAAATATTTTAACTTCTAGAGGAAGGTTCAAAAAAGTGTGAGTCAAACTTTGAGAAACTTTCTGATCGCTTTACATATTATATTATACAGGGTGAGTCTTAAATAAGTGCAAATATTTTCAGGGATGGTAGATCTCGATAAAAGAAACATATTTTCTCTTTACCATTTTTCAAATAAATCCAAAATAACCGAGTTTTTAAATTTGAAAATTAAAAAAAAAATTATTTTTGGAAAAATTTTGAGAGCCACCGAATTTTTTCTGTATTTGCATCCCTTTTAGTGCCGTAACCATAGATTAAATCCATAACTATGGTAATATCACAGAATATCTAGCTACGCAACAGAAAAATACTCGAAATGAAAGAGCTAAAATTGCACAAATAAAATACCAGATGGCGCGACAATATCATAATCAGAATATAATTGGAAATTTTCAACTTTCGGTTTTGGATCGACGTAGATCGACGGCAAGTCGACGGCCTTGAAGCTCGGCAAAATATGCACAGTTGCCAGATTCAAACAGACTTTAATTGGCATCCCATTCTTTTTCTGGTGTATAATAATTTCTTTCTATTCTTCGTTTCTTGTCAGATACACTTATATTAATTATTCGTTTGGCTTTTAAAATTAGAATAAATTAATAAAAATAAAAAATAAATTAGAAAACATATGCTCTCAAAATACATTTTTAATATACACTACTTTATTATGTTAACGAAGAAAATAACTTTAATTACCTTTAAAATTAATAATATACAGGGTGTTTGATAGTGATATTTATTAATGCTGAAACGTTAGTAATGAAATATACGTTTAATAATAATGGAAATGATTTATTAAAATGCAGTACAAAAAATGTTAATTGACTAAAAAAATTCTATAATAACAAATTTTTTCTGTTTGCCATGTTATTTATATAGACCTAAGTAGATTTTAAAAAGTGACACAGGTACAATTAATAATATATTAGTTCGGCATAAAATTTGCTGTCACCGACATAGTATAATAAATTAAAATTCGTAAAATAAATTAAAATTTTTAATTAAACAAATCTTTATAAAGAAACACAAGTATATCAAATTTGGGCCCAATCGAACGCCAGGAAATGGTATCGTAATATGGTACTACATTATGGTACCCCTTGATACGCTTCATGGTACCATAATATTGTAATGTCATCAAAAATACGCAAGTATAGTCAAATATGAGCTCAATCGAACGTCAGGAAGTGGTATCGTAATATGGTACTATATTAAGGTACCACTTTATATGCATCATAGTACCATCATATTAAAATGTCACCGAAGATACTTATACTATACCAAGTATAAGTCCAATCGCACGCCAGGAAATGGTATCGTATATGGTATTATTATGGTACCTCTTGATATGCTTCATGGTACCATAATATTAGAATGTCACTGAAGATACGTAATATAAATATGCCGTTTAAGCCCAATCGAACGCTATGTATCGTAATATGGTACTATATTACGGTATCACTTGATATGCTTCATGGTACCATAATATAGCAATGTCATGAAAAATACGCAAGTATATATCAAATACCGTATGATACCGAAAAAAAAACGGCGTCCAATTGGCTGGGAAAAGACGATCGATGACATTTCCCATATAAATTTACACATAAAATGACAGCGGTTTTCATTTCATAGCAATCGCTAACGCCATTTTTTCCCGATCATACGGTATGAACACAATTGAACGTCAGGAAGTGGTGTCATAATAGTAGAACAATACTTATTATATTGTCGCCGAATTACAATCAAAATTTAGGATTCAGTTAGAATCAAACGTCAGGAAGTGATTTTAATTCAGCTCGTAAGATTTAACTCCAACTAACATGGCAAGTTAAATACTTAAACGTTTGAAAAAAGAGCTCTAATCAATTTTAATATGTTTAAATGATGTAGCAAATTTGAACGTAGGCTTTATCAGGAAGTATTACAATATAAATTACACAATGGCAACACTGCATAAAATTCTTTTAAATTTCGTTTGTAGAAAACTGTTTTCTTTTAAATTTATCGCCCTCTGTTATGTAGTAGTGAAACTACCGCATCAAAATATCTGATTTGGAGACAGGTTTTAAAAGTCTGTCTCCTTTTGAGACCTACGATTTTTTACATGTAACGAGGCTTCTGTTGCGTAGCTGGATATTCTGTGGTAATACCCTGTAATATCAGAGATCAAAGAAATTATACCGTGGGAAAATTTGCGGTGAACAGGCAGTTCTAAAAAGTTTTCGAAAAATATACAGGGAAATTTAAAAGAAAATGCACGCTTTTCAACATCTTTTTTTGCGAAGAAAACCACATAGAAGTGTTCCTGGGATCGAATATACCACCCCTGAAAATATTTGCACTTATTTAAGACTTACCCTGTATAAGATATTATAAAATATGTTTTGGTAGTTTCAGAAATAATAATAAATAGATAAGTAAAAAAATATTTTGGTCAGCCTTTTTTTAAATTATTAAAAATACTATACTAGGCATTTACTATAGTTGACCTGTACTTACTTTGCTATATATATCATAATCTTAAACCATACAGGGTGTTCAAAATTCTATATCAAACTTTCTAAATTATAAAATAGGTTTTCTTGGCTTTTTTATTGAAATGCCCCGTATATTTCTATGCTGCGGTGGATTGAACATTTTTTGTATTTAAAGCATTTTAAAATTTTTAGCGGTTTTAAATAAGTTAGTTTGTGATATTACTTACTAAAGTAACTAGAAAATAATACAGATAAAAAGAAGATATCTTCCATGTCCACATTTCGTCTAACGCCAGCATTATTTTGCCATTAAAACAATTTTTAAAGGCTACTGTGACGCCGGTTTTTTTTTCTCGATCATAAGATATTTTTTGTAAATTTAATTTTAAGTTTTAATTAAATTTATGTATATTTTATTTAAGAAGAGAAAAAATACAATAAAATGTTATTGTACAAATAAGTAAACAAAAATATATTATTTTAAACTAAAAATTGTCGGCAACGCTTCCAAATGTTTATTCCTCGAACTAATCGGACTGTCCAAAGTTCGATTATCTCGCCATTCCGCTAACAAATCGAAGTCTACATTTTAGTATTCCGCGGCGTACATAGATGGTGCACAATGCAACCAGGAAAAACATTACACATGTTAATAAATCGCCTAGACAAAAATTTGTCATTTCGCCGGGTTTCCTTGTCAGTTTCGGTAGTTTCTACAGTGATTAACAAATTTTCAACCATGGCATACTCTGTTATTGAACGGGGGTCTCCTTACTCAGCTGATTACAGAGTTTACCTACGTAAGTTGATTTTCTTATCAGAGTTCAAGCTACTTAACCTAGTAACTTACTTAAGTTACCTTGAACTTAACACTATTTAACAGTTCTATCATCACAATTTAATAGTCTAGTATGTATGTTATTCAATCTTTATCCTTATTTTTATATAGAAACCCAAAATGGACCAATATCCCCTTTACATGACATCCCTTTGGTTGTTGATGCAGACAAGAAAATCTTTAACATGATTGTTGAGGTACCCAGATGGACCAACGCAAAAATGGAAGTAAGTATACATTATTTTATTAATACAGTCACATAAATCAACAGCCTTATGAAGCAATATCTGTAATATTTTTAGATTTCCCTCAAAGAATATCTGAACCCTATTAAACAAGATGTTAAAAAAGGCAAACCACGATTTGTGGCAAATTGTTTTCCACATCATGGTTACATATGGAACTATGGTGCCTTACCTCAAACCTGGGAAAACCCGGAACATTTAGATGATGCAACAGGATGTAAGGGAGACAATGATCCAATCGATGTTCTTGAAATTGGGTATAGGATAGCTAAAAGAGGTGAAGTTATCCCTGTTAAAATATTGGGAACCCTTGCTCTTATTGATGAAGGTAAGATAATTTTTATTTTTAATTTGCAAGCATTTCACCATTGTCTATATTTTAATATTGACAACATAATATGTTGTTTAATGAATTTGCTTGTTAAGTACCGTATGATAAAAAAAATATGTCCCGTTGCCTGTGAAATGACAATCCATGACATTCCTCATATTTACATACAAATAACTGTGATTTTCATTGCCAATTTCCAGGCCATCTCAGACAGTTTTATTTTCAAATCATACAATATTTTTAGTATGTACATACAGAGGTAATGTTACAAGAAATTTTCTATCAATATTTCAGATGTTTTAAGGTTATCTTGTAGGTCAATACTACAATAATTGAAATATGTAGTAGCCCTGGCATTTCAAGCGTGCATGTTAGAATAATTGAGAAAATAATATTAGGGTTTGTCATGTTTCTAGAGTCCTTGAATTACTAACTTTTTATTAGGGATGCTATTCATGTCATGTCAACTTCATAAACACTATAATTTTCATATTGATTTTTCATAAAAACTAGGTATTTATCTCATGTAATAATCAGGAAGTTTGGAATACATTTTAGTTTATATTTAATAACTATTAATTTTATTTTATATCTAAAATAAAATTACTCATGCAACAAGCCTATAAAAAGTTATTAATTTTTTTACAACTATTTATACAATTTACATACTCATAAGGAAGTTTGTCTACATTTTCTAATTTAGTACATATTTAGAATAAAATAATCTTTTTTTATCATATCTAAGAAAAAATTATTAATAACATAGAGCATTATTTTAGTAACCTTGAAAAATAATATTGAATTTCTAGTTATTAATCATAGAAAGGAAACTACTATAATATTTATACCTAGGTACTATACTTTCACTTTAATAGGAAATGATAGTAAATCTTAAACATCAAGTACTTTTATAAAATGTCTATGACTATAATTATTTAATTATTGTTCTCTCTTATACAGGTCAATGTATGCACTTATAATAACTAAGTCCAAACCACGTTCTAATAATATATCTTTAAAATATTTTAGTTTTTTTTATCAAATTTATTTAAAAACGTCATTATTGGCGTATTTTGTGTGTGATAAATGACAAAATATTGACCTTTGATGTTATCGGCAGTGAAAATTAAATGTAAAGGTTATTACAATTAACAACCATTGTAGTTAATTTATTTTTATTTTGAAAATAGTAGGGGGCATGTATCTGCTTTACGATCAAATAAAATTATATTGGAGTCAAACTATGAATAATAATTGTTTATTTTATAATAATTCTTTATTTTATTTTATTTAAAGTAGGGACAAATATTGTTCTGTCACAGCAGGTTATAAACTATGTATACAGGGTGGTCGTCGTAAAAAAGTTTGTAGAAAGGTATGTCCTAAAATGCTTAGTTTCGGACATACCGGGTGTAGAAGTTTCATATTTATTTCAATTTTTTCGAAATAATTTATGAAGTGACGTAAATATTTGGATGAAAATTGGTGTCTGGGAGTTTTTTGACATGAGTAATTTGAATTTAATGTCAATATTACTCCTACTTGTAGAAGGCGCCACCTACATATTTTTTAACTGGTTTGAAGAGTAATAACTTTTAGTCCGAACCTGTATAAAGCTGCTTAGTCAAAAAATATACATTTACGACATTTTTTACGTAAATAAGGTTTTTGGGAAAAATCGCTACGAGTAATGATACTTGAAATATTTGGAATTGAAATTATCAATACCTGTCATCGCATTGACATAAATTAAACATGTTGATTAAATAGTTATTAAACTGAAATCATAAATTTGAAAAGTTTTTGTACCAAATGTTGAACAGAAACTGTTTTATTATCATTTTTTCGGAGAAAAATTTTTGTTTAATTTAAAAAAATAAGAAGTTCCCCAATTTATCATTTTAGTCAAATAACTATCTACTCGACATGTTTATTTTTTGTCAATAATAATATGTATTGATTATTTCCATTGAGAACGGAAGTTATTACTCTTCAAAACAGTTAAAACACATGTAGTTGGCGCCCCCTACAAATAGGAGTCATATGGACATCAAAATCAATTTTCTCGTGTCAAAAAACTCCAGACACCAATTTTCATCTAAATATGTATTGATGTTACTTCAGAAATTATTTGGAAAAAATCGAAATAAAAATGAAACTTCTACACCCTGTATCTCCGAAACTAAGCATTTTAGGACATATGTACATTTATAAGAACTTTTTACTTATTTCTATGTGCAGAATATGCTACCGAAGTGTTCGGAATACAGTTCGGACCACTCTGTATAGGGTGCCTCAGTATCCCAAAATAGCTCCATATGAGGTTTTCTATTTTAGACTTTCATTTCACCTATTTTTAGGGTTCCGGATTTTCCTCTAATGTCCTCTGTAATGTCCTCATTATGTCCGGATTTTCACTACATCCGGTTGGGTCCTATTTAAAAAAATATGCCGCAAATGTAGTGCAAAAAATATGCCGCAAAAGTAGTTACTTTTTTTCATAAAAGCCGATATTACTGGTTAGGTATAAGATTTTTTAGTTTTAAATTTATTATTTTCACCTGCCACACAATAAATCGAATTCATTAACTCTCCAAGTAAAAAATTGGATTATAGAATTAACTAAAATAAAGAATGAGTGTGTAAAGCGTTTTGAACAAGAAAGAAAATTTTTGGTTTCGCCGGAAATGGCTACAACTTTTGATTTTTAAATGACACCCTCGGTATTTTTTAATTTATTTGATAGAAAAGGACACTCTGAATAGAATGACGTTTCATATGTCAACTTTTGTCATTTTTGCATATGGTTTAATTGAAATTGTAACATGCGCTTCATAACGACAATTTGACTCGAAATACCAAGTGTGTGGTACCAAATTATTCAAAATAAAACACTAAATCACCACAAAACACTATTACTTTTACGCATCATCAGCAGATGATTAAAACTGAGTTTTAATTATCTCCTGATGATGTTAACCGAACCCAACCTAGCGAAACGCGCGTTCAGTGTAAAAGTAAAAGTGTTTTGGTGTTTTATGATGATTTTGCTGTGTAACATCAAAGGCTCCAACCCCCAACTGTAACCAAACTATTCGTAAAGAAATGCTTTTTCCAAATATGCAAATGAGCCACCCTTGTTCCATTTGAAAAACGTGAAATAACAATTATTAAAAATACGATTTGGGTATCTTTTAATCAGCCAGGACAAGTCAGCCATGAAAAGCATTAGATGATCAAATTTATTTTTCAAAAGCTCCTTGATTATAGATTAGTGTTTTTAACACATCATTAGAAATGACAATAAAATCAATCATATCAAATGAATTGTTTTAAACGGTAATCTATTATAAACTTTTATTTTTACATATGATAATGTCAAAAAAATATTGATATTCAACTATGAGAACTAAAACCATATGGATTTTAGTATAAGATTGTGAGCAATATTTAAAAATAGAAGTAATAAAAAATAATCTAAAGACACCCTTTTATGATCATTGATTTAGGTTTAAGTTTTGTAAATAGACTTTTTATACTGCAGTATATTGATCACCGTAATTATTCAAATTATAATATTTTACCAGGTTCCTTTTGTTTAAAGAAAAAACATCAATGAAAGTAGGAAGGAGACAAAATGTTAAATGGATACTGTAGTATTCCACCTCGCATACTGGCTACTGATGTATCCAGCAATAAAGTAGACAATCTTTGTTATGTTATGAATTTATGAATAGCCTATTCATTAGACAGCCAGTCAATATTTTTTTTGTTGAGGGAAAAAATCTTGCATAAGACACCCAAAGTTTCAAAAAAAGTCATACTATACTAGAAATTCATTTACCCAGTAGTATTTATAAAAAGCATTTTTGGTAAACTCTGTCTCAAATTGTTTCTGAAAAAAAAATAATTTTTTTAAAAGGTCCGATTAAATTTATATCTCCGAAACTAAAGTTTCAAAAAAAGTCATACTATACTAGAAATTCATTTACCCAGTAGTAGTTATAAAAAGCATTTTTGGTAAACTCTGTCTCAAATAGTTTCTGAAAAAAAAATAATTTTTTTAAAAGGTCCGATTAAATTTATATCTCCGAAACTAAAGTTTCAGAAAAGTGCCGGATTCCTACCAGATAAAAAAAACCCTCCTCCAACTACCGCTTTACACCGGAATCCTCTCTCGCTTCACTGCAAAGGGTGTGTAGATTTATCTTATCATGCTCTTTGTCTTTCTTCTCTGTCTTTACACTTTATGATACTTCGGACTCTCCGATACATTAGCGTCCAATGTTCTTCCCCTTCAACTAAGTATACCGTAAATGTGGGTAAGTCGATGTCCTTGCCGACTTCCATACGGTATTGCTCTTTAAAGACCTGCCATCGTTCGCACGCAAACAGTGTATGCTGAACAACTCTACAACGATCATACACATATTTTCTAAAACACCCATGGCCAGACAATGCTTGACTCATGAAGTAATCCACTTCTCCGTATGATCTGTTCAACCATAGTTGAATGTCAGGTATTAACCTCACGTCCGGTATGTCCTCGCTAGATCCTTATTCATCCCATAGTATCTATCATATCGTTCCTGTATGAGCAGTTCAATAGGTGCCAGTCACTTACATGGATCTCTGTGTACCTACCTAGATCTTCGCTAATCTTACGTAACAATCGGATTCTGATCATTCCATGCTCTGCCAACCTGCATGTGTAGAACAGGAGCGGCAGATCAAGTCCAGGTACTTCAAAACAATAGACTGTCTAACCAAAGTTTACAGAATTTTGGTCCAACCAAAGGATCTCCGACACTGACAGTTTTGTCTGTCATTTTAATTTACAGGCAAATTATATTTTCTGTCATTTTTTGAATCTCGAAATCTTGCCTTAATTGTTGGACAGACTATAACGTAGATGACCAGCTGGCAGTGAATAAGCTGTGATACAAGTTACAAAAAATAACCAAAATATTTTATTAACCATTTACATAAATGTTTATACTAAAAGTCTCTAGAGATTAAAATCATGTTTGTTTATTTTGTGATATATACCAAATATTTAAAATTTATTTTTTAATTGCAGGCGAAACAGACTGGAAATTAGTTGCAATCGATGTGAACGATCCAGCAGCTGATTCCGTGAACGACATTGCCGACGTAGAAAAACTGTTTCCTGGTTTATTAAAAGCCTCTGTCGAATGGTTCAAAATATACAAAATACCAGATGGCAAACCTGAAAATCAGTTCGCATTCAACGGTGAAGCAAAATCTGCCTCTTTTGCGCATAAAATTGTTGATGAGGTAAGACCAGAATTTGACATCGTCGTTGTCGCTTGCAGTGGGATTCTAGGTTTGTTCCACCCAGCATTTCGGGATCGTTTCGAAATTAGGTTTTCTTGCACTTTGTTAGCATGCGCGGACTTCGAATAGTTTCGTGACGGTGCAAAAAGTATCAACGTTGGAACGCTTTGGCTCTGTTCCCAGAAGAATCCCTGACTAGTCAGCGCGTTTCTTATTGGTTGAAATGTGTAGAAACCAGACTAACAATCAGGTTTCTAGGCATTTTAACCAATAAGAAACGTGCTGACTAGTCAGGGATTCTTCTGGGAACAGACCTTTTGTCTACTGTTTTCGGGACTGTCAAAAAAGTCAAGCGTGCGTATCGATCGATTTTTGGTTTATGTTTAGAATTTCATAACATAACCCTATTATTTTTGTTTGCAATTTGCAATAATAATTATTATTATTCTTGAAATGGAGAATCAGAATCCAGTAATTGTTTGTAAGTGTTGTTTCAACTGCATACTCACTAACTCACTTACCTATCCTCTCTTTTATGATCCTGTTGTGCGTAGTTTCCTGTTATTTCATTGCAGTGGTAGAATCTTTGAACATTATTTTATAAATAAAAACTTAATTAAAATTTCAAACTCACAAGCAAAAGTATAACGCACACATATTCGAATTCGTAAAAAATAACCAAGACAGAAGCATCAGCCGGACGCCGGACCAAAATCAGCTGTTAAAAATCGATAATCCCTGCCAATATGCTTTAATGCGCAAGTCAACCCAAACAGTTCTCAATTTGGACCATGTACCGAAATTACCGTTCTGAGATCGTAACTAAACGATCCCAAGGTAGGTTGGTACGCAAATAGGATCGTCCGATAACCATCAAATCTCTGTTGGAACACATTTGAATTACTGCGCACGAGCGTGATCGTTCGGTGACAGTTCTGCGGCGGGTTGGAACAAACCTGTAAGCTCCGTAGCAAGAAATTTCCTGTATAGCCTATGTTATTTGTATACGATTTATGAGTCACTAGACAGGAAATATGTTTACAGAATCGGGCCTCTGCTGTATAGTTTATCCAACCAGAGAATGTCTTGAAACTGTCACTAATGACATATATTCTTTTGCTGTACAGACTATAGCATCTTATAATAATAATGTAGTATCAGTGGAAAACGAATAATCAGATAAGAATAATGTGATTTTGTTTCAGGTACATAAATTTTGGAAATTGCTTATCAATAAAGAAGCTGATGCCAACGGAATATCTTGGTATGTTTCTGAATTTATTGTAATAAATCTGTATAAAAAACCTACTACACGATGTTTGAATAAACTCTAATTTGTTATATAGCGTATGACCGAAAAACGGCCTCAATTTACCTTAGATATGCTGTCGTCAAGTTGGCAATCAATGACATACATCATATAATTCTACATCCTAAAGTCTCATTGATCGGCATTTCTAAGGTAACTTGCCGTAAAGTATATTTTATTTATGGGTTAGAAAATAAACATAAATGACACGTTACATTGTTACATTGTTAATAATTTTCATTTTTTTTTTAGTTCAAATACCACTCTAGATGGAAATCCATTCAAAATACCTACAATCGAAGCGAAAAATATTATTAACAAAACACCTGAATATTCTGACCCTCAGCCTCTAGACCCAATTGGTAAGTACTTATTTTAGTTATTGGAAGAAACTTGGCTAAGGAAGGTGGAATCTTTTGTCAGTTCTACCTGAGGTTTTCTTTTGCATATTTGAATTTAATTTGAGTTTTTGCAGATTTGTTGGGCTTACATAAGTTTGTTTTATGTTTTCTCTTATTTATATTATATTTTTTTTACAAAGTATACAAGTTGGGAAATTGGGAAGTATATCTACAATAAATCCTCAAAATTAATTACTTCTTCAGCGCGATTTCAGATAAAAAAAACATGAAAAGCAATGGGACAACTTTTTATCGATAAGAAATAATGTATGTTAGGAGTAGTAAACCAATCAATTAGTATATAATTATGTTTTTATTTTTGCATTTATTTACTACTTGTTATAAGTAACTAGGATACTCAGGTCAATTTCACACAATTTTATTGATACAGGTACTTCTTCCTTAGTCATTTTACTCATTGACTAGAAATAAGTTCATAATTTTGAATCTTAAAATTTGTTCTTGATTGTTTCAAAGAGATATTGATCATTTTAAAATATTTTTCAGTTGAAAAAATATATTTTTTGGAAAATACTGCCAGTAATTCCGGTTGCAGGTGCCATCTTTAAAAAGTTGCATGCTTTCTGGCATTTTTTTCGGTTAGTAGTTTTTTGTTGCATACAGTATACTCCTTCTGAACTGATCACTGTTAAACCAATGCGCAAACAGATTAAGAAAATTGACCGTAGAGCAAGATCTCTCACAGTGACAGTTTGTCTGTCATTTTAATTCACAGACAAATTGCATTTTCTGTCATTTTTTGGATGTCATTTGTTGAAAGCAAGAAGCTTTCAACCCGTCAGAAGTTGCGGTAAATATAGCAGTGGTACGCTGGGGAATTGCTTTCATTTTGAAATTTAAAAAAAATTTGCTTAAAATTGAATTACTTAAATATCAAAAAAAAATAATCCTGATATGCGAAAAACGGACGCAAATCACTAAAATTCTTTTTACATATATGAGAAGTGGGGTTAGGTGACAATGAAAAACGCCACCTCACCCCATTTTTTGCATATGTAACATGGATTTTTGTAATTTGACAACATGACAATTGTTGCGTGACATAATGTTATAATGAGTTTTTTTGCTACGGCATATGCTGAACTAATTTCGCACACACATAAACTTTTTCCAATAACTCATTAATAATAAAATCCTAGTTTGTTACAAACTTTTTGATACAGCCTGTATTTAGTTATGTATTACCACAGTTTATTCCTTAGACAGCCAGTTGACTTACGATCATTTACATGGCAATATTCGCTTATCTTATATAATGTAAGAAATCGGAATCTGAACTCCATTGAAGCTCCGTTTATAAAAAATATCGAGGCTCTTGCTCTAACTGCCTGCGTGTCTATTAGAACATTTGTGGCAGGTGAACCGAGGGTATTCAAAAATTAGGGAAGTCGACTGGCTGTCTAATAGGCTGCCTAAATTACTAGAGGAAAAACCTGAATAGAATTTATCCAATTTGTTCCTTGCTTGCATATATGTATTGCATAAATTCACGTCCTAATGACACCAACAAAAGCATAATGAATTTAGTAATTTAAATGAACAAGTTAGAAATATTTGTTGTGACAACTATGTCTACTATGAATGGGAATCCTCCAACGGTCTAAGACACTCGAAAAAGTTCCTCAGAACTTACGACCGAAAATAGTCAAAGATTTTCCTTTATTTAAGTAAGAACAAAACAAAACAAATCTTCGGATTGTTACGGGGTTCCTAACAGAACACTGTCTCCTCAACGAACGGCGAATGCAGATACTGTGAGGAAAATGGGGAAACACATGAACACCTTATCACAGTGCGCCGAGACGACAACCGTTCGTGCCATAAACTTTGGTATGGCTAATGTCGAAGATGGAGAATTGGCTCAGATACTGGCTTTTGTCAAAGCTCTGAGACTGTATGATGAGTTATAACATGTTATAACTCAAGAAAGGGGAGCACACAAATAGGTAAGGTCGCGGTGATTAACCCCCTTCCTAAACATTCTACATGTCTACTATGAAAGAGCATTATCATGAACTTAGGTGATTGGTTAAGAGGGAGTATATTGTATAATACAGCGCTATCAAAAAATTTTGTGATCAGGTAAGGTTTATGTGCTAACAATTAAGCAGTTTAAAAGATAATAGAAATTGTTAAAAGTTAACATTTATATAGCCCACTTGATCATAAACCTTTTTGATCAGTCTGATCGACATAAAACGGCGTCAAGTTACCTTAAAAATTCCTATCCATGATAATTTTGCATTTTTATCATACAAACATACTGTGTATATCATCGATTTTCATTTCTGAAGTAACTTGGCGCTGTTTTTTTTTCGAACATACATATGTTAAATTTTTTATAGTGATATATAATATAAGTTAAACTAATGCGTTAAAAATATAATCTGGTATTATATGGATTAACTGGATAATAAAAAAATTGATATAGGATTTTGTTTTAAAATAAAAGAAAAATACGTAAGTGATTTTTATAATCGTCAGAGAAATTTGAGATAGTATTTTGAAAAATGCGATAATAAAATTCTTGGAATTATGATACATGCCTCACACAATTAAAAATATAAACAATAAATATACTAAGTGACATTGAAAATGCAACCTCTATGGAGTGTTTTAATTTTTACTATAGTTTGACTAGTTTGACAACATGTTTAGTTTGGTTTGACCTACCACTAAGTAGTTAATAACTAGAATTTAAACCCGAAACGCCACATAAATACTGATATGTATATTCTACCCTAATGTTCATAATGTGTTGATGCTCGTCTGTTTTCTGTACACTCGTGAAGTCGTCGCGGCATCCTTTGGATAAGGTGGTTAATCTCTTCGGTGAGGTATGGTATCCCAGGCCACCTGAACTTGTAGAAAAAAGACTTCCTTGATGTAGGTTGAGCTTGTTCAGGTAACACTTGACAGCAATATGTCCTGTCAAAAGACCTGTTGTAATCCGCACTTTATTCCTGCTAAGCACTAGCAGTTTCTTTGCGGTTTTAGGATAGGTTGACAAGATGGTTTTAGGTCCTTGGATAAAGGCCTTACTATGCCTGTTAGTTCATCAGCTACTGGTGGCTCCCCTGATCCAGAGTTTTACTGCACTACGAGCCATACATTTGGGTATTCCTAGTACTGGCTCTGGACCAAGTCTAGTTAGTTCATCGGCTTTCTCGTTGCCTCGGATGCCGTTGTGGCCCGGCAACCAGAATAATTTAATTCTGTTTTTTCGTGTCAGAGCTCCCAGCTCACCCAGGCATTCCCAGACGAGTCTTAAGGATACCTTTGGGCTCATAAGCACACCAAGTGCCGCCTGACTGTCTGAGCATATATTGATGATCTTACCTGAGTAAGCTCTTCTGTTGTTTTTGTCCCGCGCATTGTAGAATAACGAAGATATCTGCCTGGAATACGATTGAGTGTTGAAGTAAAAGGATAAGCTGGCCCTTGGTCTTTCCCAAAATACTCCGGCTCCTGTTCCGTCAGCCGTCTTTGACCCGTCTGTATACCAGGTTAGTGCGTCTTGAAGGAATGTTATATCTGTCCACATTCCTCTATCCATTTTATTCCGCATCTCCTCCTTACTCTGGAACGGCTATCATGCATCCCTATGCAAAGTCTGGATTCATCGTTGAACACAAGTGGGTTCCATTCCATATTCCATTCAAATCTTTTACCACGTTTACTACAACCCTTGTTTATATATTCTTAAAGTTGTTCAACCGACTAGACAAAATGTGCTGCCAACTAGGAGGACAAATCGTGAACCTTTCGGGGCGGAGTCAAAAATATCGATTATTTTCGTTATTTTCCTCAGAGTAATATAATAATATAGCCCCGGGTTTCTGCGAACTTTAATAATGATCAGCTGATTAAGAAATTTAAACGAAACTTTTATTTTATTGTAAATTGTGGATTATTTTTGCAGAATTCTAAACCATATTAACAAAGAAATTATTATTTCGATATGTTGGTACATTATTTATAATTTATGATAATGCTAATTGCTGTTAATGAATATTTAAAAAAAAAGTTACATACCTATTTTAATTTGATTTAATGCAGGTTTATAAAAGAATCATTTCATTCTTAGATTATTTTGTTCTAAATTGAGTGCTTTACGAATTTTACGATATTTTTTTTGAAAACATAAAACTTTTTACATTTTTGATGCCAACTAATTGGCATGGTATTATTGGTATGGAATTAGCCAAGAAAGAAAAGAATTGGCTATAACTTGTAATTTTTCGAAAAAAAAACATATTATACCTATATCGCTGAAAAGCTTAAAGAATGGCGTTTTTTTTATTAAGTCATGGTCAACTAGGATTTCCATTTAAAAAAACATAAGTTTGTGTCATATGTCAAAAATGACAGGCTTTAGAAAAAAAACAGAAAACACAAACTCATTAGGTATGTGATTATCTACAATTTTTATCTGAAAACTTTTTGTCTAAAATACCATATGATCGAATAAAAACGGCGTCAGCGATGGCTATGAAATGACGATCGATGATATTTCCCATATAATTTTACATATAAAATGACAACGATCTTCATTTCATAGCCATCGTTGACGCCGTTTTTATTCGATCATACGGTAGATTATAATGGAATTAGAGACAAGTTTTAAAATAGCCAAAATTTGTGTTTTTCGAAATATCTAGTAAGCCTTCTCCGAAAAATCCGAAAGGCGCATATTTATGATCCCACAAAACTGCAATTCTTTCCCCATTTAACCGACTCTCTATCTCCAGTAGTTTCCGAGATACCCATAGAGAACATCGTAGGAAACTCATCCTATATAGTATTTAGAAACTAACTATTATTTTTATTTGACTAGATTAATTTGTTTAATAAGACTCGATTAATTTAATTTAAAATAAATTTGATCAGATTTTTTTTTCGTATATTCTACTACCAGAAAACCAAAATTATATGATAACGCACTTTTCAACGAAGTTGAAGGAAGGTGTGAAGGAACGAAGTTGAAGGAATAGTGTATCTATCACAATACTTAATAGAATTAGGTACTACAATTAGAAGAAAAACAAAAAGAAAAAATGCCCAAATACCTTCACCTACTACTCTTCTACAAAATAAACGAATATAATCTCTTATAAAAACACTACACAACTACTTCTGGTATTCTACACTGAAAAAATGATCAAACTTACTAATTAATCAAACAAAAAAGAAAAAATAACCAAATTATCCCTTCACCTACTACTTAACTACAAAATAATAAACTATAAAAACACTACTAAACTATTTCTGGCATTCTACACTAAACATTATAATTAAACTTAATAAGATTAATCTAATTTTACACTACAACCACTACAACTACAAAGAAATAAGAACATTTTTTAAAACTAGAAGAAACAGAACTTCGATACGTGCGACCAGTATAATAGATCAAGCGGACAAAGAATATAAAATACTTTAAAAATATGCATTCAGAAAGAAAAAATAGTAGTTTAGCCTTTAGTCGTAACCTTTAGTCGGGTATTTACAATGGTCGAATTGTATAATTACCAGCTTTTATACCATATCTAATAGATAAAAAGTATCTGGTCGATTAGTAGCCAATTGGCACAGTCCCAAAAATTATCGATTTTTATTTTCTCTGTTTTTATTGGTCGCTTCAAAGTTCAGAGTAACAAAAAATATTTTTCTGTAGTAAAAGACTGTGAAATACGCCCCGCCATCTGGTGCTTTACATCCATAAACGTCTTAGGTTGAGCTACTTTAAAAATTCAAATACAAGGCTACAACTTAATTCCATTCCAATCGCTGCCGTCGATGCTCTGGGGATAGAGTATTTCAACAGCTCAAAAAAGGTATAAAAACAGCCCGAAAGATCTTATTCGGCGATAAATGATCCTCATCTATATTGCAAGGCCTACAACATCAAACCACTGCTGGTTCGCAACTGGCCTTGTTGAAAATCGATTCCTGAGGGCTAGTAGCCATAAGTGCTGGTTTTTTCGTTCTGTGGTCTCTCTTCATCCTCCAGTACCTCTCGCACTTCTATTTCCGCCTTCTTGGAACCAAGGAACCGCATTCAACAACATCTAGAAGATTTACCCGATTAGCAGTTTCCCTAAAAGAAATGTCGGCTGTGCGTAACCTGACTTTCCGACCTCTTTCAAACTCGAAGAGTAGCGTGAAATTTGCGCGTTTGCGAACTCTATGCATGACAATGTAGTGAAACAGTGATCAAAATACATCTAATACCCAAAAGTTCATTGTGTTAAAGCTAAAACTTGAACATGTTCAAGTTGAATCAACTAAATTCTTGAACACGTTCATTTTGTTTTACATGATAGCGAATATGTTTCGAATTTTTTTTGATCAAAATACGAGAAGTTAATAGTACACTATATTGCATCTTCAATGCCCATTTGTATGTATAAGATAAAAGATACCTCGTATTATAATCAATACGGTGTGTACCATTGCGTCGGAAATTACAGTCATTTTAAACAAATTCTTAAAATCTTATATGATTAAAATAAGTTTTTCTATCGACATTTTTCTACCGACTATCAGTTGGGCGACTGAATGTATGACATTAATGACAAACTTATCTGTCACTTATATTCAATATTAGTTTATTTTTTTTTATCTTGCGTCAGATGTCGTCTGTCAAACTCACATATTCTGTCACCAGACAGACTTAGGGCCTTACCGATTTTATTTAATTGCATTTCTATTAATATAGAAAATTTTATTCTATTTCAGTTGACAAATGGCACTATATCAATCTGAAGTAAATAGAAGCAAACTAAGGATATAAAAACCACAGTTGCATTTGCAGGGAGCAAGCACTAATGTACACAGATAGTTGTGATGTAAAATATACACCTTGTTGTAATAATAATTTAATGTGCATTTTCTAAGTTATAAAATAAATCTGTTAAATACAATAAAAATATAAAAATAGTTTTATTTTCCTGTTTTTTTTTTTAAATTACGTTGTCTGTAACAGCCTTAGATCTTATAAACTTCGTGGATAAGTAAATTCGCTTCATTTTTGTTGAAAGTACATCAGCGACATTCGATTCTGATTATCTGCCTTTGACATTGATTACACTAGACAACAAAATTTGCATTATATGCTGTATCCTTTATGAAAAGTGTTTTTTTTTGTTAATTTTTGGGGTGCTGAATACAAAAATGACAATGAAATTAAAAACATAGTTGCAGTTTTCAAAATGACAAATATTTTCAAAATAATAAACACACGTATCAGTTATATCTTGATTAAACAATTTTAATGGTCTGTATTTTCAGTAATTGTTGTCAACGCAGCGAAAAAAACGCTCCAAGTTAGCAATCACGTCTAAAATCGTTCTACGCATGCTCAGTAGCGTATTCAGAGAGAAGGCTAGGTACAGTACGTCTGCTGGATCTGTGTCTATGAAAGGAATGCGGACAAAAAATATTTAAATAAACAGCAATATATTTTATACGTCGACTTAACGAGTACGTCACCGCAAATCGCTCCGCCAACTTATTTTATTGGCTACATACTTGCAAATTTGTCGAATTTTTATTGATGGGACGCGTCGTCTATTTTTTTACGAAAAACATCGAGAGAATATCGTTTCCCCTCTCACGGATACCCCGTAGCTACAGAACGGACAGACGTACTGTATATACGATAATCTTGTTCTAGAAAGAAATAAATGGAAAAATGCATGCGAAAGTCCCGTAAACAAAGTCGTGTGTAATATACATATGGCATAGCTTTATCCACGTTTTAGTTGATAAGATCTAAGGTAACAGCAAGTCAAAAAATTCCTATTTTTAATTAAGAGTTTAACTTGATTTCTTTGACTTAACAACTATTCATGATTTGTGTTGACTCATCTTTTACACTAATTTCTTCCGATAAAGAAGATGAATGCATATAGTTCATATCAAATATACTTTTAGTCACGTGATTAAGCTTCACCGGCGCAGCGTTGCCCACTTTTGCATATTTTCTAAATATTTTAAGAAACAAAAATTAATATACAAAATTAAATAAATTATAAATATGTATAAACAGTTATTATTTCCCGGTGCCCGTTGGCGTAGAGGTACAGGCTCTCGTCTACCAATCTGAAGGTAGTGGGTTCGAATCCCACACCCGGCATTGCATCAACCGACTATTTTTATTAAAATAAAAATAGTTTGGGTACCTAGGTCGACTCAGCCTTAAATGAGTACTTGGGATTCACAATCCTGAGGTAATAATAGGCGGTTGAAGCGTAGCGCTGGCCACATTATCTTCCTTGTATACCGAACGGCTCTAGTATGACAAGCTGTACCTTGCTACTCCCAAGGCGTTGAACGCTATATACGGGAGCTATTATTATTATATTATTTACATCAACAAAACTCATGACCTTCTTAACAACACTTAAGGGGCATAAAGGGTCATTACTACCGCTTTCTCGTTCAAAATATTCTAATAAGGTTGCGATGATTTTTTTGCAACGGCTATTAAGCTATCCTGTACACTTCGCACTAAAAGAGGTTCTACTGGTTTCTAACAATGTTCGACTGCAAGGGCTGCTAGTAAAAATGTTTAAGCTTAAAATATCACAATTAATTTAAACAAAAAACTTCAAGGAAATATATACATTTCCGCCGTGTCTCATCTTGGTAAAAATCGCTACTACCAACCGTTCTCAAGATATGTAGTTGGAATGAAAATTATCAATAGTCTATTTATTACTATATTTTATACTCAATTTGGGGGCAGGGCGGGGGTGTTCATCAGACCTCCCCTCCCCCATATATCTGCATATTATGCTGTTTCTAAAGCGATCTTTGATTCATGCGGATTAAAAAAGGGAAAGAAAACATGTCCTTAAAATCCCTCAATTAAATAGTTAATAAGAAGTTTTACTTCAAATATGTGCACATAGTGCACACACAATTTTTTTTTAAATGAGATAATGGTATTTTTTGTTTAAATGCGCACAATTAAATATTGAACCGTTTTTTTATTTAAAGTGTTTCGATATTTTTAACCATTTCATAGAACCATTGTCTATAATTCATAATCAAGGGTAGATAAGCTTATTCGGGATTCGAGGGTATGGGTTTGGTATGGGGGAACTATATGTATATGGCTCGTTCAAAATCAAATTTTCATCAAAGGCACCTAATGGTACTATACATGGTATACATTCTTTGTATCATGGGTACTATAGGTATTTTCTATTTTCTATTGGGAATTAATAGGTATGTTAAAGGACACATGCTCTTAAATTGAGTCTTAAAATGCGGTTATTATTTATTATAGGTTTAATTGGATGAGAAAAATTAACCGATTATTAGAATAAAATTACCCGTTATCCGAAAAATAGATTATTTTTGGGCATCCCTAGAATCAGATTGATATTTGATATCTACTTTCTTTATAATCTTTTTATAACTGTGGTTCGATTGGTAAGTAAACCTAAAATTAAAACATTATTCTTTTAGAATGTAAAAATAATAAAGGGTGTAAAAGAAATACATTTTTAACTTTGTTAAGCTTTGTTGCACTTTGCTGGGTCTCCAATCTCCAAGCTCCATTCGGTTCCATTATCAGACCTCTCCCCTACTCACAATTTTTTTCAAGGTCAAACAGAAAAAAAGTTGTGTATTTCTTCTGTTAGACATAGACGTAGGATATTTTTTTACTAGAAAATATTTTATAATTTAATTGAGCATTATCATAGACGACACAGACTAACTCTTTCTGTGGCATTATTTTTTATAAATATACAATACATATATCTAAAACAAAGATAATTGTTTTTCAAATTCATACAACTCATTTAAATTATGATATAGAGATCCCAAAAATAATTAAAATACTACAAAAAACGTCAGGGATGGCTTGGAAATAAACTCGTTATCAAACTGTATATAAAATTTTATTGGGAATGGTCATCAAATAGCTTTTCCAAGCCAACTAGACGCCGTTTTTTTTAGATCATACCATACCTACCTACACACAACAAAATATTAAACTACAATAAGGAGCTGTTCAAATCCAAGTAATGTTTAACGATATTGCCTGCTTTTTACTTATGATTTACTTTTGTATGTTTTTTTGCTAAGTAGGCAAATAATGTATATTAAGGTTAAAAGACAAAAAACTTAGCCCGTGGTTACTATTGGATGCGTGTCCGTAGGTTTTGTTGGTCATACATGCTCGGACGTACACGCAGCAAAAAACAAACAAATGGTATCTACGTAGGCGGTTACATTGCGCAACAAAGCAATACGCAACGTTGCGTTGCACGACTGCATGATGGTATCATGCAGACACTTGGTAAACATTTAAACAAACAGGGCCATACATTGGCAACTTGTTGCACAACAGCCAGTGTTGCGCAATTTGTTTGATAGTATGGGCCGCTTTATAAGAAACACACAAGAGAGAAAGGCACAATCACAATACATACCCAGCTGCAAAAAGTCATCTTTTTTCATTCAAAACGTTTTAAACAAATAATAAACATAATTAGCCCTAGGTATTTAATATCCATTACCACCTCTCGGGTCTTGTATAACAATGACTAGGTACTACCTGCAAATACCATGCTATGATCCGTTGTACCTTGTATTGTTCTACTGATGTATAAGCAAGTAAATCTTATGTTTATGGACCGAAAACATTGATAAATTTTAATGCTGTTGATGTATGTTTAAAAACAATTATTATTATTCCAGTTATAAAAACAAAAATTAAGTTTTTACAGAGAGGTAAAGCACTCTAGAATTTTTATAAGCATATGAAATTGTAAACCCCTTTTCTATGAGCAACCCTAAAAAGGGCTGCCCTTTAAGGTAAGCCCTAATAGTATAGTATATAGGATCTAATGATTGGTTAATTGCTTTGAATAAAGGTTAATATACTTAACCATTAAAACTCCACCTCCAAAAACAACCAACCTTTATTAAACATGCTGAAAAGCATGGAAAGAAAACATGTGGAAGTTACTTCATGCATTTATTTGATTCAAATCTAACTATATCTTTAGGTAGTACATCATTATTTACGTAGAAAACACAACCAAATAAATAAATAAAGATTGATAAAAACTGTGCTACTAGAACAGAAATATTAGAAAAAAAGAAACATGTAATTTTTTTAAGTAAATAAATATACAAATATTTTTATAGTGCTTGTTTAACACTTCATTTTCTACTGTCCCAAAAATACCGTATGACCAAAAAACGGCGTCCTGTTGGCATGGAAATAACGATCGATGACATTCCCCATAATCTGTATAATTTTACACATAAAATGACAGCGACCTTTATTTCATCGCCATCGCTGACGCCGTTTTTTTTTCGATCATATTGTATATCCGGTCCTCAACTTTTTGCATGATCTATCATCGGATTACATACCTGTAATGCCTATCACCCACTGAAGTTAGAGACACTATTTTTGAGACCCAGTATATATCTACATGTTAATTTAAAGATTTGTATAAGTTATTATATAATATGATAAAAAATAAACTACGTCAGCGATGGCTATGAAATGAAGATCGCTGTCATTTTACATGTAAAATTATATGGAACATATATTATGTCATCAATCGTCATTTCCAAGCCAACTGGAACGCTGTTTTTTTTTCGATCCGTACAGTATTTTAGGTCTGTATCTTTAGGTCACACATTATGGAAAAATATGTCCATTCTTCAAAAAAGCTTAAACTTTTTTTTTCCTGCATTTTTACAAAAAAATAATATTTAGCACGTTTTATGCAATATGCTTTTTATTTTAAAAATTTAATAATTGTGCGACACTGTCTTCGCCGGTTAATCATCAAAACATTTCATCCCTTCCATCTTATCATTTCGCCAATAAGGAATCAAAGCCCACTAGACATGGCATGTTGCCATCTTGAAATTTGAAATCTCTTATCTTTTTTGTTTTTGGTGTCCGACGGCGACGATAAAGTTATTAAAAGTAAATTTTTTTCTATTTTTCCGGAAATTCGTACATTAAAATGTTATTGTGAATTCTACAGTTTTCTTAATTAACATTAGAGTGTCTTTCCATGGCTGTTTTACAGAGTCGTGTCGAGGTAAGTTGAAAAAAAGATACTTTAAAAGTTTTGAGAAAAGAAAATGTTAAGATTTTTAGTTTTTGTATTAATAACTTAGGAATTAGAGCAATAGTTTTTTAAAATTTTACATTTTTTCTACCTAATTGTAACTTTTAGTACTTTTAAGAATGTTTTCTTAAAGTAACATTACTTACGAAAATATTAAAAAAATATGTTTATTTACAGCATCTACACTATTGTAGTGATTATAAAAATATCCTGCAAAAGTTTCTTGTTTTTTTTTTTAATTTGTTATAATAAATTTACAATTTTATTTTAGGTGTTATTGTAATTTGTACCTACTGCATGTAAGTGTATGTATCTTTTTTAATATGCATTATTTGAATCTCCTTTCTTCTCGAGCATGTTTTATTATTAAAAAATTAATGATACCAAACTGTTTGGTTAATTTATCTATTAAATAAAGCACAGGTAGGTCCACCTATCAATATTCCAAGAACTTGTTGATGCTGTTTTATCCTAAAAAGATGTCCCGGTTTTTCGAATGAATGATTTCTTTATTAATTTGAACTCTAAAACTGTTAATATATTTAGACAAAACAAACATAGAGCTACATGACGGTACCATAAAAAGATAATAGATACCTATGTTGCAGTATCAAAAATGATTTGATTTGTCTATAAAATTGCAGACAATGCAATTTCTTTTTTATATTTTAATGTATAGGTACCTTTCAGAAATTTAGTGCTAGCCGTGTAGTTATAAAAATAATGTATTAACTCTTTGCCGTCGGTAACGAAGTTTACAGATATTTTTAATTCTGTAAACTTTAGTATAACACTCGGTATTACCCTTATATAAACAAGGATATTACCACAGTTTAAAGCATTGTGATATTACATAGGTACCTAATTTAATTTTACTACATCTGATGAAGATCTTTTTATAACTTTAAACATATTTTGTTAATTATAGGCATTCGGAAATAGTTAAATTAACTCTACCTTTGACTCTACTAAGAAATTCGATATTTTATTAGACAAAATTTCTATAATTATGTAATACGTATATTGCTGATTATTGCTATTGAAAGATTGAATAAATATCATGTTTTCCAGGTTTTACCAAGTGATGCTAATTCTTATGAATTATCGCTGAATATTCTCCAAAAACATTCTATCAACTCTCTTTTGAATTTCGACAATAACTCCACCATGCCCCCCAATAAAAGTAAGTACATATTTAAACCGGTATTTTTCATTTAAGTAAATAAATAGATTTTCTATTCTTTTCCAAAACATTCTGTATACAAATAAATTAGACGCATTTTGTTTCTTTTACATCGGAATTTATATAGCTCGCAAAAAATCTGTTATCAGCTGAGATCCCTACCTCAACTCCCTTGCCTGACCATCAAACATTGTAAATATTTCTTTTTATTGACAAGTAATGGCCTAAAAAACGCTATGAAAATATCGTTTTTGTCGTCCGAGTAGGCCGGGAGAACCGAAATCTTAATTCTGGGATGCCATATTGTTGGTGATTTTGCGGAGTACTGTTTTGACTTGAACTTTTAATAGTTTAACGGATAGTTTTTCTTACATTTAAGAAAGAGTATATTGTACGAATACATATTATTTTATTGTATAACTGTGTCGAGAAAGATATACATAGATTCGATTAAATGGTAGGTGAGACAATGAATGACATATCGGATTTGCTTGGATTGAATTCGCCCAGAGGACTTCTCAATTTGAACCCCTCAGAAGGATTGTGTACCCCACCAGCTAGTCCCCACAATATGCAGGTACGGTTTTGTTTTATTATAATTAAATGTAGATGATCCGTGACATTTTTTTTTTGTTTTATTACCAAGAATAGGTAAAAAAGAGCATGAATTCTATTAATAATTAATTTAATAAGTGATTTTTTATACATACATATACATATATTTAGCACAAAGTATTCTTAATTTGTCTCATATTTTAACATCTAGATCACAAGAGAAAAGATGAAAAATGCAAACATTAAAATGCAAGGTACTTGAATAGAAGAACTAGTAACTGGAATATATCCCTATTTGATTGTGATTTTAATTTTATGAGGTTGATTTTTATATTTTACTTTAAACCGGCTCATCTAAAAATATTCTAAAATAATTAGGTACTTACCTTTTTTATTTTATAAAACCAGTTTAAGTGGCCTGTGAAAAGTCAAGCACTGTTTTTTTACAGTATGCCCCCGGTTTATTTTGCTTGAAAAAAATATTGTTGAATGTTTTTTGCTTGTTCTTAAATGGTTAGTTCCGTTTATACTTCTCCAAATTTCCATACCAGAGAAAAATTAAAAAATAATAGGAAAATGTTGGTAGAATTCCCCTACTAGTAGTTTACTAGTATTTGGGATACTAGTACTACTAGTATCCCAAAACACAAAAGGTGTTTCTATGGTAATATCCTTGTTTATATCATTTTTTAGGTTTTCATGATTTTTCATTCTTTGATAGATGGTTATTTATTTTGATTAACAAAATATTTTTTGTTGCTTGGTTTGGTTCGGTTCAGTATATTAACCGTATGATCGAAAAAAAAACGGCGTAAAGTCGTCTTGGAAATGAACATCGATGACATTCCCGATATAATTTTACATACAGGGTGGTCCGAACTGTATTCCGGAAACTTCGGCAGCATATTCTGCAGATAAAAATAATTAAAAAAGTTCGTGTAAATGTATGTCCTAAAATGCTTAGTTTCAGAGATACAGTAACGTCAATATTCGGATGAAAATTGGTATCTGGAGGTTTTTTGACATGAGAAATTTGATTTTGATGTCAATATGACTCCTACTAGTAGAGGGCGCCACCTACATATTTCTAACTGGTTTGAAGAGTAATAACTTTTCGTCCGTACCTGTATAAAACTTCTGAGTAAAAAAATATACATTTACGACGTTTTTTAGGTGAAAAAGGTCTCTTGGTAAAAATCGCTACGAGTAATGGTTTTCGAGATATTTGGAATCGAAATTATCAATACCTGTCATCATTGACATAAAATTAACATATTTACTACAGTGAAATCATAAATTTGAAATGTTTTTATGTTCAACAGAAACTGTTTTATCCTCATTTTTTGCACAAAAATTTGTGATAAATTAATCATAAAAAATAAAAATTTCCTAAATTTATTATTTCATTTAAATAACTATCTACTCAACGTGTTTATTTTTCCTCAGTAATGACATGTATTGTCTATTTCCATTCTAAATATCTTAAGAACGGTTGCTCGTAGCGATTTTTACAAAGATATATTTTTTACGTAAAAAGTCACAGAGATGTATATTTTTTCGCTTGGTAGTTTTGTACAGGTACGGACAAAAATTTATTACGCTTCAAAACAGTTAAAACACATGTAGGTTGCGCCCTCTACTAGTAGGAGTCATGTTGATACCAAAATCAAATTTCTCATGTCAAAAAAGTCCCTGACACCAATTTTCATCCAAATATTGACGTTACTTCAAAAATTATTTAGAAAAAATTGAAATAAAAATGAAACTTCTGCACCCTGTATCTCTGAAAGTAAGCATTTTAAGACATACATTTATACGAACTTTTTTACTTAGTTTTATCTAAAGAACATGTTGCCGAAGTTTCCGGAATACAGTGCGGACCACCCTGTATAAATTGACAGCGACCTTCATTTCATAGCCTTCGCTGACGCCATTTTTTTTCGACCAGATTGTGTATTAAAGAAGCACAAAATTTAATTGGTTCAATGCTACGGAAAAGGTGATTATAAATGTTGTGCTTCTTGAACTAAATTAGGAAAAAAGCAATGACGTTAATCAAAATTAATACCGTATGAAAAAAAACGGCGTCAGCGATGGCTATGAAATGAAGATCGCTGTCATTTTATATGTAAAATTATATGGGGAATGTCATCGATGTTCATTTCCAAGCCAACTGGACGCCGTTTTTTTCAATCTAACCTTCTATCATCTATCAAAGCAAATCAAAGAATGCGAACGAATTTATATTACCATAGAAACGCATTTTGATTTTTGGAACTTTATAATTTTATGGAATATCCAACCATATTTTCATGCATGAACGGCATGAAAATTTGGAAAAGTATAAACGGAAATAACATTTTTAGAATAAGTAATTTTTTTTTATTAAAAATGCGATTTTCTCATAATGTTCATAATAGAAAAAAGTTTCCTCGTGTAAAGACAATCCGGCGATATTGTGTATATCAAACAAAAATTTTTCGTTTTTCTGCACCACTTATCTTGTATTTTAATATATAAATAATAAAAACCATTGTCAAATTATTCTTTCTTATATTTTATAACCAAAAATGAATTTGATTTAAGTCACAAATAATATGTGAAGTCAATATCTGGTATAGTTTTTATATCTGTTTCGTTTTTTATATTGAATGGCTAGTTTGCCTGCCCTGTACCATTTTTTGTCTTATTAACATATGCCATACGGTCGAAAAAAAAACGGGTATGTCAATCGATGATAATCATTTTGGCTGGGTCAAGCTCTGCACGTTATTTACTTAGCCCGGATTCTTGTCTAATTTTTAATGGCGCTTATTACCAGTTGCTCTTAAGAAGGTTGTAATTACTTTTTATATTGAGTAAAAATTATTTTTAAATTGTGTAGTTAGTTTAAAATTCAAAAAAAAAAATTTTAAATAGACTTGTGTATCTGGAAATATTTTATCTTTTATTGATATTTCTATAATAACTAGTGTGAATTTTTGACAAATTTTATCTCAATTTTTAGTAAAATAACGTAAAATGACGACTAAAGATTGACCTCGCTAAAATTATCATCCATTATCATTCCCGAACTATCCTTGACGCGGTTTTTTTCGATCATACGGTATTTCTTTTATATCGAATAAAAGTTTTTCGTTGTTCTCCACCACTACTTATCTTCTATGTTAATATACACCATTAAGAATTATCATTTTAAACACCTCCCAACTGAAAAATATAAGAAATCGTGAAATTGTATTTTAATATGGAACTACCGTATGATCGAAAAAATGGCATTCAGTTGGCTTGTAAATTAACATCGATTACATTCCCCATCGCGGACGCCGTTTTTTTTCGATCATATTGTACCTACGAACCTAGTAGTAGTATCTTAATGTAAATACCGTATGTATTCCCATAAAAATTTACATATAAAATGACAGCGATCTTCCTTTCATAGCCATCGCTGACGCCGCTTATTTTTTATAGCCAATATTGAATTTAAAGTGATAGGTGATGTTAGGATCTGGCCAAAAACTTAGTTTTTACATCTTTTTTTATATTGAATAGAAGTTTCCTGTGCCATTTTGGGTCTTTTATTTTAACAATATACCGGGTGCGTCTCAAAAGTGGCTCACCCCTATAACTTTTTTATTTTTTCAGATAAAAAAACGAGATTTGGTATGATAGTACATGCCACAAATTAGGATTGATTGACGTATTCAATTGTTTTTGGTCACTTCCTGTTTCACCGGAAATGACTACAACTTTTGATTTTTAAATGGCACCCTCTGTATTTTTTTACTTTATTCGTAAGAAAATGACATTCTGAATCTAACGACATATCATCATATGTTAACTTTTGACATTCTCGCTTAATAAAAAAATTGTAAAAAAAAAAAATAAATAAAAAAAAATAAAAAAAATATATCTATTTGTAAATTCTTTCCATGGCTATGTTAAAAACACTAATTCTTAATCAAGGAGCCTTGGAAAAATAGATTTGATCGTCTAATGTTTTTAGTGTCGTGCCCAGGCCGCGCCGATTAGAAAATATTCAAATCGTATTTTTTAGCATATGTCAATTTTTTCAAATGGAACGAGGGTGACTCATTAGCATATTTGGAAAAAGCATTTTTTTACGAATAATTTGATACCACACGCTTGGTATTTCGAGTCAAATTTTCGTTGCGAACCGCAAGTTATAATTTCACATAAACCATATGCAAAAATGTCAAAAGATAACATATGATATGTCATTCTATTCAGAATATCATTTTCTATCGAATAAAGTCAAAAAATACCGATGGTGCCATTTGAAAATCAAAAGTTTTAGTCATTTCCGGTGAAACAGGAAGTGACCAAAAACAATTGAATACGTCAATCAATCCTAATTTATGTCATATACTAACATACCAAATCTCGTTTTTTTTAACTGCAACAATAAAAAAGTTATAGGGGTGAGCCACTTTTGAGAAGCACCCGGTATATCCACTGAATATGATTCTAAAAACACCTCACAGCTAAAAAGATAAGAAACATAGATATTGTATCTTAATCTGGATATATCCACACCTACCTATAATATGAGAATTCGTGAAATTGCTTGGCTATTTTTGGCTATTTCCTCTTCAGCTTCCCAGTTCCTAGTGGCTCTTTCCTACTTGTAAATAAATTTACCTAACCACCAAACATCTCTTAACCGGTGTCTTAACGTTTCAGGAGGTAAATCTCCCTCGTCCCTCCATCGTTGGAAGCAAAAAAAATAATAGTGATATGTGTCTGATAATTTTTCAAAAAACCTGGACCTTGATTGTTGTGTATCAGTACTGTTTCTATATCTGTGTAATTTAACTTTAATACATATTTGATGAAAAAAGGGATGATGAAAAAATAATGATTTTAATAACTCCAAAATGTCGTCACCTTTTTTTTTGTTTGTAAAATTCGGACAAATTAAAAGATTACCTGTTTATCTAGTAGAAAGAAATGTTTACTTTTTTATTATTTCAAATCTATTTTTAGAATCCAATTAATATTAAACTGATTTTTTTTGCCTTCAGGTCAGAAAACATGGGAGCTCATTTTATACCAGGTGCATCTCAAAAGTGGCTTACCCGTATTTTTTTTTTTATTTTTTCAGATAAAAAAATGAGATTTATTATGTTGTTATGTATGATATATGACATAAATTAGGATTGATTGACGTATTCAATTGTTTTTGGTCACTTCCTGTTTGACCCGAAATTACTACAACTTTTCGTTCTTAAAAGCACCCTCGTTATATTTCTACTTTATTGGATAGAAAATGACACACTAAATAGTATGACATACCATATGTCAACTTCTTCCCCTAGGAGATGCAAGACCTTGTCGTTGGTTCTCCAACCGTGGAAGGGTGTGTACCTTTGGAGGAAGAACATCTGTTCTCAGAGGAAGATGGGAAATACCCTGTTCCCTCTACAATATAGAGGTATGATGGGTTATAGACTGTGTAATGACTCGCAGTGATTAACCCCCCCCCCCTCTCACTCATTCTACATTCTCCTCTACATATGTCAACTTTTGGCATTTTAGCATTATGGTTTATTTGAAATTGTAACATGCGGTTCATAACGACAAACTGACTCGAAATACCAAGTGTATGGTACCAAATTATTCGTAAAAAGAATGCTTTTTCCAAATATGCTAATGAGCCACCCGTGTTTCATTTGAAAAAATTGAAAATTGATTAAAAAACGATTTGAGCATCTTTTGACCGGCTAGGACAAGATACGAAAAACATTAGACGATGAAATATATTTTTCTAAGGCGTTCCATTTAAAAAAGTAATGCTTTTAAACAGGGTTGGCATGATTTAAATCAAATGATTTAAATCAAGCGATTTTTTTAATTTTAATCGTTTGATTTAAATAAAAAAAATATTTATTGAAACTTTATAATAAAACAAAAAATAACTGTAAAAGTTATAAAAATGTGTCCTAGAAAACTATAAAAAATATTTCTATAACAGATATAACAGAAAATAAATCCAAAAATAATTGTAAACGTTATAAAACTACATAAAAATATCTATTCATCAATTTAATTGTTGGACCGATTTTTGAACTAATTTCGTGTGAATCCATTAGAGCGCCAAACGCAAGGATTTATTTTAAAATTTATGTATAAGTAACAAATTTATGCTGTTCGAATATATATCATTCGCAAAGTCTAGTGCAGAACTGTGGGTTCTTCTAATATAGAGACTATATCCTCATTCCCGAGAATCTATAATCGTTGTCAGAAAATATGTTGTTTTATATTTTTTTTTGAAACCGTTGTATGTTTCCAAATTCCTACCGACATTTTGATCTGCAGTAAGTACTTTACACTTTGACAATACATACTAATTTCATTCTCGACTTAAGAATTTTTCCGAAAAATAGTGTATTGTTTTATTAGGAGTAAAAATTATATTTTTTTTGACAATGCTGTACCTTTGAAAGACCATCGTAAAGCTATTCCGACGTTACAGGGAGGCACAAAAGTACATTTTTACTTCGAATAGAACATACTATTTTTTTTAAACATTACAAATAATTTTTTAATCAATTTCAAACATTGCAAATAATATAAACAGTAATCGGAGCCACAATTTGTGAACACTCTTTGAATTTGATACTTAATATCAGTTTAATAATAAAATATTTTTGTACTTTTGTGTTTAGGCGTAACGGTGCTTTACTTTTATGTCTAGGCGTTAAAATGACAAAAATTAATGTACTTTTGAGACGTTTAAAAAAATCCGACCGATGTGGAAAAATCACACACCCCGTAGAATTGCTAATGTTCTCGGTATCGGGGTATATATTTAGCCATTTAGGATAGGACTTTAATTGGAAGTAAGTCCTAGTCATTTGGAAATCCGATTTAAATATTGTTTTGAATTAAAATCAAAAAAATCAGATTTTTTGATTTTTTTAAAAAAATCATGATTTTTCCAACCCTGCTTTTAAAACACAGCCACTCCAGATTGAAATTTAAAATGACGATTTTTTTTAAAGCAAAAATTTCAAAAGTTTGCATATGATATGTCACTCTATTCAGAGTGGCATTTTTTATCGAATAAAGTAGAAATATACCGAGGGTGCCATTTAAAAATCAAAAGTTGTCATTTCCGGTCAAACAGGAAGTGACCAAAAACAATTGAATACATCAATCTATCCTAATTTATGTCAGATACTGACATACCAAATCTCATTTTTTTATCTGAAAAAATAAAAAAGTTATAGGGGGTGAGCCACTTTCGAGACGATCCCGGTATATACCGAGTGTTTTTCAAAAGTGACTCACCCTTATAACTTTTTTTATTTTTTGGTACCAAAAAAGTCAAAATATCATTCTATTGAGAATGTCATTTTCTATCAAATAAAATAAAAACAATTCCGAAGGTACCATTAAAATTAAAATCAAAAGTTGTAATCATTTTCGGTGAAAAAGGAAGTGACCGAAAATAATTGATTACGTCAATCAATCCTGATTTATGTCATATACTATAACATATCTGAAAGAATAAAAAAGTTATAGGGGGTGAGCCACTTTTGCAAAAAAACACCCGGTAGATGGTATATCTGAATTTTGTACACCTACTATTTTTTAGAACAGATATTTAAATAACTACGATATTCCTATCCTATAATTAGGTATTAAAAATTTAGGTCGTTTCTTAATTTGATGAATTACGATTTTTTTTTTCAAAAATATTTTCTTTACATAGTTTATTTAGACTTAGACTTTGTTTACAATTACAATTCAATTTTTTTATTTCATGATTTTTAAAATTGATATGGTTTATAAAACACGTTATACTTAGTGTATCTAAAAATTGTACATTAGCGAATATTTACATATTTTTTTTTATAGATTCACATAAAATTGCAAAGTAGCTAAAAGTCATAGTTCTTCAAATATTACAATTTTTATACCAAATTTTTTGGAAATTTGATATCCAAGTTATAAAATTGCAAATTATTCATATTTTTTAGTTAGTCCAGTTATTCTTATATGTTTACTTGGCCTTATTCTGATACAAATACAGACATTTAGCGATATATCACATAAATATAAACAGAAACGACTGTTGGCCATTCGCCGATTTCAGTAAATTTTAAAACAAGCATAACAATGCATAAGTCCCCATTAGTTCAAGTCGCTATAGGGCTGTTTAAACGAATTTATGTTTCTTTTTCTAGATCAACTTCGACGATTCGAAATCCCAAGGCGGTTACTACGCTCCTAGCTGCGTCAAAAGTTTGCAGCGAAACTTGTCATTGGGAAGCGCGGGTTCCAGTCCTGCCACCCCGACTTACTTGTCCAGAACATTTAGAAGCACATCCCTAAGGTAAGTAACTTAATAATTTCTCTTGTGTTTTTATAAGAAAACACAAATAAATTAAACATTACATTATCGAACAAATAAATAAACATAGACGTCCTAATATACAGGGTGATTCATGGCCATGGTGCGTTAGACGTTTATGGAGAACCGATGATGGTTTTTGCATAAAGGCACCTGCTCCATCTATATCTGAAATATTTTCCGTGTGACAGTGTTGCCGGTTCATATTAAAAGTGGTAGCATCTTTGTTATTTTAAAACACCGGTGTATTATTACATTCTTCGAAACTACTTTCATATCTGATTTTTCTAATATACTGACCTATCTCTAATAGTATCTGTAATATATGTATATACAGGGTGGTCCGAACTGTATTCGGGAAACTTCGGCAACATATTCTGCCAGATAAAAGTAAGTAAAAAAGTTCGTATAAATCTATGTACTAACATGCTACAGAGCTGAAAATGCTACACTGCTGAGATGCAGGGTGTAGAAATTTCATTTTTATTTCGATCATTTCTAAATAATTTCGAAATTTCGACGTCATTATTTGGATGAAAATTGGTGTCTGGGAGAGTTTTTTGACATGAGAAATTTGATTTTGATGTCAATATGACTTCTACTAGTAGAGGGTGCCACTCATAGTATAAAGAAAACAAGGTATGATCGATAGCGGCTCCAATTTCGTTAAGTTTGCGCATACCACCTGTGACGTCATGCTAAACAAAAAAATATCCATATTTTTCAATTGCCACTAATTAAAAAAAGACCTAAAATAGGGAAGAATTAGGACATAACCCCAAAAGTTATGTCTAATCATGGAGCTTGACATTTGAAAAATTATTTTCACATTTATTATGTCATCTGTTTGCCAATTTGAAATTGGCGCGCGGAGCTTGCCGACCAATGGTGCCGTTTATCACCTGTGACGTAATGACCAACCTGCGCAATATCATACCTTGTATTCTTTGTACCATGGGGTGCCACTTACATATTTTTTAACTGGTTTGAAGAGTAATAACTTTTCGTCCGTACCTGTATAAAATTACTGAGGGTGGCTGCAACGACTTCCCGTAATCCTGCGGTTAAAACAAAACAATTGATTTCTATATATGAAAACCAGCTGTTATGTTTTAACAGCAGGATTACGGGACGTCGTTGCAGCCACCCTGAGTAATAAAAAAATATACATTTACGACGTTTTTTACGTGAAAAAGGCTTTCGAGATATTTGGAATCGAATTTATCAATACCTGTCATCATTGACATAAATTAAACATGTTGACTAAATAGTTATTAGACTGAAATCATAAATTTGAAATGTTTTTGTGCCAAAAGTTCAACAGAAACTGTTTTATCATTATTTTTTGCAGAAAAATTTATGATTAATTTAAAAAAATTATTTCCCAAATTCATTATTTCAGTGAAATAACTGTCTACTCAACGTGATTATTTTTCGTCAATAATGACATGTATTGTCTATTTCCATTCTAAATATCTTAAGAACGGTTGCTCGTAGCGATTTTTACAAAGAGATATTTTTTACGTAAAAAGTCACAGAGATGTATATTTTTTCGCTCTGTAGTTTTATACAGGTAAGGACAAAGCTTCAAAAACTTCAATACAGTTAAAATACATGTAGGTGGCGTCCTCTACTAGTAGGAGTCATATTGACACCAAAATCAAATTTCTCATGTCAAAAAACTGCCAGACACCAATTTTCATCCAAATATTGACGTTACTTCAGAAACGATTTAGAAAAAATCGAAATAAATATGAAATTTCTACACCCTGTATCTCTGAAAGTAAGCATTTTAGGACATACATTTATACGAAATTTTTTACTTATTTTTGTCTGTAGAATATGCTGCCGAAGTTTCCGGAATACAGTTCGGACCACTCTGTATACCGGGTGTCCCAGAAATAAGTGCAAGTATTTTAACTGGTAGTATATTTCGGCCTCAGAAACACGCCTATGAGGTTTTTTTGCGAAAAAAATTGAGAACTTGGAATTTTTTGAAAAAAAATTTGGAAATTTTTTAAGTTAAAAAAATATAATTTCTTGATAATATGGCAACATAGGTAGTAGATTAAATTTACATGAAAGAAAATCCAGAAAATATCCAGTGGTTCTCAAAATTAAATGTAAATTTCAAAGTAAATAACTCGGTTATTTTCGACTTATTTGAAAAATGTTAAAGAGAAAAAATGTTTCTTTTGTTTAGATCTATCGCCCCTTAAAATATTTGCACTTATTTCTGAGATACCCTGTATAATAACTGATTTTTCTCATATACTGATCAATCTCTAATAGTTTTCGAGATAAAAAATAAAACATGTGTAAAATTGACAAAAACATGATCTTCAATAAGCATTGGTTAAATCATAAATTCGGCATATTGAAAGTTGAAATTTGTTTTAGAGAGTAAGGAAAGTCATTATTATCATATTCGATCTGTCTAAATCAGTTGATTGAATAACAGGGAGATCAAAAAAATTATTTATTTCTATTTGTTATAAAATCGTTCAAATCATTATTATTTTAAATGCAAGCCTATGTATAGTATTAAACAATCGAAACAAAAATAAAATTGCTTTTCAACGATATATCATGTTCCTATACTTAAACCTTCTGGTTTCTTCAGTAAAGTCATTTAAAAGATAATAATTCTATTATAGTTGTTTCGTTTAAAGAAAATCGTAACTATGATAAATATACAAACTTGTAAGTAAGCTGGCTGCCAACTTACTTGAATTTCTTTCCAGCTATTAAGTATACTTATATGGCCGTGTCTAATTGTACTTCAAGTACCCTTGTACCTTGTCAACCGGGCTTTAGTATAAACTTTGTTTCTAGCGACTCCTGTGGCAGTAACAGCCCAGCCATTATTGATCAGCACTTCTTGAACAGAAGCAATTCAAATTCGCCAGAATCGGACTACCCAGCCAGTATTAACAGTCCAGAATTAGCAGAACTACTGGTATGTTAAATTTATTATTTACTGACTGATATTATGACTTATGCCATACAAGTCCATGCTTTATTAATGATACCTACTTATTATTATTAACCAGATTTTAATTCGTTTTACTTGTTAGTTATGTGTCTTAAAAAATCAACTACAAACAGCGTATGAATTCATTTCTCTAACCCAGCTGTATACTTTAACTAGTTTTGGTTATATTACATTTTAATTTAATTATTTTAATTCTACTATGTTGCCTAATTAAATAACTAAAGTAGCCTAAAAACGACGCGTTCGGTGCAAAAAATAAAAGTGTTTTGGTGTATTGTGGTGAATTAGTTTTATTTTGCTGTTTTAACACCAAAGGTTCCAACCCCCCAACTGTAAGGTTAACTACGATATTATCTAAATACAGGGTGGTCCGAATTGTATTCCGGAAACTTCGATAGCATATTCTGCAGATATAAATAAGTAAAAAAGTTCATATAAATGTATGTCCTAAAATGCTTAGTTTCGGAGATACAGGGTGCAGAAGTTTCATTTTTATTTCGATTTTTTCAAAATAATTTCTGAAGTAACGTCAATATTTGGATGAAAATTGGTATCTGGGAGTATTGTGACACGAGAAATTTGATTTTGTTGTCAAAATTACTCCTATTTGTAGGGGGCGCCACCTACATGTGTTTTAACTGTTTTGAAGAGTAATAACTTTTCGAAAGTACCTGTATAAAACCACTGACTAAAAAATATACATGTTCATGACTTTTTATGTAAAAAATGTCTCTTGGTAAAAATCGCTACGAGCAACCGTTCTCAAGATATTTAGAATGGAAATAGTCAATACATGTCATTATTGACAAAAAATAAGCACACGTTGAGTATAGTTATTTGACTGAAATACTAAATTTTATTTTTTTTAAATTAAGCATAAGTTTTTCTGCGAAAAAATGATGATTAAACAATTTCTTTTGAACTTTTGACACAAAAAAATTTCAAATTTATGATTTCAGTCTAATTACTATTTAGTCAACATGTTTAATTTATGTCAATGATGACAGGTATTGATAATTTCGATTCCAAATATCTCGAGAACCATTACTCGTAGCGATTTTTACCAAGACACCTTTTTATGTAAAAAAGTCGCAAATGTATATTTTTTTACTCAGTAGTTTTATACAGGTACCGACGAAAAGTTATTACTCTTCAAAACAGTTAAAACACATGTAGGTGGCGCCACCTACAAATGGAAGTCATATTGACATCAAAATCAAATTTCTCATGTCAAAAAACACCCATCCACCAATTTTCATCCAAATATTGACGTTTTTTTAGAGATTATTTGGAAAAAATCGAAATAAAAATGAAACTTCTACACCCTGTATCTCCAAAACTAAGCATTTTAGGACATACATTTATACGAACTTTTTTACTTATTTTTATCTGCAGAATATGCTGCCGAAGTTTCCGGAATACAATTCGGACCACCCTGTATAATATTTTTCCTTACTGTCCTATAAATAATCTTAAAAATATCAAAAATGTATAGAGTGTAATGTAAGTTGCGTATTTAACTTGTTTGTAGAGAAAAAATTCTGTATAGAAAAGAGAATCCTCAACCCAATATACCGTGTGGTGCACCGGAACGCGGGACATAGAAAATCCCATGTAAATTTTGAAAAGGTCAAATATCTCCCCAGATGATTTTATGCAAAAATTGTATTAGACTTTTTTTAAGAGACGTTAAAGTTGTACTTTTGTCTAGAATTTCGTTTCATTTGGAATAGTCATTTAAAAGTTATTTGCAAAAAAACTACCTTCAAATTACTAAAAATTTTATAATATGGTCCAGAGAAAGCTACAATTAAAATACCAGCAAAAATATGATTTTGTCATTGTCAAATTCGATGTCATATTTTTTTTGTGTACAAGAATTTCTGTGGTTTGAAAAAGTGGTTAATTTTTTTTTAATTGGAATGATCATCTACAAAAGAATTAGTTGAACTGAGAATATTATCACAGATTATACAGATTATAATCTTTGTTTTTTCTTTATTGTTTTTCGTGGTTCCAATTTTCGGAATCGGGCACTAGTGAGGTGACTAGTTTGCGCACATAGCACGCCCACTTATGGCCTCTCAAAATGTGCACAGCGCCTGACCGGCACAGTTATTCGAGAGATATCGGAAAACCGAATAGCGTCATCCAGTATTAACGCGTACCTTATCATGGTTACGATATGCGCGAGTCAACGCAACACCCGCTAATAACGTTACCGCCTGAGCTAATTTGCGGATCAATTACATCAAGCGCTCTTTCTAAATAACCTCTGATAACGTTTAAAAATTGCTTAAATGGGCATGTGCGGGTATTTGACAACCGGAGCCGGCCGGCGAGATCTTTTCTTTTAGGTTATGTTTGAATTGTTTTGAATTATTGCTTTAGTTTTATTAGATAATTTTGATATTTAAGTAGCTGAGATTAGTTTTAATTAAATAAATATGGCCCAAAATATGGATTCCACCTCTTCCAATACTAAAGAACCTATAAAGAGTCTTAGGTTTACAGCAGATGACGACTTAGCCCTTCTAAGAGAATTTGTTGCTTGTTGTCCAAAACCCATTGGCAGACGTTGAACAATAAAGCACTGGAAATAAGCACTTTAGCCCTTAAGTTTTAAAATACCTAGTAAACAAAACAATTTCAAAGTTTTATATTCAAAGTTAGGTTAAGTTTAAATAGCGGACGCGACGCGATCAGAATTCTTTCCGATCCGATAACTATAAATGAAGAGAGTTAATACCACCTCACGTAAAGGAAATAACACCTGGCCTTATTAACGTCCATGCACGCTATTCGGTTTAGCGATATCTCTCTATTACGCTGTTTATTGTTATTTTACACGAGTTTACTTTTGCGCACAGGGAATTTGACTCGTTTGCACATCGTCATAAAAAACAATTTTCGTACTACGAATTAGGGACAAGATTTTTATCTGTATAATTATAGGATACCTAATCTGTGATATTATTCGCGGTGTATGAGTTGTTTGCTGTTTATTACTCGAAGGCCTTGATCATACCACATACATCCACAATAATTCAAGGGATAATCGAAATATTTGTAACACACAGTGGCGGACTAGGGGGGGGGCGGAAGGGGCGGTCCGCCCCGGGCCCCGTCTTTTAGGGGGCCTCCGAATCTTAATAAGTCATTTTTTATTCAACATATAAACAGTATAAATGGAAGCAGATATTTACTTAATTATCAATGATCAGGCCCGAGTAATTGTCAATGGCATTTTCTATTTAGGAAATTAAATCAAGGGGTAATTTTCTTTGTTTAAAATATCGAATAATTATTATTTTTTATATATTTTGAGACTGAATTTATTTATTTTAACTTTTAAGTTATTTTTCAATGGTTTCATTATTTATTTTTACTGAATAAACATTTTAAATTACAACCAATGCACACCATAACTCGTATTCTAGCTTAATTACTGATGATGAGCAGAGAAGTCTTTAGTATAACGGGGGCCACGGGCCTGAGACAACGAAGGGGCCCCTCGGATCTTGGAGGACTTACAAAATCGCGATATTTTGTCGCGGCATTTCCCTGGAAGCATTTTTAAGAAAGAAAATTTCCCTGGAAGCATTTGTTAAAAAAATGTGTACAGCCTAAAAGTCAAATTTAGTGATTATCACAGCCCCTGTGACATAAAGAAAAGACATGTGTCTATAGTCTGTCCAACGAGAAGATCCTTGACAGTGATAGATGTGTCTGTCATTTTAATTTCAAAGTAGTTTATTTTATTTTACAAAGAAATAAGTTGGTACAACTGGAACGCATAGCAGGATATATTTAAAATTTGATTGACAAGATGACAAGTGATTACTTCAAAATATTGTGAAAAAAACTGTATAAAACTGAAAAAATGTAATCGAGTTATTTTATTTAATAAAAACGGTATGTGTTAATACAAAACAAACAAGAACAAGACACTACATACCAAAAAAATATAAAAAAAGAACTATTATTTACTTTCAAGCTTTATGAAACTACCCTCATTTATGATTATATTTATCAATATAACTTATGTACAAATACAAATTTGTAATATTCCACAGGAATAAATAAAACAACATAGGTAAATAAAACAAACTATTTTATTAATAATAACACCTGCCAAATTTTATACCTTAAAGGTTGATTCATTAACTTTAATCTTAATTTTTTTAAACCAGTACCTTTTGACATTATTTTTCTGCAGTACTAAAATCCATTATTTACCTATCGTGTGATGTCGATATTTTACAGCTACTCCAGTTTTTAGTATGTGTTTAGTTTGATCCTTTTGCCATATATGAGATGCACTTATCTACGACGAAATGGTATACAAACTTTATCGATGGCAACTTCATTGGTGTATAAGACTTTCTGCCTGGGCAGCGAGTATTAACCATAAACTGTGCTCTGGGTCTACAGTTAATTTTCACTCGATTTTTCCTCCACTTGACTTCAAAAGACACAAAACACACTTAATAATACGAATCAAAATGCATCATCTTCCAAAACGCAGGGTATTTAACATAAGTTGACACAAAATTATAACCTATAATTTGGCAAGACTTTGACAAGCGTCAAAAATGACAAAAATCTAAAGGCGAGTTCATACGCATCGGCGTCCGTTTGTCGTTCATCGTTCAATAAAACTGGTTAAAAACAACAAGACACGACGCATGACGGATTTATATTTAAACCCATCCATAGATAACTTAAAAATTATTAGAAACTTTTTTTAGTAAAATAAATAGATTGGTATGGGACGTCATCTGCTTTTCTTCTGTTATCGTCTGTCGAAATCTTACCTGAGAAAAAAAACAGAGTATATCTATTTCAAAGATTAAATTGTTCAAATGTCATATAATAATGGCGGTAGCTGTCATGGAATTGAGCGATTAAAAAATTATCATAAATTTTTTTTTTCAAATAGAAACCCGCTTTTTTTATTTCACTAGTAAAAAGGTTTTCCAATTCGTTACGTTTTAACTATAGACATATTCCTATACCTAAAATAAATCGTTTTTAAGTTATTTAAGATTTAGTTTGAAAACGTATATTTTTCTTGATTTTATCTCGCTTCCTTTGACATTAAGTGTCAAACAGTCAGAAAATTTATTTCCATCTGTCAGAAAATGAATTATTTGGATTTCCTATATTATAACTACTGCTGCTTAAAAAGTGTATTTATATAAATATATGATAGTGGTAATCTCGACCGTACTTCTAAATTTACTGTGGAACAATATCGGGTAGCGGTCTGTAGATTCAATTTAAACTAATTTGTTTTTAAACTCGATATTTCGTTAATTTTTATTAACTTCTTCAGGAGTAAAACATTTAGTCATTGAATATAATCCTATTATAACATGAACATTTTACAACTTGCACAAGACAAAGCATTTCAATATAAAATATATGTCAACAATTATCAAATCAAGTACGCTGGACAGAAACAGAATCAGTACTATACTGATTCTGTTAAAACGATTTATTTTAGGTACAGGAACATGTATAGTCAAAAAGTAACACATTTTAAAAACGAAAGCATTTTCACGAGTAAAATAAAAAAAGTTGATTTCCATTTGAAAAAAAGAATGATTTATGATAATTTTTTAATCGCTCAATTCCATGACAGCTGCGGCCATTTTATTATATGACATTCGAACAATTTAATTTTTGACATAGATAGCCACATGACTTCTCTTTATGGTACAGTGGCTGTGGCAATCACTAAATTTGACGTTTAGGCTATATACATATTTTTGACAGGCAGTTTTTTTCCTCCAAAAATTATAAACATTTTTTTTTTCTCAAAAACGGTTAACGTTAGGTATAGAGTATTTAATATCAAAATTCATGAAATTTTACAGAGAATTTAAGTATGTAATAAAAAATGGGGACAAAATAAGAAAGTTGCTGTCAACTTCCGGTACTTCCGAAAGTGCCGCCATATTGAAAAGATTTTTAATCGATAGATCTCATTGTGAAACAATGATATGCACAAAATCTCATATCTAGATGTTGTAGTTCTCTAGAAACTTCAAACGCAGGCTCAGCCTGGGACACTCTGTATAAATACTTGAATTTTGTCAGCCATTATACATACGTCATTCAATTTTTATAAAATGTGCATTAGAAGTATATCATTATCTAAAAAGACCGGGGGCCACATTTAGCTTCGCCGCCCCGGGCCCCCGACAGGCTTAGTCCGCCACTGGTAACACAAGGAACTTTATTAAACTAAACCTACTAATTAATAAAATGTTTACATAATTCCCCATTCACAGCCAAACAATACCCTAAATTATTGTGAAATTCGCGCCTCACAATACAAAACTGTTAAGGGGAGAATCTTTAGCATTCAACAGAGGTGTCGTTTTCAGTCCATCTAAAAATTTCTGTATTTAATATGCCTATAAAGACGGTTTTTGAGTGTGCTCCGCAGGAAGAAGTCCGGCGAGAGATCCTGTGGTCTTTTCCTACTATATCCGCGATAAACGTAAGTCAGTGTCTTTCTTTTCTTCAAGGTGAAGAATATTCATTGTTCTTTTCTTCCTGTTCAATTATTTTTGTCTTCACTCTTCCATGTACTTAATACCTTAATGCCTTTAGTTTCAAACCTCCGGTTTATTCTTTAAACTGTTCACTTATTCGGCATAGGCTTTCCGGACACTGAACCGTGAACAAATCTAACACAACTTGAACACTATTTCTAGCAAAATGCCATACAGAAGTTGAGAGATTCATAATTATTTTATACAAAACTAGCGACTTCGTTCGCGTCGAATTAATCATTTGTAATGGTGATGATAAAGCAAAGCAAGAATTTCCATTCACATACAAACTAGATAAAATTTTCTCACATTTATGTCAGCATGAGAAAAAACAATATGGCGATATTATTATACAGGTTGTTAATTTGTTTATTACTCGCGGCAAGAGCTTTATGGTGGAAATATGGCAACCCCGGCCCGCTCGTCGAGAGACGACGCGACGGGCAGCTTAGCTTAGACAGTGTTGCCATTCTGTTCCCCAATAAGTAACCGTCCAGTTAACAATCTGTATAACTTCTGTTTAAAATCTGTTTGCCAAAAATGAGCTTTTTACGTCAAGCAGTTTATGCAGAATCGTGGTTCGTGATTAATCAATTACCCAACTTTTTGGGTCACCCTGTATGATTTTTTAAAAAAATTCAAAATACGTAAAAAACAAAATAAATTATGAGTGTCCAAGTGTTTTCCCGAAAGACTAACTTTTAAATAACAAATACTTAACATTTGAGGGGCGTTTTCACCCTCTTGGAAGTTGAGATTCGAGAAATCCCTGCTTATCGAACCTCTACACCCTACAGTCAATCCGTTTACCAAAAATCAACTTTTTACATCAAGCGCTTTAAGGAGGATCGTGATTATCAATGACCAGATTTTTTGAAACATCCTGTATACATTTTTAAAAAATCTTAAAATATGTAAAAAAACAAAATAAAATATACGTGTTTAAGCATTTTTTCAGAAACTTGACCGTTTTTTAAATAAAGAATATTGTAATATTTGAGAGGTGATTTCACCCCCTTAGAACTAGAATTTCGAAAAATCCCTTCTTATCGAACCTCTACACCCTAGAATCAACTTGTATGCCAAAATTGAGCTTCTTACGTTGAGTGGTTTGAGCAGGATCGTGATTAATCAGTCAGTCAGTCACTTAAGGATTTTATATATTAGTTTGCCTGTTTGGTGGTTAGTACCTGTTTGGTACCTTCAAATTTTCGTAAACAAAATGTGACATCGGATTTGACAATGACACAATCGCATTGGTATTTTAATTGTAGCTTTCTCCGAGCCGTATTATAAATTTTACTAATTTGAAGGTAGATTTTTGCAAATAACTTGACTGTAATAAATGACTATTCCAAATGAAACGAAATTCTAAGTAAAAGTACGACTTTAACGCCTCTTGAAAAAAGTCTAATACAACATTTGCATCAAATCATCTGGGAAGATAATATTTGACATTTTCAAAATTAACGTGGGATTTTCTATGTCTTGCATTCCGATGCACCACACGGTATTATTTGTTCGTCTAGAATAATTCTGAAGAGATTCCACATAATCTTCTTTTCAATACCGCGATAATAAAAAAATCATTTGTGGCAAACTTTATGCATATCAATTAACTTCATTCTAATTAGGTACTTTCTTCTGATCCATTTGTGCTTTTATTAACTGCAGGGTTCGTTGAATATAAACGACACCGCATCCAGGAACCCGCTAAACGGAGCCGCTAACAATTCCCTTGACTGGGACCTCTCTAACATTCAGAATTTGCAAGCTCTCAGATACCTGCAGCAAACCTCTCCCGCCGTTTACAATTCTTTATTTCCATACGGAAATCCTTTCGCGCCCCAGGTAATATACCGTATGACCAAATAATTTTATAATAGGCTTGGTGCATTCTCCGCCTGTGCTGCCACCATCGGAGAATACCATAAACAGCTGACTAAACAAATACACGGGTTTATATAGCGAATACACGAAAAATTTGTTATAATATTATTTGAAAAGTATTAGTAACTGCAATTTGTGAAAATTCTAAAAAGAATTAAAAATTATGTAGTATATAAGTATGCATTAGTCATTTACTGTCCTCCATTCACGCAGTTGTGCAGCTCTGAACTGTTCAAGAACGCGATACTCTCCCTCCATTCAATTGAGTCATAAAGTTCAGAACTGTTCCGCGCCATATGGAGGCACCAGGCTATCGCGCACAGCTCCTTTCAGAACCGTTCTCGAGTAGCCCAATGCGTAAAGCTCTGGAACTTGAAATTCGCGAATGGAGGACAGCAATTATAATAATGTGTTTTATTATACAGGGTATCATAAAATTTCAGCTCAGAAGATATTTAAAAATAAAAAACGAAATGAACCACTCTCGTTCAAATACTCTGTCGACGGACTGTCAGCTCACCGCAACGCAAGCGGAATGTTCAAAGAAAACAAGCCTTAAGTGTAGTTTTAGAACACGTCCATAAAAAAATCAAGCACTAGTCGATTTAAAAGAAGAATACTATTTATATTGATTAAATAATTATATTTTATCCTCGTAGTAGATGCCGATTTAATTTTTTGATTATGTAATTGGCACTTTGTTTGCTCACGTGTTTCGTCGAACTTCCTGAATCCTTTTTTGCTTTTAATCAGATCGGTGTGATAAAGCTGAAAACCTGTAAAATGTTGAGAAATAGTTGTCGTGAGTGTTATTGGACCAAAAACCACGCTTAAATTATGCTCACCTTTTCGTGTTGACATTTTTTCGGCTATTTTATTGTCACTTAAAACCAGAGATATGGAAGTGGGAGAATGAGCTTCGACGAGTGCGCATCCAAATTTTTGTCGACGGCAAGATGGCAGACATCTTCCAGGTCTCGCTGTCACTTCCCCTCTTTAATTGGCATCTGTTTGTTTTGTTTTTTTTTCGTTTGTGTTGTTATCTATTTAAAATTTATTATTATCTCAATTATTCTAAACACTAATTCAAAAAGGCTTGTTGTATATTGTCATAGTCATTCTAAGAAAGCTAATACGCCGGGAAAAATGATTAGTTTTCATGTGTAAGTTTATACAACATAATCGTGTTTTCAGATGATCCAAAACTGTTTATTTTTAGTTTTCCTAAAGGCGATTTGTAAAAATCGTGATTGTAATTGGGAATGGTCAAAATAAGTGTATGATGTGGCCATTTAAGGAGGATGTTTTTATTACGTGTGGAGGAAGAAGATACTTGGAATCAATGTTCGTGCTTCTGTAAAACAGTGCACTCTTATAGTGTCCATGAAAGCACAAGTTCAAGTGTACCAGAAATATGTCAAATAAGATTGGTCCTTACTTGACAAGAAGATTATTTCGAGGAAAAGAAAACAAGATAGGGTATTTTAATCGAACAGCGAAAATTTAACATTTTTATTGTAAAGTTTGTTGTAGGTAGTTGTAGTTTTGTGCTAAATATTTCTAACATTAGCAGCAGCCGTGTTCAGAGTGTCAAGAGGAGGAGAATTCAGTTAATTAGATTTATGCACAGTTACAGGTATGAAGGCTTTTTCAAACATAGTATCGAGTTCTATAGTCAACATTTTTAGTATTCCTACAACTGTAAAAACAAGGAACATTGGACTGAAAAAATGGCAAGATTTATACAGGAAGAAAGGGTATTATGCCAATAAGAAAATTAAATCTGTAGGCAGAAGTTTCTTATTTAAAAACTGTTATGGGGCATATATTAATTTGTATCTGTGCCACAAATCACTGAGAAAAATCATATAATATTCATAATTGTTAACGAGATGATATTTAAAGAGTGTTAAAAATGAGACTATTAGTCATGAAGCTTACAAGGTTACTTTGTTTCAATATTACACTTTTATTCTTGTAAAATCTATGATGAAGTTCAAAAGCATTTTGCAATGGCCTTAAATTGTGAGCCAGGATTTATAGCAAAGGTATTTGATGCAATAAAACTTAATCGGTACCTTCCAGTATGTATTTTAGTAAGGGGATTGTCAATCCCATGTTTTTAAATAGATAAAATACAGGCCAAAGTTGACAATATTACAGTTGAGAAGAAACTATTTTATCTTAAAAAAAATTTCTTAAAATTCTGAGATCATATAATCTAATTTTCTTAATAATAAATTAGGTATATGTATGTTGTACATACAGAATTTTGTTATGGACAAATAAGGATCGACAAGCTTCTTTTGTGCAAAAAATAAATGATTTTTTCTAGTATTACGACAAACCATAATGTGTTTTACAAACTTACCGGTAACAGTTTTTTTTATAATAAAATATTTAGGAATAATTTGGGTTGTTTATCAATATATTAATGACTTGAATTTTGACAAATTGAATTTGTATCAAAATAATTTTACGAAATATAAAATTGATGTTCTATTACAAGATTGAGTTTTTATTGTCGACAAAAACCAGGATAAATACTAATAATAATACCCTTAATAAAATCAATGATGTTTATGTATTATGAAAATATTTGTTACAGGACATGTTATGTAACTGTTTTTGAAACACAATTTGAAGGGACGAATAAAAAAAATAAAACAAAAACATATTTTTTCTAGGTTTATATTAAAAATACAAGGTAGGTAATAATCAAAAATAATTATGAACCAAATGTTTTTTATGAATATACAACTTGAACAAAAAGTTGTTTAGAACAATTTTTACCAAATTTGCAAAAATTTTAAATTGAAACGCGTAATTCAGTGCAAGTAAACATGAAATATTGTAAATACTTATTTAATATCATTTCGAGTGTTTAACGCCGAAAAGGTCATCTGTCCGTAGCGTCTTTTGTCAGAATATTCGTATATTTAGTGTATTATATACCAATATTGTACGCAGTTTTGAAACTGATAATTAAATAAATCATATTAACGTTAACTAACCATAATAAATGATAGAATTTCAGTAAATTTAAATTGCCCCCCGTATGGTTGAGAACAGCAAATTGATATTTGATTACTTATAGATTACCACCTATATACAAAATGACACGAAGACCTGGAATATGGCGCCCAACTTGATTAGACCTTCTGCGCATGTTGAAGCTCATTCTCTATCCCTTCTATTTCTCTGCTTAAAACTGGCAAAACATAACGCGTCGCCCATTTGGGTTCTTTTTTACTTAATTTTTAGTAACCAAAACAGCTTTACATCAGACAAACTTCATATCTGAGAATATAGTTTATAGTTTCAATAACCTTCGCTAGTAAAAACTAAAATACTTAAATATAGGTATAACAAAACCACGATTTTAATATTATTTCAATACGATCAACACGAACGGACTGCATGAAATATAGAGCTGAAAAGTTCTGATTTCTGCCGTACCGAGCGCTGCTGTCGAAATTTTAAAAATCAACTGAAATGCACCAAGCCTATAGAGTTACAAAATGTGAAACAGTGGTATAAGTTATATACAGACAAAATGTAAAACAGTTGCTTCAGGGCACTATAGTTATTATCCTTGTTTATATATTTTTATAGGCTTGGTACATTTTAGTTAAGTTCAAAAAAAATTGACCGCGCTCTATACGGCAGAGATCAGAAGTTTTTTCAAGCAGTTCGACGAAACAAGTGAGTAAACAAAGTGCCCATTACATAATTAAAAAAATTAAATAGATGGGGGTAAAATATATTTGCAATATTAATGGTAAACTCTTTTTTTTAATTAATTAGTGCTTAATTTTTTTATGAATATCTTCGAAAATTATAATTATGTACCTTCAAAATAGCCCAATTATGTCCTCAGTAGCAAAATCGGTGCGTAAAACTATGCTCGCTACCGTAGTTGAACTCATCTAAAAAGTTTTATCAGCTTCAATAATAAATTATAATATTAGACCTTATATAGTTAGACCTACTGAAGATATCAAAATATTTACTTTTGTATTTTTTTTTAGAATTTTCGCAAATTATACTTAACACTTTTAGAATAATTATATAAACTTTTTTTCGTATACTCGCTATTTAAACCCGTGTATTTGTATATTCCGATTGTTTATGATATTCTACTATGGTGGCAGCACCGGCAGAGAATGCACCAAGTTTATACATGGCTAATATGTAATATATTACGTAAATTATTTTTATTTCTTTTCATTTTTTTTAGATAGTAAATAAGTGGTCTAATAATACTTCAGTTCTCAACTCAGTACCAGAAGCCTTCTACTTAGACAGAGCTGTTCGCTTTCATCGTTTCGCCGCATGTAAGTAATAGTGATTAATATATCAAAGCAGAAATATTTTATACCAAAAAAAAATATTTTTCTCACTTACCAACATATACAGCGTGGTCCACTTTTTAGTAGCAGTTTTTACTTTATCAGTCAATTTTAAAACATATCAATAATAGAAATAAGTCGATGTGATTTTGAGCCTCTATACAATCAAATACCTTTATAGGAAGATATCACATCAAAAAAATGTATATGAAAAAAAAACGTTAGTTTCAACAAGCAATCACATACTGAATTTTAATTCTGAAAAATAATATTTTGGATTTAATTATTTTTCAGCTGTTTACGATGCAGTGTGCACCTGGAGTGGCGTACTGCCTCTGCGAAACGAAAAACCAACTGGGTACTCCAGCAAGGTGTTCTTGGGTGGTGTACCTTGGGACATATCAGAGCAGTGTTTGATTCAGGCATTTAGACAATTCGGACCTATTAAAGTGGAGTGGCCAAGAAAGGGACGACTTTCATCACAACCCAAAGTAATTTTACACTTAACGGGAACCCTACACTCATCGATTTGATCTGCATGCCAAATCGCACAATTCAGATCTGAATACCAAATCGATAGCTATCTTTTCACACTACACGTTCAGAATCTGAACGTGTAGTGTGAGAAGATGAACATGAACTTCAGATTTTATAATAGATAATTTTGACAGTCTATAGTCTACTACAGTTCCTATCAAATCTGTGGTCTGTGCATTTAGAAATATTCAGCATATTGAAAGATCGCCAGATCTCATCCCTTTTGAGACTTTGTCTCACTACACGTTGAGACTGTACAGTTCAAATCTCTCAGATATCGTTTCGTGTGGGGCCCTTTTTACATCATAAAATTCTTTTTTTTTTTAATTTATTTTAAAAAACTGTTTCTTAACTTCTCTAAATTCTGGTTAAAATAATCTGCTAATTTAAAGAGTCTTTGTTTTCATCACTTTCTTGTACCAATTTGTTTTTTACACAAATTTCAAGGAACGACCGAGAAATTGAAAATTAGCAAAAGTTATCCACGGTCGGCAAGCTCTGACTTTGGGTGTTGATTTTTGCGTGTGCGAAGAGTACAGAATATAGTCGTGTTCAGTTTTATTTATAAGATGTACTGAACAAAGAGAGAAGTATAAATTAAGTGGTTTTATAATAAGCACTTCACATATTTCTCTTGAAGAATTACAAGATCGCCATAGCGATTAACTCCTAGACATGGAAATACCGATCTAAAACTCTTCATTGCTGAAAGAGTATATGTTTTACTAATTTTGAGAGTTAGCACACAACAGAAAATGTAAAATTTTTGCTTTTACTCCCATTTTTTCATTTTCAAAATAAAATATTGGATCTAATTTTTCCAGTCCAGCAGGCAGTGACGATTTTCGGTACTTATTTTCCCAGTCAACAATGACCGATAGAATTATTCGGTATGTTATTCTAAGCAAATTTCATATACAGAGTGTTTCAAAAAACATGTGTCATCTCTCGTGGGGAGATACCTCACGGAAAAATAAGACTTATTTTTAATATCAACATAGGTCCGATTCTGCTTTGTTTTGTAGCTACAGGGTGTTAAAATCTTAATAATCTTTCAAATTATTATAACTTTCTTCCAAGCGCTTTTTGCGATTTGACTGAAATTTTTGGGGGCAAAAGTTTAAGTTAAGTTACTATAAGATTGTTACATATTTTAATGCTAAAAAAGTGTGAATAAATTCATCAGGGACGTGCAAATGGGTTATCACTGGAATATTTTTCAAAAAAAAAAGCATGTGCGCCACTGACTTTTTTCTTTTGATGTCAAAATTGTGTTGGCCGTTTAATGCTAATTAAAAGTTTGCTCTTGATATTTTGTCCAATTCGGCCTCCTTGATGAGATACATGCAATTTTATTAATCACAATTAATAAAATTAAAATAAAAATACAATTAATTAATTATATATTTTACCTAATTTATTAGTAAATATTATTACTATTAGTTATTATTACTTTTAATCAGCAATATACAGCAATTTCGAATAAAAAAATAATGGTATTTAAGATAATTACAAAAAACTCATTTTAAAAAATTTTAGCAACCTGTAACTCTAAAACTATGCATTTCCATACCCATGTTTATAGGAACTTTTTTTTCATATTTTTTGATGAGGAATCAATAAGTACTTATTTAAAACTTTCGCAAGTTAATATTATTAAAAATTTTTAAAGGTTGTGATTAGACTTAGAACAAAACAAATTAATAAAATTGCGTCTATCTCACCAAGGAGGCCGAAACCGTCAAAATATCAAGAGACAACTTTTAATAGGCATTAAACTGCTTACACTATTTTGCTAACAATAAAAAAAAGTCAGTGGCGTACATGCCATTTTTAGAAAAATATCCCAGTGATAACCCATATGCACGTCCCTGGTGAATATGTCGACACTTTTTTAGCCTTAAAATATGGGGCATTTATAGTTACTTTTACCATCAAAATTTCATTCGTAACGCGTTTGGTTAGTACTTGGAGGAAAATTATAATAAATCAAAAAAATATTAAGACTTTAACACCCTGTAGCTACGAAGCAAAGCAGAATCGGACCTATGTTGATATGAAAAATAAATCTTATTTTTACGTGAGGAATCTCCCCACGAGATATGGCACATGTTTTTTGAAACACCCTGTATATGTAGGGGGGTCTGGTAGGCTGAGGCAAAAAAATGCATTAGAAAGTATAAATATTTTAAACTTTTTTTTCCAGCGGTAAAAATACCTCTATTAGTGAGAGATGTTATTGCAGTTAAGAAAAAAATAGTCTGGCTAATCTATGAGAATGGGTAACATGTTTGGTAGGTGAAAAATTGGATAAAAATTATTGAAACCATTGCCCTTATTCTCGCAGTCCTAAAAAAATTGACAGATGATACTTTATATTATAATTACAGCTGCAAATATAGTCTGGCTAATGTAGAACATCCCGAAAGTCTTGCCAGACTCGTCCTACGCCCGTCAGGCGCGCAAAATTCGGCATGTTTAATTATACAGTGCCACTTCCTCTCCTCATTCAATTACCTGACTTGTGATGGCACGTGGCGCGTTCTCACGACTTGTACTTGGCAAACATTTGTAATTGATATACAGAGTATACATGATGCGTCGGGCATCTATACAGAATTTCTAAGTTATTTATTATAGGAACTAAGCCACATTATCGCCAGACCCTGTATGCCAATAAAAAATACTTGCCAAGTACACGAGTCGTGAGAATGCGCCGGCCGTGAGTCTGGCGGCGTTTTCGTGATTGTAAATGACAGCCGGACGTGTATTTTCTATGAAACTATATTATTATTTATCATGTGAAAAATTATCAAATCCGGAAAAATAAAGGCAAAAATTTTGTAATTTTTGCTCTTATTCGCCATTTTGACTCACTTGCCAATTTTGCAAATCAGCCAGACTTGTTTTTTTTAGTTTATGATAGTATGGAATGATACGTTAAATTTCAAGCATGAAAATAAGGGTATTAATTTTTGCATCCGCAAATTTTCAGCCAGACTGACTTTCCTCCATATGGGATATGGTAGACTGTTATTTCCATTAATAAAATGATTCGCTTTAATAAAAAAAATGTCAACTATTTATGACTAGGAAAAATAAGTGGACTTTTTTATTTTTATCTAGTGAATCCATCCGAAAATTTTAACCAGACTCAAATTGTCATTTAATGTCACTATCCCAACATACTTGTATATGCCTAACCCACTGGGAAAATAAGTACAAAAATATCACTGCCTCCTGGACTGTAATGATTATGGTTGTAAATAAAATAGTAAATAGTATACAAACTTCAGAGGAAAGGTGTCATTACTGTCTCTAAATGTATTTAATTTCTCGACAGTAATTAAACACTGCCCACTCGATTTGTAGTAATAAATCATAATATTCGTTAATAAACTATTTTTAACTTGTTTTGAAATTTATTGGAATCTTTTAGGGGTATGTTTACATAATATTCGAATCAGACAAATGTGTTAAAGCTTTATTGCAAGCTTGTACCAACCATTATGGAAATAATGGTAATCTGTATTACAAGATTGGTTCCAAAAGGATGAAATCCAAAGATGTAAGTATGAATTAGTCATAAGGTTTTTATTATACATGGTGTCATAAAACCTCAACTCGGAAATCTCTCTTAAAATTTAGAATATATTTCTTACAGAAATACAGATTTTTTTATAGAACTTATTAAAAAATTACTTTGATCTGACAGGAAATATTTTTTGTAAGTCAGTTTCGGAAAAACATTTTCGAAATTTCTCAAAAAGTATGCGGCATGGCGTTCATAGGATAACATTCGCTAAAAAAATCAGTCGTTTGTTGGAAATTGGAAAATATTTCTACTAAAATGTATGTAGGTGTCTTTGTCTTTCCTGTACTCGTTATAATTTTTTTTATGAAAGTCAAATGTTAAAACGCCTAACAAAACAAAGGAACCGCAAATCTCGTTCAAGTTGGAATAAGGGTTTTCAAAATACCTTAAAAATGCGTTTTTTTTTTTAAGTTTGATGCCATCTAACGTACAAACGAAGCACTTTTGTATAGTGATAAATTATGTCCAATGAACTTACATATTTTTAATCCAATAATACGTAGTTCTATGTCCACGTAATATTGGAGCACTGTATATTATGTAGTTACTTATTAGGGAAAAGTTGTTCCATATTTTTCATCATTTTTACCTGAACCTGAAACGATTACACGCTGCACAAATAACTATTTTTATATATTTAACTATTTTCCCTAACCTAAGAACTCTGGAAAAGATGCTAGTTAGTATTGGTACTAATGGAAAACGTATAGTCAGATTCAGAATAGATGACTAATGCATCATACTGAATATTCCAATGAACGTATGACGATAGCAAATCCATCCAATAATCTTTTCCATTTTGATGAAACTTCGTGTCCTTATTCGTTCGCCAACGCTGCAAATATCCAACTTGAAGAATTCGCCTATCTTTGTTTAGTGCAGTTTCTAAGACAATAAATTATTAAATTGTCTCACTCTATCACATTTAAAATATTCTGACGTAATCAACATCTTTGTAAGTCGGAGTATTGATTTTTTTAGGTACAAGTTATACCGTGGTATTTGAGCGATTCCAATTACACCAAATCCACCTCTCAAAAGCTGGATCCAAGCAAAACCGTTTTTGTGGGCGCCCTACACGGTATGCTAAACGCCCAAGGCCTTGCCAACATAATGAATGACTTATTTGAAGGTGTTGTTTATGCAGGTAATATAACCGCAGCCTATTCATTAGACAGCCAGTCGACTGCGCTAGTTAGGGTTCCGTACCCAAAGGGTAAAAACGGGAACCCTGTTACTAAGACTTCGCTATCCGTCCGTCCGTCTGTCACAAAGGTCTGTCTTATGAACCGTTAAGTATAGCTAGACAGTTGAAATTTTTACAGATAATGTATCTATGTTGCCGTTATAAGAACAAATACTAAAAACAGAATTAAATAAATGTTTATAAATAAAAAAGTACTTTCACTAAACATTATCTTTTAAGTAAGAATTTTACATAGAATCTTTCAAGTCCTCGGTGGCCGCGTGGTTAAAGCGTTAGGACTTTACGCTGCTATGACGTTGGAGCCGTAGTAAGGCAAGTTCGAATCCTAGTCAAAGCGACTTTTTTTAATCGTTTTTTTTTTAATTTTTACATATTTTTACATATTTATTTTTACTTTTTATATATTTATTATTGATTAATACAATTTTTAGTAATATGTTTCTTCATTTTTTTTTAATTACTTATACGCGCATTCAAAATTTCAGCTAAATCGGAAAAAAAGTTTATAATAATATAGTGTCTAATGTATAGATAATGAATGGTACGGAACCCTTCGTGCGCGAGACCGACTCGCACTTGGCCAATTTTTTTTTAGTATGGCTGCTTCACCTGCTGCGCCTCTTCATACACACGCTGGCAGTCAAAGCAATAGTCTTTGACGAGCTTCATTGGAGCTCTCTCCGAATTCGACTTGTTACATAAGATAAGCGAATATCTAGATAGGTAACAGAGTTCCATGTAAATGATCGTAAGTCGATTGGGTGGCTAATGAATAGGCTATGATATAATTGTGTTAGTTTTTTTTCTAACTTAACAATTTGGGGATCTTGCAGGCATCGACACTGACAAATACAAATACCCTATCGGTTCAGGAAGGGTGACTTTTAACAATCCTAGATCTTATTTGAGGGCGGTATCAGCGGCATTTATTGAAATTAAGACGGCCAAATTTACTAAAAAGGTAAGAAGAAATGTTTATTCGGGTATGAGCCATTTTTAGATTTTTTTAACTTTTTGTAACTTCCTGCACTATACAGGATGACTACGATGATCAAACGAAATATTGGTACATACAGACCGTCACTTTATGTTTTTTTATCAAATAAATTTAAAACTTTGTACCAGGTGGCCAACTAAAAATGGACGCCGGCTGTATCTCAGAAACTACTTATCGTATAACTTTGGGAAAAAAACTCTAATAATTAAATCGACCAAGAGAAATTGCTGGAAGTTATTTTCAAGTTCGAAAAATGTCCGCTAGGGGGCATTTCTGGGATAGACAATCAGAAAACAGGGTTCGTCTCAAAAATATGCAGGTGAACAGGTATTTTAAAAATTACTATTGTAATCATCGAGAAATTTGTAATTTTTCTGATATAGAGTATTTTGCTCTATCTCGTAAAATAAAGTGGTGGGGAAGATTAAACTTGCTTTTATTAAAATAAGGATAACTCTGGTTTAGGTTAGCCGATTTAAACAAACTAGGGCTCGTTTAAAAGAGCTTTTCTTCCTTAATGATCTTCAGTGTAAATTTTGTTTAAATAATTTTCTTTGTTGTAGCTAGAGGGCGCTTTTGCATAAAAAAAATTAAATAGGAGGCTACATTTCTCTTTGCACAGTTAAATAGAGCACAAAATTTCCAAAATATCAGCGCAAACCGCAACTTTCTATCTTCTCTCTAACCGGAGATACAACCTAAACAAATCATGTTAGGCTGCCGCTTAGGATTATATGGTCTAAAAATTATAGTAGTAGGCTAGGAAACAAAAAGATGTAAATTGGTTGCGTCAAAATATCAAAACGTTTAAGTTCAGTTTTCATGCATCTGAATTTCGGGCGTTTTCTTAAAAAAAATGACGTCATAAATTTTTAAACGTGTTTATGTAACATTATCGTCTTAATTTATGGGGTCAAATCAACAACGAACATGGATAAATAACAATTAAATGGTATTAAAATGAAATTAAAATATATGTTTTGATATTTTGACGTTACTAATTTACCTCTTTTTGTTTCCTAGCCTACTACTATAATTTTTAGACCTTATAATCCTCGGCGACAGCCTAATGTGATTTATTTTCTTAATATCTCCCGTTAGAGAGAAGATAGAAAGTTGTGGTTTGCGCTACTACTAACTGTGCAAAGAGAAATATAGCCTCATATTTAAAGTTTTTATGCAAAAGCGCAATATCTGTTATGATGTCAAACAGCGCCCTCTACCTACCACGAAAAAATGTATGGAAACAAAATTTATACTGAAGATCATTAAGCAAGAAAATCTCTTTTAAACATGCCCTAGTTTGTTTAAATCGGCTAACCCAGTTATCCTTATTTTAATAATAGCAAGTTTAATCTTCCCCCACCATTTTATTTTATGACATTTTTTTGATATAGAGCAAAATCCTCTATATAAAAAAATGACAAATTTCTGGATGATTACAATTATATTTAAAATCCTGTTCACCTGCATATTTTTGAGAAAAAATCCTGTTTTCTGATTGGCTATCAGTAAACAGGGTTCCCTAGCCCCCTAGCGGACATATTTCGAAATTGAAGATAATTTCCAGCGATTTCTCTTGGTCGATTTACTGATTATCATTTTTTACCCAAAGTTATACGATAAGTAGTTTCTGAGATACAGCCAATGTGTCCATTCTTAGTTGGCCACCCGGTACTATTGTATTTGTTATTTTGTATAATTAAATATTAATTTACCACTCATCACATTTCTCATTAAAAAAATTGAGGTGCATTTTTTTACAAGATCCAAAAAATGTGCTAAATTCTAGACCCTTTTTTAGGAAAAAAAATCAATTATCGTTGAATTTGTAATTTGTAAAGCATGTCTGCGAGTATTGATGTAGGGGTGAGGGTAGTTATTTTTCCCTTATGTGTTTTGTCAAAGTCGAATATTAAAAGTAGACATTCCGAATCTCAAATCGAATTAACGGTTCTTAAAATATCTTTTTTTTTTTAATTTGTTGCTACACTAGAAGACAAAAAATAATATCACCGCGCTTACTTAAGATCACTTAAAACATCGATAAAAAATACCAGGTGCGTCTCATAAGTGACGCACCCCTATAACTTTTTTATTTTTTCAGATAAAAAATCGAGATTTGGTATGGCCCGTATGTTAGTATATGACATAAATTAGGATTGATTGACGTATTCAATTGTTTTTGGTCACTTGCTGTTTCACCGGAAATGAGTACGTCTTTTGATTTTTAAATGGCACCCTCCATATTTTGTTACTTTGTTCAATAGAAAATGACACTCTGAATAGAATAACATATTATCATATGTCAACTCTTAACATTTTCGAATATGGTTTATTTGAAATTGCAACATGCGATTCATAACGACAATTTGACTCTAAATACCAAGAGTGTGGTACATTATTCGTAAAAAATGCTTTTTACAAATATGGCTAATGAGTCACCCTCGTTCCGTTTGAAAAATGAAGATATGATTAAAAATGCGATTTGGGCACCTTTAACTGGCCAATTCAAGACACTAAAAACATTAGACGATCAAACTTATTTTTCCAAGGCTCCTTGATTAAAACTTAGTGTTTTTAACACAGCTCTGACACTCTAGATTGAAATTTAAAATACGATTTTGTTTTAAGCGAAAATGTCAAAAGTTGATATATGATGTTATTCTATTCAGAGTGTCATTTTCTATCGAATAAAGTAACAAAATAAGGAGAGTGCCACTTAAAAATTGTGTGTGAATACGCCAGTCAATCCTAATTTATGTCATATACTAACATACAAAATCTCGTTTTTTTATCTGAAAAAATAAAAAAGTTATAAGGGCGAACCACTTTTGAGACGCACCCGGTATAGGGCGATTCCAAAACCCCTTCGCGTGTCATTATAGTCAGTTCGCTGTTATTTTCATACCTGTTATTTATTGGATGTGAGAATAACTGCTCTCAACTGTTATTCCTAAACAACAATACTAAAATGGTATTTAACAATAACATAGAAATACTATTTCAGCTTAAGGAAAATTGCTAATTTAGAGAAAACGAATTAGAATCATAATTGATTTAATTATCAACCCTTTTCTAGTACAAGCAAAATTTTATTTTATCCTAGGTGCAAGTAGACCCATACTTGGAAGATTCCCTTTGCACGTTCTGCGGCGTTCAGCAGGGTCCCTACTTTTGCCGCGAATTTACCTGTTTCCGGTACTTCTGTCACTCTTGCTGGTCGTTCCAGCACGGCTCGGAACTACGTCATCACAACCCGATGAGCCGCAATTCCAAGAATAATCAGGTTATGGGTCTGGGATCCACCACGCCTAACGTAAGTTTTTAACTCCTTTTTGAATCGCAAGATATTCACAAGTGCAATTTTCCAATGCCATTGTTATTCGTTCTTTTCTTAAGTAATAAGGGTATAGAACTTTCGTTGTTAACAAAAAATTATTACACAAAAATGTTTTCAAATAAAATATAAATATCCTAAATACAAAGTTTCAAAAAACGAGTACATTTTAAAATACTATAAAATGGTTCTTATATGTTGTTATTATATTATGATTTGTTGGGCATTATCAGCGTTTATTCTTGATAAATGATGTCTATTTTTGGCAAAAGGTACTTAAAATCTCAAAGTACTGTAACCATAATAGATATAACACTCTAACGTCTGAAAATTTCTAAAATTCTTCATATTTTCTTTTTTGTTATTTGATATAAATAAATATTAGACCATTTTATAAATATCGTGTTGTGTTCCCGCGATATTTTTATTTTTGAAATTAAATATACTTTTTATTGTTAATTCATAAAAATCCCTTACGTCATTTTCATCAGAAGATTTTCAGTTCTTCAGTTTTTCATCAGAAGAAGTTCTTAAAAAAAGTATTCACAGCTTTTGTGTAATAATTTTTGTACTCTGTAGAGAGACAACGAATGTTCTTAATTCCTTTTTAAATAAGAAATAATAATTAGTATAATGTTTAATCGGCTGTAAGCAGAGGGATTGTTAAAGTTATTTGGCTTTGTTGTTCCCTTTAGGGGTATTAGTATTTTTCCATTTTTCTTGTATTAAGTAGTACAAAAGTTGGCCAAAGATTTATATAAATAAATCTTGTTAGTCTTAACTTTCTTCCTCGTTACAATAGAAAATTTTGTTTTGCTGTAGCGGACTTAAATTCCTTGATGTTTGAACGAAATAATTTGATGGTATTATAGTTTTTTTCAAGTTGGTAATATTCGGGAATTTTTAATAAGCTACGCGCGTAGTTTTAAGTCGATCTCCAACTTCGGATTTTTTGTGGAGTGTAAATAATTCATTGACGAATAGTACTTTTAACCACGCCATTCCTGCTGCCGCTCTAACATGAAGTCGACAACACAAAATTGTTAGAAGTAACAGTTCGAAACTTCCTCTATCTCAGAAATTCTTGACAGTAACCCCTGTTTATAAGTTAATTAACATCGTCAAATATTAAAAGAAATATTTTCTTAAATACTCGTTTTTTGTTTGGAAGCTGTTTATATTATGGTTTTAACGAATTTCAAATAATTTTCTCCATTATTATGCTAGATATAAACATAGTAAGGTTCGAACGAAAATGTTGTGTGTATTTGGTTGTGAGACAACCAAATACACAACCATACTGTAGGGTTTTTGTTTTCCTGACTTTGTCGACTACTAGCAGTGAGACTCAGGCTTCGTCAAGACAGAGCTGTATTTCATCAAAGTGCTTAGTAAATTTCATCAAAGTAGCAATATTAGAGCTATAACATGGAATATCATATTGTAAAACATTTCTATATTCATTAACTTCATGTTACAGCGGAATCAGGCGTGGTCTTTTATTTTTACCATTCAATATTTTGTAATTGATGTTGATAAAATGATCAAAATAAAGTACCTAAAAGAACCAAATTATACTAAAGTGTCTTGTTTGAAAAGCTCACTGATCAAAAATATGTTTTTTCACTGATTTTTTATAGGAATATATTTTTAGGGAGAATTTATTTTACACATTTATTTTTTTCCCTTGTTCATAACTGGTCTTTATTTTTCTTTTTGCTTTTGACTTAGATGTTATATATTTTTATTGATTTACATCCAAGGTTTACAGTTTTTTTTAAAGATTGTACATTTTTTATATTTTAAAAAATCTTGTAGTACCGTGTCATCTATTTTAACAGATTTTTTTCACATTTTAACGTATGTAATTATTTTAGGAAGTTGGGGAAAGGCTTAAAAACATAGATATAAGTTTCGTTAATATTTTTATATGGTAAGAGTTTTTTTCTTTATAGTCTATATACATAATTCTGGTTATATGATACATATACATTGTGCATTTTTAAAATTTTACATAAATACCTTTGAAGGTATATACTTCTCGACACCAAAAAAAAAATACGAAAATATGTCAGACAATAAATCATTTCGATCGTATGCACATTTCCAGTTTTACTGGTTTTAAAGAGAGAAAAAAACTATTTTTAGTGTAAGTTGTTCTTTCACTAAGATAACCTGTTTTGTAGTTTTTAAGTCGTTTGATATTTATTATTTTTATTATATTTATCAATGGCGTTTTCAAGAGGAGATCTAAGATTTAAGTGAATTTTTTATAACTCGTTTATTGTTACCTTTTGTAGCTAAGTTTACGCATATACAGGGTATCTTAAAAAAACAAAGATTATCAGAAGAATACTAACTTAGAAAGTTAGTATGATTTTTTATTGCAATAGTGTGTGGTGTTCCTAGTACACTGTGAGTCAAAAAATCCCATCAAATTTGATTTTATTTGTTGCTTGAACATAATATAGCCAAGTCAAAACAGTTTTACTTTCTTATTCGCAGTGGATTATATTTTTACCAAAAGAAAAATAGTAAAATTGGGCCCTTATATCTGACACTATTTACCACCAGTTTTTTTGATATCCTGTATATAATGTTATTTGTTTATTAATCCTGTTTTTTACTTAAGAAGGAAACACTCACAAGGTGGGCTGTTATTTTTTGATATTATCAAAAGAAATTTCATATATATATATATATTATATTTCTTTAATGTATTTTCCAAAAATTAATATTTCGGATATTAAAACCTCTTTTATCTTTTTTTTGATAATTGTTTAAATTATATTATTCATTTGATAACAAGTATTTATATAATCTCAATGAATTGTATTCTATTTAGATTCATTAAATTTTCTATCTTTAAATATTTCTAAAGTTTTATTCCAGCATGGACAGTTTTTACTGTTTTACTAACAAATAGTTTGTGCATGTTTTAACTGGTTTTATATTTATGTAGTTTTTTGTGTATGTAGTATTTTCTATATCTTGTGTATGTCCAAATCTCTATATCAGTGAGTAAAGAATACGAGAACATGCCCATATACAGGCTGCAGCAGAATTTGTGATGTTAAGACGCCATTTTTTTGGTTGTAACGAATGAGTCATCAGCGACAACTTTAGCGATTTTTAATAGTTTGTGTCTCTTCAAGCGGCTATGTTAAGAAAAATATGTGCCGTGGCACTGTTTGGTGGTACGGTAACAATTTGGTTGCGGGTGTTATTCGTCCTTCTATTCTTTAGTCATTGACCTATACAGGGTGTCCCACAATTGTGTTTCACTCCACCTCCTGCCAAAACGGCATATTTCCGGACATGGGTTCCTATACTCAAATTACTTGTTTTGATGCCCTCTACAACCCCTTACAGTTTGTCGCACTAATTGTGGGACACCCTGTATAAATATGAATACTAACTCTATACAAGGTTGTTCACCACATACGACACGGAGTATTGTAGCTAAACGATGAGATTTTTACAAATTGTAAGTTTTGGGTTCGATGAAGGACTATTAGAGGTACAATTTAAAAATAATTTTACAAGATACAGAGTGTCCCAAATAAGTAAAAAATATCAAAGTTGTATTTTTTTAAATTGAACACCCTGTATATTATTACATTTTTAGTTTCTACGATTAAAATAAAGGTAAATTTGATTAAGGTTTATTATACTTAAACCTTACCGTTTTTGAAATATTTTCAATTTTGTGAAATTGCAGTAAAAATTTTTAAGGCTTCATTTCTCCAAGGGTATCAAAGTTTTTAATACTAAATATTTACTGAAGTTTATTTATTGATCAGTTATTGTGTTGAAATAATAAAAATAATACTACCTTATACAGAGTGTCTAAAAATTTATTTTAAATAATTATTAGCTTCAAACGGCAATAACTTGTTTAATTTAAATGGAACACCCTGTATATTTTACGAGAATCAGATGCACAATTTAATTGTCTATCAAATTATATTATACCATTTTTACCTATCTCTTTAAGTTTCCGTAGAAAATGCATTTTCTTGTAATTTAGAACTTATTTATCAATATACCCATGGAATATTGACATTTTAGATTATTTTTAAAGATGTACCAAATTTTTAAAGAGTACAGATACTAATATTGTCGATATAATTCGTTTATTTCATTAAAAAATTAAAAAAAACTGTTTAAATATTTGTTAAAGAGGACCAATTAATATGATTCCAGTATTCAAACTACATTAACCGACTGTTTGCGTTGATTAATAATAATTGCTCCAAATACTAAAAAACTGAATTTTGTATGGGTATTAGACAGTGTGATAAAAAGTAACACCTTAAAAATGATATTTCATTTTTTAATAAATGCTTATTTATAACAGAGACTTTAATTTTGATAACTTATTATTATATTGATTTCTGACTCAAATCCACATTTATTTATAATAATTTATTAACGAACACAATTAAGTATGTTTAATTAGTATATAGGCGGAAATAATGGTGTTATATTTAATTAATGGTATACTCTTTAATAAAGATTTAAATAGTTTTCTTTTTGCATACAAATGGGCTTGCATACAAATGGTTTTTAGCAAAACGATAATATTACTAGCCTGTACATTTTGTACATTTGTTGCTTTAAAAACAATCTAAAATGTCAATATTTCATGGGTATATTGATAAATGAGGTCTAAATTATAAGAAAATGCATTTTCTACGAAAACTTGGAGGGATAGGTAAAAAACGGTATAATACAATTTGATAGACAATTAAATTGTGCATCTGATTCTCCTAAAATATACAGGGCGTTCCATTTAAATTAAAGAAGTTATTGCCGTTTGAAGCTAATAATTATTTAAAATAAATTTTAAGACACTCTGTATAAGGTAGTATTATTTTTATTATTTCAACACAATAACTGATCAATAAATAAACTTCAGTAAATATTTAGTATTAAAAACATTGATACCCTTGGAGAAATGAAGCCTTAAAATTTTTACTGCAATTTCACAAAATTGAAACTATTTCAAAAACGGTAAGGTTTAAGTATAATAAACCTTAATCAAATTTACCTTTATTTTAATCGTAGAAACTAAAAATGTAATAATATACAGGGTGTTCCATTTAAAAAAATACAACTTTGATATTTTTTACTTATTTGGGACACTCTGTATCTTGTAAAATTATTTTTAAATTGTACCCCTAATAGTCCTTCATCGAACCCATATCTTGAAATTTGTAAAAATATAATCGTTTAGCTACAATACTCCGTGTCATATGTGGTGAACAACCCTGTATATGAATACAAAATTTTATTTTACTTATTAAAGTTTTGACATGATTGTCCCTAAATTTGAACATACAAACTAACATCTCTTTATATATTTTTTTTTCATTCAGTATGTCATACTATTCTACATTTTTAAAGTCTATTATACTATTTTATCTGTCTTGCTATTCGGATGTTTTATACATTGTGACATATCTCAAATGTTTTTTATTGATATGTGAGTTTTATATATACTGATTTTTTAAATCACCATGCAAAATCATTTCTCATTTCACGTCTTTTAAGATCCACTATTTTATTCGAATTTTAACATTATGCCCATTTTAAAAATAATATTCGCTTAATAAAAAAAAGGTTAGCAAAATATGATCTGTTTTTATTTATTACATACAATTTTGTCTTCATGTAGTATCTATTACAGAGAGTGCCGTTGTCCGAGTTGGATGAGCAAATCACACAACAGGCCAAATTTTTTTGTTAAGTCACTTTTTAGGATATAATCTTTGGTTTTTTTTCTCGCTATAATAATAATTTACGATAATGCGAGCGCGCAAGGTCTGATTTTTATTACTTTTTGGTAAAATAGGAGCTATACCGGGTGCGTCTCAAAAGTGGCTCACCCCTATAATTTTTTTATTTTTTTAGTTAAAAAAACGAGATTTGGTTTGTTAGTATAGGACATAAATTAGAATTGATTGACGTATTCAATTGTTTTCGGTAACTTCGTGTTTCACCGGAAATGACTACAACTTTTCATTTTTAAATGGCACCGTCGCTATTTTTTACTTTATTCGATAGAAAATAGCACTCTGAATAGAATGACATATTACATGTCAACTTTTGACATTTTCATATATGATTTATTTGAAATCATAACTTGCGGTTCGCAACGAAAATTTAACTCGAAATACCAAGTGTGTGGTATCAAATTATTCGTAAAAAACGCTTTTTCCAAGTATGCTAATGAGCCACCCTCGTTCTATTTGAAAAAATTGAGATATTAAAAATACGATTTGAGCATTTTCTAACTGGCCAGTGGTCAGGACAAGACAATAAAAACATTAGACGGCCAAATCTATTTTTCCAAGGCTCCTTGATTAAAAATTAGTGTTTTTAACATAGCCATCACACTCTAGATTGAATTTTAAATTACACAAAAGTTGACATACGATATGTCACTCTATTCAGAATGTCATTTTCTATTGAATAAAGTAAAAAAAAATACCGAGGAGCCCATTTAAGAATCAAAAGTTGTAGTCGTTTCCAGTGAAACAGGAAGTGACCAAAAACAATTGAATACGTTAATTAATCCTAATTTATGTCATATACTAACATACACAAAATCTCGTTTTTTTATATGAAAAAATAAAAAAGCTATAGGGTGAGCCACTTTTGAGACGCAACCAGTATATACCTATATGAAGCGAAATTCTAGTCATGATTGCAAATAGATTTATTGTGAAGTTGAGTAGTGTCCAATTGTTAAGTGAGGCGATATCCAATTTCGTTGGTCCGTGCGTTGGACGTGCGCAAGCTTGGATATTTTTATTCTGATGCTATAAAATAATATTTCGAATCATTCGCGGCACCGTCTTAACAACGAGAAGGCGTTCACCGGTAAAATATTGATGACCCTCCTCTGACTCCTTTAGTTACGATCACTTACAATTATTAATATAACTTTAATTGATACAATTATAGTTTGTCTGAAGTCAATTGGAATAGATAGGCACTCTTAATTTCGGCACAGAAGACGCGTCGGCTAGACAAGAAGCTTAAGAGCGCTTGCACACACACCGGCAAAATCGGAGCCGGCGCCAGCTTTGCACACCTTCCGACAGTTGCATTTAATTGTATTAAATTTCCCGGTCTACGACTATTTTACCGAATCGGAGTATACAGGGTGTCCCAGAAACAAGTGCAAGTATTTTAACTGGTAATATAGTTGAACCCCAGAAACACGCCTATGAGGTTTTTTTCTCGAAATTTTTTTTTCAAAATTCGGAATTTTTTGAATTTTTTTTTAGTTTTTAGTTAAAAAACATAATTTCTTGATAATATAGCAAAGTAAGTAGTAGATTAAATTTACAAGAAAGAAAATCCAGAAAAGATCCAGCAGTTCTTTTTTTTTTGAAATTTTCAAAGTAAAATAACTCCGTTATTTTGGACTTATTTGAAAAACGATAAAGAGAAAATATGTTTCTTTTATCGAGATCTACCGCCCCTTAAAATACTTGCACTTATTTCTGAGACACCCTGTATGTGAAGGGTGTCCCAATTTTTTTGCAATCGATTTCAGCACCGACTCCAGTACCGATTTCGATTTTGCCGGTGTGTGAAAGCGCTTTAAGGGCCTCACTACTTCCAATTGACTTCGGAAATACTATACAAGATTGTTAACTTAAGAATTATAAAAAAATCATATTGATTTATTTAATTTACTTAAAGTGATTGTGAGTTCACTTGTCCGGAATTTCCAAAAGCCTTTATGGAAACCCTACACTAAAACTATAAGTATTGGGCGTCAGGCGAAATACAAAAAAGGCGTGTTTAAAAATAAATAGGTAACTATATAGAATGAGGATGATTCCTAATTATTGTAATCTTTGATTCTAATTAACGTTGTAAAATTCTTATTAGGTTATGGTAGAAATATATGTAAGATAAAAATTATGTTAAAAAGATGATTGTGTTAGTGATTACTCAGGTGACAAAAAATTTCGAGTGTCACTTGAGATTAAATATAGGAAACAAACTATTTTTAAAAAACCTTTACTAAAATTAATTTTACGTTTTTGCATTGTGTCGTGATAAAATATAAAAAATTCTGGAAGTTATCATATAGGATTTGAAGTTGAACTTTAACCGTCAACAACTTTCAAAGAACGTTCAATAAGAATATGTAGGTATTTTCATCATCGTGAACGATTTTCACAGTAATTAAAAAAAATGTTGTGTATGATAAACAAACAATTCTAAACAACTTTTTTCTGAAGAAATTTCACATAATTTTTTTGATAATCCAATCATAAAAACATCGTATTTCTTTGGCAATTGGAAACTAACAATAAATGGAAATTAACCATAAAAAAACACTATTTTAACATAATGTAGAAAAATAGTTTATTCAATAAAACAGATGTACATACATTAACAAAGTATAAAATATTTACAAATTATTTCAACCACCTTTTGTAAATCATTAAATATATACCCAAAACAGAAGAACTTGTACCTATAATACCAATATGCCAAGGTTTTAATCTAGACGACCAAAGAAATCCTGGCGGTAGAGTATTTACAGCGTGTACAAAATCCATACACAACCGTATTAAGTTCCACAAATGATATTTCTTAATGTTTCGTAGTTGTTCTCCTGATATACTAAAAATGCGATTTATTATAACCTTAAATGGAGAAAAAATATACCAAACCCTACTTTTTTTCTTTTGAAAAACAGTCTTTGTGCATCTCCAGTAAGAATAAATACCTCATGGTCCTAAAAAAAAGGAAATTATTGAAAATGTAACTAATGACTATAACAGAGGGTGGAGGGTGATTTTTGAAAAATCCACATCAGGTTCCCTATTAACATTAACAGTAGTTACATTATAAAGAGATTCTCACAGATATAGGAGGCTAAAAAGAAATTTATTTTCCTTTAAATTTGATTTTTTTTAATATTCAGTCGATTTTTTAAATTTTGACAGCAACGCTCGGTGCGACAGAAGTCAGAACTTTTCGGCTCTCCCAAGTAGCATTTTCACGACTTGCGACCACATGTTTACTAAACACAACGTTGGATTAGTTACAAAAAATAGTTAGCTCCGTACCTTGGGTATTAAAATAAATGTAAACGTTGTTGTAACGTTGTGCCGACGTTGAACTAGTACTACAACAAAGTAAAAGCTTTTGCGACGTCGAATAAACGTTGTCTACTTATTCCAACCTTATGTAAACGTCGTCTGTTTTACTAATTCCAACGTTGTTTAGATTTCCTTATTCTTACGATGGTAGGACGTCGAGCCACTACCTTTTTGCAACTGTATTGAACCATAACCTTAAATCTTAAAATTTCACTTCACTGTTCTGTTCAGTCAGACAGTTCAGTGCTGTTTTTGTTTTTATAAAAAAACTTAATTAAAATGGGACGTAAGAAAGGCACATGTAAATCTAAATTTAAATATACATCGACATATTACCGATACTTTATCAACTCCCTCGTTTATTTAGAATATAGAGGGCGGCACAAGCTAGACTCTAGGATGACTAAATTAGGATATGAAATTAGGCAATCTTGCGACTAGTATACAACCTGTTAAGACTGAACTGCGACTTTATTAGTCCAGGTATGCGACTACTCGAACTAGTCCATCTTCCTGCTTTTTGAATACATTAACTTTAAATATTTGACCCTAAACAACGCGCGGAAACAATTTTTTTTTCGACTGCGAATAAATTATTCTCATTTTACTAAAAAAAATTTCAAGAAATTTTTTAAAACTTCTTTAATTTTAATGCCCATTAGTATTTTTCAAAGTAGAAACAATGCATTTATCAATAAAGTTGTTTGGGTTTAACTTTTTTGCCTTGGGTAACGAGTTACAGAGTCGGTTAAAGTGTTTCAATAATTATGATCTTCAAACATCCTCCACACTTAAATCCTTTTGTTTTGTTTTCCTTTACTGCCATCTGGCATATGTCTCTAACTAAATCATAAAAATAATATTTTTACTATAATTATCCCAATTTAGGATAAAACGCGACTTAGACGCCATATTATTATAGTTTTGTATTTCTGTGAATTAGGATTTTAAACAACGTTGCAGTTTGTACTAAATTAGGCTGCTAGCCAACGTAGGTATCCAACGTCGTTTCGACCCAAAAATTATTCTCCAAACTAGTGCAGACTTAGTGCAGACTAGGGTTGGCACGAGGTTGTGCCGACGTTGCGCACCGACGTTTGGTCGCGTGACACAACGTTGTCCCGACGTCCAAATGCTGCTTGGGCTGTATTTCACCAGTGGCGGCTCGTGATCCGTATGACTGGGTAGGCGACAAAATTTTAGTTGCGTTCTATTTGCCCCCCTCCCTACAACAATACCCTAACCCAGTTCGTAAATATTTGTATATTATCTCTGGGTTGAAAACATAGCTCAAGAATATTTAGGACAAAACTAAAGCAAAAATGACAACATTCAACGTAATGACATAATGTACAAGTATATGTTTTTTTTATCTATTACTATGGAGTTACTATGGGCAAAGCTATGGGGTACATCATAGAATTTGATTTTATTTTTATTTATTTACGTAAACTTAAAAATTGGTAGTATTGAGAGAAAGAATAACTATGTTTTATATATTAAATTAATGAGTCGGTCTTTTGATAAAGAAAAGTTATTTAATATTATATCAGTAAATTCATCAGATTGTTGAAGAGCTGTGAAAAGATCTTTTTAGATTGAAAGTAAGGCATGTGGTGATAAACGTTCATTTTTCATGGAATCTCTACTATAAATTTTAATGTATTTCAAACATGAAAAATGTCTCTAAACCCAAGTACTTGTAAATGGTGTAGTAACAATCAAAACAAACAATTTGAAAGCCTCTGGAAATATATTTCCAGGATTATTCTCCTCAAATTATTTTATAATCGAAATTATCATATCTATTATTATTAATACCTGCAATTTATTCATTAATTTATATTGTTCAATAACATTTCTGTTTGTTAAATCAATATTAAATGCGTTGGAAATGTATCAATATAACAAGTTTGTTAAATCAGATATTAAATGCGTTGGAAAATGTTTATAGGATTCTTTAAATTTCGGATTTATTAGGGTAAATAAAAATAATTGAGACATACGAATACCTATCTGCAAACCTTATTTCTAAATGTATAACAATGTTATCTAATATTTCATAAAATAACATTTATTAACATATCGAATTGAATTAGCACACTGAGACTTTTCTGTAATATCTGTTGTATCGTCTTGCACTGAATAAAATAACGCGCTCTTTTATTTCGGATTCTTTTATTTTTGTGGCGTGTTCTGAAATACAACCGCTTATATCATTTTGAATAAGATTTCCAATTTGTTTTAAACGTTTTTTTTTTAATTTTCATATAAAAGTTTTAAATGTTACGTATAATAAATCATGAAATATCCCCTTAACGAAATGTGATATATCCCCTTATGAAATATCCAGAATATCCCCTTAACTTCCGAGCCTACCGATCCTGTCCACGACTTCATGCGAAACCGACCGGAGATTTCGCCTATGCCCCGCCTTAATACGATATAATATACCCTCCGACTAACGTCGCGTCGCTACGGCACGATGAATTAGACAGGGACAGAAGACTGCCGTACGTCGTGCATCGACTCTGATAACAGGCGATATAGAAATCGCCGAACAAGGGCGTGTGCATATATGTATATGCTATAACGGTCAAAATTATTTTGTTTTTGTACGCCAGCGGTAGTGATTATTTTAATATACAAGACTAAACAAATATTAAATTAATATTGATTATTACAACACACTACGGTGTATTAACAGTATTTTATGTATTGGCAACATTAATAGTAAATAATGTAATGTAATAAACCGCTTAAATTCTCCCAAAATTTTAGGGTAGTCGCCGCCCAAGGACTGTATATATTCTAAAGGACTGTTCGATCGCGTCAAATCGCCGCTGTCGAGTCGCCGTGGAATGCTACGTCACGCGCTGACCACCGCTCCACAGTGCGGCGGATGGTTATTCTAGCGGGTCAAAATCTCAAGAGCAATATTTGGGACTTAAAATCTAAGAACGTAGCAAATGGTCTAATATATAGCAACTATATGGTTAAATTTATTTATTTATTAACAACTTAATTTATTAATAAATAAATAAAAGATAATAAAACTATGATATTATTCGTACATCGACACACAAAAACCGGTACTGTAAACTATTGCTAAATACATAAAATTATGATATCAAAAAACTATTTAGCAGTTTTTTTTAAATTAATTTGTAATCTTGTGACACCCTTTATAATTTAATTTAAAAAAATATATTTTATTTTGAAAATAATAAATAAGATAGATATTTTAATTTTAATTTTAACACTCTGTAATTGTAAATTCATATATAGTAAGTATCTAAGTCAATTTTTTAAACTCAGTGCCTTTTGATGGAGTTGTTTTGTTTTTATATATTGTTACGGATTCCGTGGGTCCACTATTTAAACTCACGATAAATACTTAACGAATTTATTTGTTTCACTCTGTACACACAACTTATACTATTTACAACACAACTTATGCAACTACTATTACTCTAACGGTATTTCGCGGTATTTTCAAATTTCAGACTTTCTTCAGACTGCAAACTTCAAACTTGTCCAACTGTCAAAGCGCAGGCCTTATATACCCCAATCCACTTAATTTCTTCTTAAAATCCTCTTGAATCGCATTTCCGACACCAATTGTTACGGATTCCGTGGGTCCACTATTTGAACTCACGATAAAATACTTAACGAATTTATTTGTTTCACTCTGTACACACAACTTATACTATTTACAACACAACTTATGCAACTACTATTACTCTAACGGTATTTCGCGGCATTTTCAAATTTCAGACTTTCTTCAGACTGCAAACTTCAAACTTGTCCAACTGTCAAAGCGCAGGCCTTATATACCCCCTGGCGGTTGTTTCTAGATTTTTCTAAAGAATTCTATAATTTTCTTTACTTTCTGGGCGAATGCGCCAGGTTCCTCAATGCATGTTGCGATTTTTTAGCAGTATGCAGTTATGCAACCAGTAATACACCTTGACAATATCGATATTTGAAAAAAAAGAGAAAGTTTGATATCTGCAGAACAAAAGTACGAAGGATTTTAACAAATAATATACGTACAGTAGAAAAGTACATACCTTTGGCAATCTTCAACATAATTTGGCTTTCTAATTAAATGTATAAGCACTTGTAAATATTTTGTTTTCGTATGATCTCTGCCTTGCTGAGCAGAAAACTACCAAATTTGGTTGATAAAAATGTATCGAAATACAAAGAATATTCATGCATTTTTGTATCATTTGGAATGTCTACTATTTATTCTTATCGGTACACATTTTTTGGCTATTTCTAACCAAATACTTTTGTCCCGCTAAATTTATCTTCCAACGCACTGTGCGCTCGTCTGTCAAATGCAAAAATAACTGTCGCTGTCTAAAATCTTTAGCGCCAACTTCAACTCGGTCAGTAGATGACGTAAAAAACTGACAGTGCAGGAAGATAGGAATCGAACTATCCTTATCTCTATAGCACAGAATAGATATCAATTCATAGCACAGAATTGATATCTATTCTTGAGGATACATTAAAATACGCAACCAACCGTCATTGAACCGTCCAATCAGATCAAAGGAGTAATCGTCGTAGATCGTGCCTTATCGATAATGTTCGGTGCCTGGAGAAAATTGACAATTGACAAGAGAATTGTTTTATTATTTTTGACTTTTTAGTTCGTTTAATTTAATAATTACTAAAACCAGTAGTTCGAAAGATATATTTAAAAATAAAAGATAAAAATCCAAAAAATTAATTATCTATTAACGTGGATTTGGACGACAATAGGTAAGAACACTAAACTTATTTCTATATTCGATATAAACTTGTTTATTAGGTTTTTAGTTTGTGATGTTTCATGTGATGATCATTTTCATGCATCGTCTTTGAATTGACATGAGGATATCTATGGAAAAGTAACTAATCTGAAAGTAAGCCAACATATCGTTTGTCCTTTGTGTGCTAAAGAAAAGATTTTCTTTTCGCATCGTGAGGAAGTATTACATCAATTAAAAAATGTTAGGAAGTTGATTACTTGTCATGGAAAAGTATACCAATGGAAATTATTTGTTAAAGAAGTATAATTCTAAGGGTAAATTTTATTATAATTAGTAACCTGTCTATTTTTTATACGTAGATGTTTCAGGTTTTAAGAATAAATTGGTTGAACCCAAAATCTGGAGGAAGTACCTATATCCATACACAGAATATGCCCATTAAAAATACTAGTCCAAATGATTGGGTTGATTCTTGGGTTATTCTTTTTTTCAACCTCGACAGAAATTTCATCATTAGAAATTGACCCTAGTAGTTCTTTAGTTTCAGTAATATCCATAGATCTATTACATTTGATGATAATTTTATCCTTAGTTCTTGTTATTTTATTATATTGGATATTTTTGTTTGTTGTTAATAACTGTTTAGTTTTATTGTGCACATTGTTTATTTGTTCTTTTTGTTACACTGGACGATAATAGCTGGTACAATCTCGATATTTTCAAATTTGTTATAGGTTACTTTCGTAGCTTGTGCAAATGATTTCATCTCAATTTGATTTTTTGTTTTTCTAAATTAACTAGTTTCTCTTTAATCAAAGTTAGGTTTTCATTTTGCAAAATTATGTTTTGTTTTAAGACATTATTTTTATCTGTAATTTCTTCTATTAGTTGATCTTTATCATTAATTTTGTCTTTGAGCAAATTGATAATTGAGTCACTTTTAGTAACAGAAACTTCATTGGTGACATGACTAGTTAGATCATTAGAAGGATTATTATTACCTTTTAGTATCATTCTTCTGAGATTTTCATTTTCTAAAGCTAGTTTATTCTTGTTTTGTATTACTTTTTTGAGAAGCAGTTTTAGCAAACCCATATCACATTCGGAGTCTAAATCTATATTGGTATTTGAGGTTATGTCATCATTACCACAACATATAATAGTGCTTTTATCTATTATTTTAAATTTATCATAGTCTCTCAAAAGACAACTAACATGATAGACCTTTCCACACAATATGCAATTAATGGAGCTACAAGCTTTTTTAGCACAACACTGATAGCTATAACTTTTTAACTTAATATTAGGCGGGACGGGATGAGATACGTCATCCTCGTCCGCCATCTCGGATGATCAAAGTGATAAATATTGATTATGATTTGGGAAATGAAAACATAGAAAATATAAAGGAAGATATCTTAATACGTAATGATCTGAAAGATGAAGCTGATAAATTTGACATTGTGTATAAATACTTAAATGAAGACAATAAAATATGGACTATTATAGTTGAAGTAAGTTCATATTCTTATGCTAAAATCATGGATACTAAGAAACTTTATGTTGGAACGAATAGATGTCCTGTGTTTGATGATTTCAACTTAAACATATGTTACAAGTGTTCAAAGTATGGTCATAGTAGTAAGAAATGTAGAAATAATGAAATATGTGGTTATTGTGCTCAGAATCATTCGAGCAAAAACTGTCAACAAAAGGACGACACTAAATGTTCTAATTGTATAGACTTTAATAATAGATATAATCAAAATGGGCCGATCAACCATGCAGCTGGAAATAGGAATATCTGCCCATCTTACAAAGCACTTCTTGGTAAATGCATCGCTAAAACAGACTATCCATATAATCCACTCAACAACACAAGTACTATCATAAGTAAGAAGGCAACAAATATTGCAAGAAATAATAATGGCTCTTAATTTGGATTTTCTTGATGACATACAGAAAGATTTGATACATAGTGAAGAAAGCTGTAATGATGTGGAAGCTTTCAATAGAAATGTAAATAGTAATGATAATATAGTACTAAATATAAATATTAGGAGCATAGATGCTAATTTTGAAAGCCTAGAAATTTTTGTTGCAAGCTTGTATATCAAACCTTTTTATATTTTGTTGTACTGAATCTTGGAACATTGTAAATAATAATTTTTATAATTTGGCAGGCTATAGAATGTATTACAATGAAAGTAAGTTGAATAGGGCTGACGGTGTTGTTATCTATATAAAAGTGATATCATAGAGGAAACTGAAATTATCGAGGTTAATAAATTAAATATAATAAACACTTCTATCAAAATGAATAATGGTAACAACATTGAAATATCGGCTTTATATAGATCTCATAGTATAACCAAAGCTGAATTTATTTATAATTTAAAATCATATTTAAATGAAGTTAAAAAATATAGAAATCACTTTGTGGTTCGTGATTTCAACATTGATTTGCTAAAATGTGATATTTACTCGCAAGAATTTTTAAATAATTTTCTTGAAATGGGGTTTGTACCAGGTTTCCAGAACACCACTAGACCATCGAATACAGAAAATATTAGTGGGACTTGCATTGATAATATTTTTTATAAAATTGATAACTTAAATGTAAAAACTTATACAATTAAAAATACTATAACGGATCACTATACTCTACTTGTTAAAATAAAAAAGAATAAACTATTTCAAGAAATAAAACAAACTAAAAATTTTAATATAAACTACAACATATTATTGAACAATGCATGTAACACTAACTGGAATGAAGTGTACAATATGAATGATCCAGATGTTGCTATTAATTTTCTAATCTCGAGCATTAAAAATTGTATTAGTAATTCAATGATTGTGAACAATAAGAAAACGAGACATAGAAAGAACTGGATTACTAATGATATTATACAATTATGTAATAAGAAAGATAAACTGTACCATGAGTGGATTAAAGATAGAAGCAATGATGAATTAAAATTAAAGTACAAACAATTTACGAATAGGCTAAGTATAATTATTAAACATGCTAAAATAAATTTTGATAAGAATCAAATTAGAAACAACGCTAATAACACAAGAAAACTGTGGGATTTTGTAAATGCTAAAATATCAAAGAAAACCAAAAAAGAAACAAAGATTGACTATTTAATAAACGAGAACAACCAAAAACTTACTGACAACTTACAGATAGTAAATACAATTAATAATTATTTTAGCTCAGTTGGAAGAAAATTGAGTAATAAAATAGTAAAGCCACTGGATCAGTCATTGAGAATGCCAAAATTAAATAAGAAAACTATATTCATAGAACCTACCAGTCCTATAGAGATTTATAATATAATTACTAAATTTGAATTCAAAAATGGTGGAGTCGATATGATCAATACTAAAGTATTAAAAACCATTGCTGATTTTATAGTAGAGCCACTAAGTTACATATTCAACTTATGCATCGAGAAATCGACTTGGCCGGTAGCACTTAAATTAGCTGATATAGTTCCCATACATAAAAGTTCAAGTAAATCTATGGTATCTAACTACAGACCTATCTCTTTAATCTCGAATATTGCAAAAATTTTTGAAAAAATTGTTCATTCAAGAATTTATAAATTTATTATAAATTGTAATATTTTATCTAAAAAACAATTTGGTTTTATTAAAAGAATAGGAACTGCAGACGCTTTAAATCATATAACTAACATCATTTATAACAAATTAGACAAAAGCAAACCAGTATTAATAACTTTTTTAGATCTGGCAAAAGCCTTTGACACGGTAGATCATGGTATATTATTGGATAAGCTTTCATGTATGGGAATTAGAGGCAAGGCCAATGAACTAATGAAAAGTTATCTTGAGCATAGAAAGCAGAGAGTTAAAATTAATGATTATATAAGCGAGAATAAAGATGTAACTATTGGAGTGCCTCAAGGAACTATCCTTGGGCCATTGATGTTTATTTTATATGTAAATGATTTATTAATTGGCATACAGGATGGTTGTATAATATCGTATGCAGATGATACTGCAATCATTGCTACTGAGGACACTTGGGAGCAAAGTATTAAAAAAATGAATGAACTACTAGATAAGGTTGCAAATTGGCTTGCACTTAATAAACTGTCTTTAAATATTGATAAGACTGTTTTCATGACTTTTGGAAATTACTCAGATAGTGTTCCTAAATTAGTTGAAATAAAAATTAAAGACATATATGTAAAAAGAGTTGATTGTTGTAAATATTTGGGTATTATTTTTGACTCTAATGTAAAATGGGATAAACAAATTGAATATCTGATTAGCAAGACTAAATATTTAATTTTTGTTTTCTATAAACTAAGAAAATACATGGATGTTGAAATGCTTAGAACAATTTATTATGCCTTCTTTCAAAGTGTTATTAGTTATGGTATTATAGCATGGGGTGGTGCTTATGATAACTATTTTACGCTATTAAATACATTACAGAGAAGAATACTGAAAGTAATCAACAACAACTCTTTTGTAATAGACAAAAATCCATTAAGTATTGAACAAATTTATAACTTAGAAGCAATAACTTTTCACTATGAGATCTTAAAAAACAAATATATAAACTCCAAAAGTATTACAAGAAACAAAAACATAATTATACCAAAAAATAGCAAAAGAATAAGTGATAAAGACAGTTACATTAAAGCGATAAAAATTTTCAATCTCTTACCAACTGAATTGAAAAATTTAACAGTGGAAAAGAAAAATTTGAAGAGAACTATCAGGTTTTGGCTAAAGCGGAATACTGATCGCCTGTAGCTTAAGTTATAAGTAATTGATCTTTATTTTTGTTTGTATTTATATTTATTTTTGTTTTTTAGTTTTTTAGTTTTTAGTTGTTAATTTTTTAAGTTAAACCGGTCCGCGTACAGAGCTCTGTCTCTCTGCGGTTTATCATGTATTTCTACATTGTAAATTAACTGGTATTAATAAATAAATAATAAATAAATAAATAAATAAATTTGCTTTAATGGTAGACAATTATTCAATACAAATTAACTTTTTAAGTGACTGAAATATTAAATAGTTTAGAATATGGTATAACAATGTAAAAAAATATTATTTTCAGGAACGATTAGGGCCCGATATATTTGAAACTCATGTTGGACATAGTATTGAGTTGGGTAGAATATTATTCTACGTTAAGTGAGGGTATCAGATACCTATTGTATTGTGTAATATATACATTAGAATTGTTGGTTTTTTCATATTTGTTTTATTTATTATTTTACTTACAAGTTATATAAAGTTAACACTAAAATCTACTTTTTGACTTATATAAGTTAGTCTGTGGTTTAATGCGTGATTACATCCACATGATTTCAAGTTTTTAAAATATAAATATTATAACTGGCTTTAAAAAATTCCATTAAACTGTTAAAAGTGTAATTTATTTCAAAATAAATATACATATATAGGTATATATTAATATCAAAAAATATTTTTATTTCCTTAACACCAATTTAATCATCACATACATATGTATAAACATTTATTTACGTTATTTCAAATGAAGACCACAGGAAAAACCAGCTTTGTTCATTTTAACTGGAGCCGAGAAAATGCAATTACGAGTGAACTACTCTGGTTTTTCTCCTGTAGGGCAAAATAACTAAGCTGTAATATCTCTGGGACTAAGCATATTATTATTGCTTTCTTTGATGGTGCCTCGAATAATGCTAACACTTGCCTATAAAATTGTCTCGCTATCAATTTCTATGAAAATGTAACATATTATCTGGTTTTTTCCATGTAGTCTTCAAATGATCTAAAAATTCAGCAGGAATGATCCATTATGCAGCAAACACACTAATGTTGAATCATGGGAAGCTTTTTATGTGGGCATTTCACAAATAAAATGAAATGTCTGATCAAAAAAACTGAAAATGCATAAAACAGATAGTAAGCTTTATAAATACATACATATATATAAATAATCATACCTACATCTCTTTATGTCGTACAATCCAACCGATATTTTAATATTCTAGCCCAAGTAAATAATCAAAAATGCACTTTTTATATCAAAAGCAGTAATGTTATCAAGGGTTCCAATTAATATCCAGGATTTAAAAAAAACACGATCCTAATTCTTATTATTTTTCTAAATACGTATTGTCTGATAGGCAATTACAAAATATAAATCTGATGTGAATAGAAAAATAAAGTAAAAACAGGTAAAAACAACAACAAAAATTCTAACCAAAGATTTAACCGTCATACGACATGAGCATCACGTGATTGCACAATACCCAACGATAGGGTACGTACCTCTTTCATCTGATTGGACGGTTGGTTGCGTATTTTAATGTATCCTCTATTCTTGTGTCTATAGTATCCTTGGTCGCCGCCTACCTTGCCGACCCTGACGAGCCTACCCTTTCACGCAGTCCCGGTTACGGTTCATGTTGATCGCATTGAAATAATATTAAAATTTTGGCTTTGTCATATATTTTAAGTATTTTAGTTTTTACTAGTGCAGTTATTGATTTTATTGAAACTGTAAAATTCTTAGATAGGAAGTTTGCAGCGGCGTAGCGTAACGTCAATACAAGGGGGTTTTGGAATTAAAATCGATCTTATTTTTTAAATTGATATAGATTGTGTTCATGGTTGTGTATGTTTTGTCAAATTGGACGTCAAGTGGCCAAATTCAAAATTTCGGGACAGACCAGAGGCCCGATTCTGTAAACATATTTCCTGTCTAGTGACTCATCAATCCTATACAAATAGCATAGGCTAGACAAGAAATTTCTTGCACGGAGCTTACAGAATCCCACTGCAGATTTCTAAGATTACATGAAATATTCTATAATAGCATGTAGAATGTATGGGAGGGGGGTTAATCACCGCGACCTTATATACCGGGTGCGTCTCAAATGTGGCTCCCCCAATAACTTTTTTATTTTTTCAGTTAAAAAACGAGATTTGGTATGTTAGTATATGACATAAATTAGGATTGATTAACGTATTCAACTGTTTTTGGTCACTTCCTGTTTCATCGGAAATTACTATAACTTTTGATTTTTAAATGGCACCCTCGGTATTTTTTTAATTTGTTCTATAGAAAATAACACTCTGAATAGAATGACATATCATATGTCAACTTATGACTTTTTCGCATATGGTTTATTCTTTGAATAAGAAGACTAAGGAAGGAGCATATCAAAAATCTTAGGTCCACCGCGATGGGCCTCAAAAATGGCCGACTTAAATTCCGGTTTATTAGTGCCGTTCTAATTTTATTTAAAAAATGTAAAACTATGATATAGGGTAGACGTGGGGTAGACCCAATATTTTTTTTTATTTTACGTTGTGAATAAATGTTGGTAGTTATTAAAATTGTTATAAAAATATAAAATTCAAATAAAAATAGATAAGTTATAATAATTATTTATAACCATAAACATCCGATACGCTACTGAAGCAGGTAAGTCAAATTGACGTATCTAAATTTTTTGACATCTAATCTTTGACAAGTAGTAAATAAAAGCAAAAATGCAAGAAAAAATATATAATTAGTTAATTTAAGTGAATTTCATAAATAATCGGTTTACTACACGTATGTATATTATATAGTCACTTACTAGCGAAAAGTTGTTCCATTATTTCACTCGATTTTTGCTGAGATCTACCGCACGCTACACAACCAACTATTTTTCGATAAGTGTCTTTTTCGATAAATCGCGATAGTGTCACTGTTAATTTAAGTTCTGCCACAATTTCCATCTAGATTTATTACCTTTATACAACTATCAGTAGTAGAATAAATAATAAATAACATAAAATAAGCTCCGTAAAGACTGACAAATCCACAAAATTTCAAATCAAATTTAAATGTGTCAAATGAATCGTCAAACAGAACTGTCAAGGATCCCCACCCTAGAGTGCTTTTTCCGTACACCATGCATTAATACATGGATAGCATTATGCTCCTTCCTTAGTCTTCTTATTCAAAGGGTTTATTTGAAATTATAACTTGCGGTTCGTAACGAAAATTTTACTCGAAATATACCAAGTGTGCGGTAGGTATCAAATTATTCGTAAAAAAATTCTTTTTGCAAATATACTGATGAGCCACCCTCGTTCCATTTGAAAAAGTTGACATATGATTAAAAATACTGGCCAGGACACAAGACACTAAAAACATTAAACGATCCAATCTATTTTTCCAAGGCTATCCTTGATTAAGAATTAGTGTTTTTAACATAACTCTAGATTGAAATTTAAAATACAATTTTTTATTAAGCGAGAATGTCAAAAGTTCACATATAATATGTCATTCTATTCAGAATGTCGTTTTGTATCAAATAATTAAAAAAATACCGAAAGTGCCATTTAAAAATCAAAAGTTTTAGTCATTTCCGGTGAAACAGGAAGTGACTAAAAACAATTGAACATGTCAATTAATGCTGATTTATGTCATATACTAAGGTACCAAGTGTCGTTATTTTATCTGAAAAAATAAAAAGTTATAGGGGTGAGCCACCTTTGAGACGCACCCGGTATCGATTGTGTCCTATTCTATAATAAGTAGGAGTGCTATTGATGAAGGTTCTTCTAGTTAAAAACTACAACGTTAATGCAATAATATACTTGTATCACCCTGTACACAGATAACATACAAAACTGTTGTAGACCCTGTATATCCATTAAAAATATTTTTTTACCCAGGTAATTTGTAGAAAAGAATAGAGTGAAAAACTCATGATGAAAATCAGATATGGAGCTTTTTTGGAACACTGATACTGGATTGCCCTATATTCTTAGAAATTTAAACCACTCAAACAAATACCTTTTTATATCTTACATAGGAAATATTCAAGATAAAATACCAAGGCAATATAAATTATAAAAATAAAACAATTCAATTCACTTAAGTTTAAACCAAACCAAATCAATTGATTTAAGTTGATCAGATCCAGTAAATAATTTTTTCCAACAATTGTTAGTAGGAACAGAATAAAACGGTACTTACTTCAAAATAGTTAAATATGTTGATAAAGCCCAACATAGGGAACTAGCATTATCCCATTTATTTGTATCGATACCTGTTAAAAGCTTATGTTTAGAGAGCCACGACATCTTTTCCATAGGCAAAAAGAGTTGATCAATTAAATTTGATACTACTCCTAAGTTGGCCATGTACTTATCAGGTTCCTAAAATATGTTTTTTCATAACGAAAAATATTGGTTTTGATATTTGCTACCATACATCTCTACCAAATCCATACTGTAAATTATTTTGTAATGCAGGAAGGTCGCTAAGTAAACGCAAAGTCGCTCTGGTAGCAGACATTTGTGAACCAAATATAGAGAACTTCTTTGCTAATACAGGATCGCTTTGAAGTTCTCCTAATAATTTTGCTAAATAACATAGTACTCTTAACACCTACAACACATTTTATACATTAGAAATCTTAATAGTAGATTACATTTTGTTTAATTTTGCCTTACCTTATCTCTTCCTTTATAAGATTCCAAAATAGTGCATGTTTCGTCTAATAAAGTAATAAAAATATCACCCATATCGACTAATAAGTTACTATTGTAGATAATTACCAATATTAACAATCAGACATACTTTATTAACACAAAATACCAGAAAATACTCTGTATCTTAGGTGTAGGCCTAGTAAATAAATAGCTTATCTACGCAATATCACTACTAATCATCATCATAATATATTTTTAGTCAATAATGTGATTTATGTATATTATACGAAACCAATAAGAATACGGAATGAATATCTGAAGAATATATTTAATTTAAAACGAGTTCCAGTTCCAAATTCCATTACGTACAATACTCGAATTTTATAATGGCCCGTGTATAACTGGTTCTATAATATTAATTCAAGTTATCTATTCTATGAATTTACATATGTATATGATATACATACATACGATGAGCATATGCTTCATATATGATAGTTAAGTAACCATATATAAAATATATATGATCTTCTTATTTTAAAATATGGCCACTTCTCTTTAAAGGCTTTAGCCAGCACTTTAATGGGTAATGGTGTGGATCCGGTGGCTGACCTTGAAACGAGTTTTTGCTGCATATAGTCACTGACACTACGCATGCGCACATGTTCGATGTTGCCAGTTTACAAGTTATTTTGGAATTATTTTTAGTAGAAAACAAATATGTACTTTTCTGTTTTTTTTTGTCAATATATACCGTGTGATCGAAAAAACGGCGTCCAGTTGGCTGGGAAATGACGATTGAGGACATTTCCCAGGTAAAATGACAGCGATCTTCATTTCATAGTCATCGCTGACGCTTTTTTCCATCATAGTACTCGATATATTATATTATTATTTTAATATTTCGCACAACACGTGAACTCTTATTATGTATTTTTATAGTCAATAAAATTAAATAGAAATAAAACTCTAGATTCCTATAATTAATCTAATTGCTCTAGATTATTATACTACGTTTAAAAAGGGCTTTATTAAAAATTCGTGAAATTAAAAAGAATGTGTCCAAGTTTTTTCTTTTTTTTTTAATTTTTAAATGTTGTAGCTCCATGTCATGTTCATAATAGTTTTTTTTTAACATTCCATCAAAACTACGGACGCCTTAAAAGGCCTTTTAGCCTCCGTAATTAAAATTGTAGAATCAGCTTCAGCAACATTAACAGTTAGACCTCTTGTTTAATTCTGCTTATACATATATTGCATTAATTTTTCTGCTACCTTAAGATTTCTCTATTCTTACACCTAATTTATGTGATTTTCTTAGCATATATGATTTATAAACCATATTTTTCCTAATGGAAGGATGGAATAGGATATGCAAAATTATGATATTTTAACATTTATTTTCCAGAAAAAGTATAATATAATATTAAGATTAAGACATAACAAGTATTATAAGAAAATGAGACAGATCTTAATATAAATCACAAACTAACTAAGTCTCAATTTGGTCTTGTATAAACACAGGTATAAAACTAATAAGATCATAACTCAACCTTGACCATATTGTCAAGATTTGGCATTATAGGGAACAAGAAATTGCAGTAAATTAAGAAAAGAATATCAAAGTACACGATATTAAAATACTGGGTAATTACCAAATACTGTAATGTATTCTACGACACAAACCATCTCCTTTCTAAAGAGAAAAAGATAAAACATAAAGCTTATATTTTAGTCTTATCAACACACTTTTCGATAAAATATATGTCTAAAATTGCTATTAATCCACTAACTTGATATTTTTAAGAAATTATGATACAAACAATCAAAGTAAATTAATAATCAAAGTTCACAATCTTCATTATCTTGCTTACCTTAATTTTGGATATCAAGATAAATCTGAAATTATAAAATTAATTATAGAATTTCTATTATTATTGATTAACACTAAAAAAAAATTTCAACTGCAAATAATTCGAAAATAAACTGCAACTTGGCAACATCGACGATGTGCGCTTGCGTAATATTGTTGATCAAATACAGCAAATATAGGCTTCAAGGTCAGCCACCGGATCCACACCTTTACCCTTCAATGATTTATTTATTTCCTTTGCCCGATTAAGAGTTGTCTACCTATATATATAAAAAATACCCGCTATGTTTTCTTTTATATGTCTATGGTTGACAAATACGTCGGTAGCCATAGTCGGTACACCATATTATATATGCAGTAAACAAAGGCGAGGAAACTATTAAATTACTGCCTAAGGACCGCGGTTCGGATTCCACATAAATAAAGTAGACCCTGTCCAGATTAGCCCTAGCAGCAAAAAAGAGACATTAAACTTTAAAGTAGCGTAAGCAGCTTTAGCCAATAAATAATAAAAGTAGAATAAAAATGATGTTCGAGTTTTAGGTTATTTATCTAATAATCTAATTTTTGAGAAAAAAAATGTTGAAATTATATCAACGAATATTAATACAGCCGAATAATGGAATTGCTAGAATATCTTGCCTTACCAGACATAATACATTCGCATCGTCAACTGTTGCCGAAGTTAAAAATTCCAACTCTGAAAATTTTCCGGAAAAAGAAAATAGTTCTGCCGTTACTCAGCGGAGTACCCCGAAGAATCGTAATAACATAGTAAAAGTTGCATTTGCCTCGATAAACCTTGCAAACACCAGTATTGGAATTGACACTCCCATTATAGATAAAAAAATAAAATCAGCTACTTCAGTTGATGAACTTCTTTCACTCTCCCAAGGAACAGGTGTGTCAAGACATCATGCCCTCAAGGTAAGCAATTGTATCTACCTTGGATTGCTCGTTCTTGAAATTAAAATTGTTCTTATTTTTTAAATTGATATAGGTTGTGTCTGTTTTATCAAATTGGACGTCAACTGGTCAAATTCAATTGCGAGATTTTGAGACAGACCCCAGGTTTCTAAGATTATGTAAAATATTAACAAAGAATTCTATAATAAGTAGAAGTACTAAAAATTTAGATACTGATGCAAGTGAAGATTTGTCAACAATTTTAAATATTACGGCAGATGAAGAGGCTGCTAAAATTGTGGCCAGCATAACAATACCCCAAATGATAAAGGTTAGTTTATATTTGCACAGGATTTATTAATACTGAGCCATCTTAATAAGTTGACGTTAGAGATATTAGTTCAAAGGTAGTTTAGTTATTTTATTATAGGTTTTATCAACTCTGTCTGCCAGGAGACGTAGATCGCCATTGTTACTTAGAACTATTGCTTATAATGTTACGGCAAGCCAGGATATTCTTAATATCAAACAATGTGCCGATTTATTTTATAGCATATCAGTTTTAAATTATTATGATGAAAACTTATTTGAAAGAGTTGGCTCTAATATAATCACAGCCCTTCAAGAACAAATTAGTAAAAGTGCAGTGGTTGGTTCAATTCTAACCAGTATTGGTTTGTTGAAATATAAATCGCCAGGTGAGATCATTGCACTTATTATAAGAATATATCTTTATGACAAGGTTTTTTAGCCTTACTTGATGCAATCAGTGAATGGGTGGTAAATAACCAAAGTTCCTGCAGGCCACAGGATATGTTTAGTTTGTTTATGACCTTAGGTGTTCTGAATTACACTCCTTCTAATCATGAAGCTTTATTTAAGGTACATTAAATAGGTATATAAAACTAAAAATTCAGTGTTGATGCTGATATTAATGATTTTACCATTAACAAAATCACTTTAAGAATGTGTGTGTAAGGAAAGACATTTAGATATGTTTTTTCTTGTAGCTCCTTATTCCACAACTTACCCAAGAAGAAGCTGGTAAACCATTGATTTGGTTGGACATTGTTTGGTCCTTGGTTCTTTTAAACAAAGCTAATAAGGAACATTTCCAATCTGTGTTAAGTGAAGAATTTATAAGTAAACTTGGTAAGGAATAATTTAAACTCCATTATTCCTAATTTTACAGGAGAGCAAAAAAACGGTACAAAAAAATATGTACATATTATGTAGGAAGTATTTTCATGCGTAAATAATCATATTACTCATTATCAAAAGAGATAAGAATTTTATTTGCTGGGGAACAATAAAACTCAATATTTCGTTTTACATCATTTTTTCAGACATAATAGGGAGATAGCAGATATTCGTCTTGCAGAATTAAGAAATAAAAATATACTTCTGGAGATAGCAACCTTTATTGTTTGAAATTTTGAAAATGGAATTGAATATTACCCAAACAGATAATCAATTAAATAAAAAAAATATGATATTCATAACCATATATTTATAATATTGTCGGTCTAGAAGCAAAACATACAAGTCCACAAACGAATAAATTTTTAATGCATTTTTAAAGAACTGAAGTAGCAGCATTTTGGACTTAATGAATATGAAAATAATTTAAAAATTAAACTTATAATAATTCTTAGAAGATATGGTAGAATCCTTCCATGCTTATCTTAATTTTTATACAACGAGCTTGAAAATAGTGTGTGATTTTATTAAATTTTTATTACTTTTCTCCTTATTTTTTTAATTTTTATAAAAATTATTATCATTTACGTGAAAAAACGTTGAAAAAAATAAAACTGATTAGGTATTATGGAAATTCTTGTACAAGTAAGTAATGGTTATTTAAACTATTTATAGCACGATGCTATTTATATACGCCGATGATGAATTGCTCGTATATAGAGAATTTCGTTTTTCCCCTTACCCTTTACGGATACCTCGTATTTACTGAACGGATCGACGCAGGATCGAACTGGCCATATTATATATACAGGTTGTTAATTTGTTTATTACTCGCAGCAAGAGCTTTACTGTTGAAATATGGCAACCTCGGCCCGCTCGTCGATAAACGACGCGACGGGACGAGTCGGCAGAAAACCCTATAAGTGCATGCGTTCGTTAGGGGGGCCCCAGCCTTCGCGGGCTCCCTTTATAGTTTATTATTTATTCTTAACAATATTTGCTTTTACACTGCATTATGGCATTTGCATTGCTTTGGTTTACCTTGCATTAGGGTAGTTCCCTGATTTCTATACAGGGTGAGTCTTAAATAAGTGCAAATATTTTCAGGGCTGGTAAATCTCGATAAAAGAAACATAATATTTTCTCTTCACCGTTTTTTTTTCAAATAAATCCGAAACAACCCAGTTATTTCACTTTTAAAATTTCCAATTTTTGGCTATAATTTTGAGAATCATTGGATTTTCTTTCTTGTAAATTTAATCTACTACCTATGTTGCCATATTACAAACAAAATATGTTTTTAAACTAAAAATTAAAAAAATTTCCAAATTTTTTTTTAAAAAAATTCCAAATTCCCCCCAAAAAAATTGCGAAAAGAACCTCATAATCGTGTTTCTTGGGTCGAAATATACTACCCCTAAAAATATTTGCACTTATTTAAGACTCATCCTGTATATAATAGGGAAAAATTGACCAAAACGTCAGGCGAAAATATACGCAAAAAAAATCCACACGGGCCCCTCCTTACATTGCCGTACTGTACTAAAGAAACATACGAGTAAGAATCCGTGTGTTTGCTTTAGCGTGATCCTAACGGAAATTACGGAGATAACAGTATTTCGGTGGCTATTTAGGATCACTGGGAGTTAGCAGATATTATTGAGTTAAAATAGCAAATTTTCTTTAATGGGAAAAAATGTATTTGCTTTCCCTACTTATAGACTATTGTTTTCTCTTTCTAATGGTATAAAAAAACTTATTAACGTAAAAAATGGAGTTAACAGGTTATCACGTTTCACTGACGATATTATTACACTACAGTGTGGCCCAGTATTCCCACATTTAAAGTTCAAAAAATGTTATAGGTTGTCTATGTTTCTCTATATTATTCTAAATAGGACACCTGGGTTTTTTTTATAAGACAAAATTGTAAAATTAAAATATTTTTAATCAGTATAAAATTCTCATTTTTTTAAGTGTATTTTTTGTGATAAAATTTCAGGAGAATTATCCACTTCTGTAAAATTAAAGTTGTTAAATATAGACGGAGCAGCGCATTATCTAGTAGATAATTATAATGGTCCAAAAATTCCTCCAAAACATGAAATTCGAAGTACAACATTGGTGTCATCCAAGGAAAAATCTAATATGATCAATTCAGTTGTGGAAACATTGAAAAATTTAATTTCAGAAAACAACCTAAGAAGCAGAGTTAACACAGGTTTGGGATTCTATATAGGTAAGAAATAAGAAAAATAGTTATATCGTGGATTATCAAAAAGTAAATTGTCATAATTTTTAGATGCAGAATGTTTATTAGATAGTACATGTAATCCACAACCATTAACATCAAACCCTATTTCGGAATTCTCCAAGTATGTTTTACCAGTAGCGTGGCAAATTCTCGCGGGCCCCCCTGCAATCTTTGTTAGGGGCCCCCCTAAGTATACTCAAAAATTCCTTCAAATACATCATTATCGTGATATCTGCTTGAAACATATTTTTAACAAGAGCCACAATGTGATATTTTTTTATATTTTGATAATTGTTTCAACATTTATTTATTTATTATTATAGTACTCTTAAAATACTTAAACTAGAAAACAAACATTTATGTTTCTAATTAATCAAAGTTTTATTAAAAAAAAAACTCAACATTTAACTGCTAATAACTAGAACGCAAATGTGAAAAAGAAATTTTAAATATTTATGAAGTACCCTATGGTATATTAGAAAGTCTATTCCTTTTTCCTCGACCTTAACAAAAATAACTTGTTTACGAGGCTGTCCAAATCTACCTCTTTTGCTATAGACCTCGCAAAACTTTTTATTATTTTCAGCTTAGAAAAAGTTTTTTCTGGTTCAGCGGATATTATAGGGAGAACCAGAAACAACTGGAATACAGTGCAAATCTCAGGTATACTGCTAATTAGTAATTAGGTTTTTTCAAAAATAAAATCAGAAAACTCTCTGACTGAAAATTTTTGATTTTTTCATAAAGTAAATTTTTTGCTTGAATTAGCTCCGATGCTAGATTTTGTGTTAGGTCGTTAGGATATTTGTCTACTAATACTTTGGCATTAGCTAAGATATCAGATTCCTGGGATTTTAACAATGTTTGTGCGTTTAAAATTTCAAATTTAGAATAAATATTTTGAAATGCGTCATACCTGATTCTATACTGAGTTATTATTATATCCAAACAAGCATAAAAAATTGTGACTTTTAAACGACTTTTAGGATTTTCAATGGGCTCATCAGCTACTATTTCATCAGAAATAGGTTTGATTCTACGAACTCTTTTGTTTTTTAACTGAGGCTCAATATTCCAAGATTTCAATTGAAATTGATAGCTCATACACAGGCCCGTTCCTGGGGTATCTGGCGCGTACGTGCAGCATTCTTTGCTGCGCCCTTTTTATATTTAAATCAATTATATATTTTAATCTTAATCTCAAAATTTTAAAGAATTTATATTCTACGACAAACGAGCAATATGTAATTGGAAATGTAAAAAAAACTATTCTAATTAAAGTATAAAAACATTTATTAAATAAATAAAACAAACAAAACAACAAATACTTAGTAACAAAAATAGTACCCTAAAGAAAAACTGACCCATTTAATATGAAATACATAAAAACATTAAACTAAAATTCGGAACTAATACACATGTACTGATTTCATTCGAAAATCGGCAACTATGAAACTATGAACCCTTCCCGGACACAAACGGTACATTGTGAGACAGGAAATTGTAGAGAGAAACAAGCCTTATAATATAGGATACAACATTTTAATGAACAGTGCTTTGCATAAAATCAATAAAATGAAAAATATACGAAATAATATACATGTACCGATTTCTTTCGAAAATCGACAACTATGAAACTATGATCCCTTCCCGGACACAAACGGTACATTGTGAGACAGGAAATTGTAGAGAGAAACAAGCCCTATAACATAGGATACAACATTTTAATAAACAGTGCTTTCCATATAGTATCAATAAAATGAAAAATATACGAAATAATATATGTGTACTGATTTCTTTCGAAAATCGACAACTATGAAACTATTATCCCTTCCCCGACACAAACAATACATTGTGAGACAGGAAATTGTAGAGAGAAACAAGCCCTATAACATAGGATACAACATTTTAATGAACAGTGCTTTCCATAAAATCAATAAAATAAAAAATATACGAAATAATATACAGTGTACTGATTTCTTTCGAAAATCGACAACTATGAAACTATGAACCCTTCCCGGACACAAACGGTACATTGTGAGACAGGAAATTGTAGAGAGAAGCAAGCCCTATAACATAGGATACAACATTTTGTGCTTTCAGTGCTTTCCATAAAATCAATAAAATGAAAAATATATACGAAATAATATACATGTACTGATTTCTTTCGAAAATCGACAACTATGAAAATATAATCCCTTCCCCGACACAAACGGTACATTGTGAGAAAGGAAATTGTAGAGAGAGACAAGCCCTATAAGATAGGATACAACATTTTAATGAACAGTGCTTTCCATAAAACGAATAAAATGAAAAATAAATAGATGCGAGATCAATGTGTTGCCGACAGATTGCCCTAGACTTGTTTATTCGGTGCGGGCAACGCAAAAAAGACGTAAAGCATACTTTTTTTACTTAATTTTACTTTACTTTTTTATACTTAAACCATATTAATGGTTTAAGTATTTGTTTATTGGCAAGAAAGCGTATCGGTTTTTTGTTACAAAGTACTGATTGACCCTTTGATTTTGCGCCCCCAAAATGTTGCGCCTACGTGCGTGCACGCACTGCATGCTCGCCAGGAACGGCCCTGCTCATACACACTTTCAAAAGTGTCCCTAAGATTTTCTATTTTAACAAGAACTCCTGATTAGATCTGTGGCCAGTCCTATGTCAATATCATTTTTTTGTAAGCATTTTGAAAGCAAGTTAGTATTTTCCAATATTGTACCTTGGAAATTAGTAAGAAAATAAATTCGGAATTTTCTATTTTATCTTGTAATATCTTGGCCTCATCTCTATCAGTACGTTTTTTCAGCATTAATGTTAAATTCGATAGACGCTTGACGACGGACAACAAATTAGTTTTTATCGATAGTATGCTTTTGGCTCTTGACGACCATCTATTTGGACATAATTTTTTTAAAATTAAACCAACTGTTTTACTATTTTTTATTTCGCAGTTTAGGCTTTGCCAACGGGGTAGACTTTCACTGAAAAGTATATAAAGATTCTGAACCGTGCCAAAAAAATTTCTTATCTCGCTAATATTGCTCACAGAGTCATTTAAAATAAGTGTGCTTATGGAAAAAATCTACCGATATGATACTTTTAATCATAAACTCCGTGAAAACATGATAATCGCTGTGTGTTGTGTCGCCTAAACATATTTACAACTAAACGAAATTCCAAATTATCCCGTACAATAATTATTATTATTATACCTGTAGAGAATAATGTAGTGTAAAATAATTGTTTTATATCAGTCTAATTATTGCTGAGTGGATAGTGTGGCTAAATGTAATTTCAGTTTTCGGTTTGTTTCATAATTGTTTTTGAAGGATGAGGTGTGGGGGCCCCCAATTTACCCGGGCCCCCCCGCCACGCGGAGTCTGCGGGGGCGTTTGCCACGCGCCTGGGTTATACAAAATTTTGTGCCAATCTTTTTTTTAATTTTGATGCATTTTATTGTTGCTTTTAGGATTGCAGTTTTAGCTTATGATTACCACGATATGACTAAAGGAAAAGTTGAACCTACAGGCATAAATGTATTTTCACAAAGGTTATTAAATGTGATGGGATACAAAGTTATTATTATACCGTATACGGAATTTAAAGTTGGAGATAAAATTGTTAACCGAGTTAAGTATATAGAAAAGAAATTAAAGGATGCAGTGAAGTCATCATAGCTTATATAATTAATTTTATATATGTTGTTAATTTATTTAAATATTGTATATTAAAATAAATTGTATACAGTGTGTTATCTTGTTACTAATAATTATAAGTTATAAGTATAAATTTATAAATTTAATTAATTTCTAGTATTTTTACGCTAAGCTATTATAGCCAGTATACAGTTCATAAACTCGCCACTTATAATGGATAATTTATTATTAAATCTTGTTTTATTACTTTTATTATTTTTAGGTATTTTCCTTGTAGGCTATCCAGTCAGCTGAGTCAGCGCCTATTTTAAAATTTTAAGTTCAATCATACTTTTTTTACGAGGAATCTGAACCGCGGTCTTCAGCCACGTAGTGGCCTATCTTTGGACTTACGCGATATCCGATTTCCTCCGGATCAGAATGATCAGTACAGCCCAAAATTTCTACTTTGAATTTACACTATTCTTCTATGGAAAAGTTCTTTGTTTCTGAGAACACCCAAATACAGATTCAATGCAGATATGGCCAATTGCCCTTTCAGCCCAGCCCTAAACTTCGACCACGGCTTCGACTATGGAACTTCGACCCTCTTGCTATGCATTATGGAACAATCATATTTATTTTTTGTTTTCAAAGATGTTGATGAGCCACCACAGAATAACTACAGAACGATCAGTCAATGTAATAAAAAAGCGAACAAAATTTTTGCTGCCATCTATAGCGGGCCGAGTGCGGCTCAGGGCTTCAAGGTCAAAATAATTATTTATTAAATAAAAAAGTCGTGTCGGCGGCACGACTCGAACCAGCTACCTTCGTGTTGCTAGACGAGAGCCTTGTCCCCATAGATATCACATTGTGCATTTTAACCCGATCAAACAATCGGAGGTTGACTACGTACTGTAAAAACCAACTGAGACAGAGAAGGCGACATTGCCACATCTCAAATTTGCGCCTATCTACTTAGTTTGATTTGCAGAAAAGGTGACTTTAAAACCTTCACCGGATATCAGTAAATCTCAATTTCTTAATTAAATTAATAGTTTATATTTAAAGAAGCATGCGTAATAATTTATTATTAACCAGAGGATATATGCGTTACTATTAAACGACATGTTTACTGTTTAATGTGCTGAAACGTCTAGAACTATTGGCAACGTCGCTGCTAATCTTCCAGAATGAAATGAGCCGTCCGTCCCACCACCCCTCGCGACGGCCCTTGGTCCGTTATAGCGTACTACGTTTAGCTTACGATGTGTTTGAAGTCGGAATCAAGTCCGAAGTGAACTTTTCAGTGTTTTTCAGTAGTTTTTGTTTTTGTTTAACGTACTTTTGAATCTGCGAATTTTCAATATGGTAGGACAGTGTCAAATGTGTGGAAAAATAAGTTCAAATTACCCGAATTTGTCTTTTCACAGGTAGGTATTGTTTCCGCCGTCATCGTACATAGGCGTCCCACAAGGGAGCCTCTCACAATTAAAATAATTTCTAATTATATTTGTTGAATTTTGATCTATTAAAACAAGAACGTAGTAGCCGGTAATTGAATTATAATTCGTCTCAATTACTACCTAACTGTTGTAGATCATAACAAATTTGAATATAAACTTTGCATTTGAAACCATTTTCAAAGTAATTGTTACAAAAATATGACCGATTATAATATTACATGTTTTAGTTTAGAGAATAATATTTTTTGTGAATTATATGACCACAAGGTCAGGAAATACACAGATTGTGTATACCAGGAAAATGAAAATTTATATAATAATTTAATGAAGAAATCATACCCTAATATTAATATAAAACGTCAATTCAAAATTACAAGGGAGTTACCCAAAATTAACTTAGATACATATTTAGAAGATTTGAAATGTTCAGATAGTGGAAAAGTGTATTGTAGTGAATCAGAGAAGATTAGTAAACAGCAATTACAGCAATTTGGAAAGTTGTTTAGTACAAATCAGGATAAACAAGCTAATATACATATTTTATCAAGTAAAATAGATAAGCAAGTTGGAAAAACATCGAGTAGTTATACTGTAAAACAAGAACATATTGAAAAGAAGAGAGATGTATTAAATTCATTTAAATCTGCAAGGGAGGAACTTGATATTCAACACTCTAAGGTGGGATTTGGTGGAAGTACTAATGTTTCAGATGAGAACTTAGTTGGTGGGCAGAAAAGGAAACTTGGTATGAGAAGAAGTGTAAGAGATAGATTTATTTCTCCATTACTGTCTAGAAGCAATAGGTAAGTATATAAAAAATTGTTGAAAACATTAATTTAAGCATTAAGTATATACATATAGATATTAGATGCTCAATACACTTGAAAAAATTACCAATTATATTTCAGTAATGAAGAGTTTGATCAAAAGAATGAAGATGTTCCAGTAGTTCACGAAAAATTAAAAAATATTGATCCTAAGATGGTTGAGCTTATCATGTCTGAAATTATGGATCAAAGTCCTAATATATCTTGGAATGACATTGCTGGATTGGAATTTGCAAAAACAGCAATTAAGGAAGCAGTTGTTTGGCCTATGCTAAGACCTGATATATTTACTGGTTTGAGGAGACCACCTAAAGGCATTTTATTGTTTGGGCCACCGGGAACAGGCAAAACTTTGATAGGTGTGTTATTTTTTCCTGCAAATCCAGGTTTGAGAGTAAATATTATTAATTTTTAGGCAAATGTGTTGCCTCTCAAAGTAAATCAACATTTTTTAGTATTAGTGCTTCCTCTTTAACATCAAAATGGATAGGGGATGGAGAGAAAATGGTTAGAGCCTTGTTTGCTGTTGCTAGAGTTCATCAACCCTCAGTGAGTAAATGTTTTCATTAAATATACAGGGTGTTCCACCTACGTATTTTTTAACGCGCCACCTACATATTTTTTAACTGGTTTGAAGAATAATAACTTTTCGTACATACCTGTATAAAATTACCGAGTAAGAAAATATATATTTACGACGTGTATTATGTAATAAAGGTCTCTTGCTAAATTTTAAAATTTAAAATCGAAATTATGAATACCTACCAACAAGACATAAATTAAACATTATGTCAATACCTACCAACGACTAATTAGTTATTAAACTGAAATCATAAATTTAAACAGTTTTCAACAAAAAAGTTCAACAGAAACCGTCTTATTATAAGTTTTTCGAAGAAAAATTTATGATTAAAAAAATAAAAAGTTCCCAAATTTATCCTTTCAGTCAAATAACTATCTACTCAACATGTTTATTTTTTGTCAATAATAACATGTATTGACTATTTCCATTCTAAATATCTTGAGAACGTTTGCCCGTCGCGGTTTTTACTAAGACATTTTTTATGTAAAAAATCAAGGGTATGTATATTTTTTCATTCAGTAGTTTTATACAGGTACGGTCGTTAAACAATTTACAGTTAAAAACAGTTAAAAGATATGTAGGTGGCGCCCCCTACAAATGGGAGCCATATTGACATCAAAATCAAATTTCTCATGCCAAAAAACTCCCAGACTCCAATTTTCATCCAAATATTGAGGTTACTTCAGAAGTTATTTGGAAAAAAATCATAATAAAAATGAAACTTCTACACCCTATATAACTACATAGCTAACTGCTGAATTTCGCCGAGTTAAAAATAAAGGAGTTTTTATTTTATTTATTTATTTATTTATATCTCTAAAACTAAGCATTTTAGGGCATACATTTATAGGAACTTTTTTACTTAATTTTATCTATAGAATATGCTCCCGAAGTTTCCGGAATACAGTGTAAAATTTTGCTCAATATAAAATTTCATTTTTTTTTAATTGTAGGTTGTTTTTATTGATGAAGTAGATTCCCTACTTACACAAAGAAATGAAACTGAACATGAGAGTTCAAGAAGGATCAAAACTGAATTTTTGGTCCAATTAGATGGTGCCAGCATTGATGCCGATGAAAGGTTGTTGATAATTGGTGCCACAAATAGGCCACAAGAATTAGATGAAGCTGCTAGAAGACGTTTCGTGAAAAGACTGTACATACCTCTTCCAGATTATACGGTAAGGGTAAAAACACTACAATATTATTTACCTACTATTTTATAATTGTAGGCACGACATGAACTCCTCTTAAAGTTATTTTCAAATGAAAAACATTTATTAATTAAAGAGGATTTTGAGAAAATTGCTCAACTTTCTGAAGGTTACTCTGGGGCAGATATAAAAAACCTTTGTTCTGAAGCATCTTTGGAGCCTATAAGGTCTATAGATTTTAATGATATACAAAATATTGAGGCTTCAGAAGTCAGAGCTTTAACAATGTCTGATTTTGAGAAATCTCTCAATAGAGTTAAACCTAGTGTCTCGCCAAATGATTTATTACAATATGTTAAGTGGGATCAAACTTATGGATCTGGAGGAAGTTAAAAAATATTTGATTGTATTTAGAATATATTTTTTACATTATATAATTAATATTTATTAAATTAAATTGAAAAAAAAAATTCTTAGTACATATAAATATACAGGGTCGCTGATATGTATGGAAACGGTCGATTATTGGGCAAAGTATACGAGGTCCCGCAAAAAATGAAATACCAAAGTTATAGGGTTTTTAAATGCCTAACATCTTGTAATAAACTTAAGTGTACAGGATCGGCCATAAAATCGTGGCACCTCAAAGATTAATTTTTTAAACGGAACCTCCTATTTATTATTGGGTATTTTAATTCTTCGTTCAATAAATCCAACCGTTTCCGAGATTTCCAGATATCGATTTTTAGTTTTGAAATGTTAAACGAAAATTTTGTAATTTCCAGACTTGATATAATTTAATTTTATACATCTATAAATGCTAACTTGAAAACTAATATCAAATATTACTAAGTATCACAGTTTCCGCAGAATGGCATCGTTAAATGAAACCGAACACATCGAAATTAATTAAATCAAATTCAAAAGTCAATAACTCGTAAAAGGTTGGTTTAAGGCACATTGTGTGTATTTCTGTTTTTGCTAAGAATTGAAGGAAGAATTGAAATTTGTGATAATATAGAGGGGGTTCCATTTCAAAAAAATGAAACTTTGATGTGCAACGACTTTATGACCGACCTTGTATACTTAAATTTATTACTCGCCAATAGACATTTAAAAACCGTATAACTTTTATATTTAACTTTTTGTGGTACCTCGAGTATTTTACTCAATAATCGACCGTTTCCATACATATCAGCGACCTTGTATAAATAAGCGTCCATTGGCTTGGAAATAACAATCGATGACATTCCCCATATAATTTTACATATTACTCTACAGCAATATCCATTTGAAGGCCTTTGCTGACGCCGTTTTTTTGCAATCATATGAATGTGCGGGATAGCTCTAGAATGTCTTAAGGTGCGTTCACACCGGCTGCGCCGCTCCCCTCAAATCATTTTTTTAACATATACTTTTGTGCGTGCTTAAAAAATACAGTTCAAAAATACGTGTTAAAAAATGTTTTGCGAATGTCTTCCGCGGCGCGGCGTGGCGCAGCCGGTGTGAACGCACCTCTACAACGCTTTCAGATGGAGCGGACAGCATGGATCCTATAATATCCTAGGAATGTGTAGAATAGGAAATAAAACAGATAGAATGAAAAAGTGTTTGAAATAAAGTTAAGTTTATGTTTAAAATTTATGAATAAAATATATTAAAAAGGTACATTTTGAATATAATAATTAAGACTAAATATAGCACTATTCCCAACCATCTCCCCAACCATCTTCATTTCCATTATCATTTGCACACAATTTACTATCAACAGATAAATCTTTCTCTTCTATATCTTCCAATAAATATTTATTATTTGTTTGGATTACAGGTTCCATATCTTGGAAAAAGTCCATGTCATTTTGTTCTTCAGACTTGGTAGTTTGATTTTTTATATCTAATTCATTTATATCTAGTAGTTTCTTTGGTTTGGACACTCTCAAAGGTAGATGACTATCCATTGGTTCCAAGTTAATTTCAGTTCCAGAAATATCACTATCTGCGTTTCCTTTATCAGAATTAGTCTCATTAACTTCTTCTGGATTATCCCAATCTTCCCAATTATCATTCTCTTCCTCTATAGATTGTTCAATATCTTCAGCTGATGATTCCCCCTCTTCACCATCAGGTCGTGGTCTTTCTGGCAATTCATTTTGGCTTTGCATCAACTCAACCATAGAACTAGTTAAACTAAGTTGATCAACATTAGAGTTTATAATTTCAGATACAATATTTTCTTGTTTAAAGTTTCTTGAATTTTTTCTTAAAGTTGGAAGTTCATGAGTCTTAGGACGATTGTCTTTAAACAGGTTTGCCCTCTTACCACCTATAACTGTTTCAGCACCCAGAATGGGAACAAGATCTGCTAAAATATGTAGCGTTCTGGAGACAAGATCATCATTTGTATCTTTTATTCCAAGTAACAACTGAAAAGTTATAAAAGTACATAAAATCCACTTACTTAAAATTAATGGAACAGCTTACCTCTGGTAGAATATACATTTGCAAATCATGTTTAGAAAAGCAGTTGAAGAAATGTGGCAGATATTCTAAGAGGGTTAAACGTATTTGGGCATCTCTAACTGAAAATATTTTTAATAATTTAGGTGAAATATGTTGTCGAAATGTATCCTCAGAAAACAATGCATCAGAATTTTCTGAAATAAAAAAAAAATGGTTAAGTAGATACTACATAGGTACATTGTTACATAACATGATGGTCTTACTGGTTACCTTTTCTAGGAACTAATAAAAATGGTAAAAAATGTTTTCTTGCAGTCTCATTAATAAGTACCATTCTAGATACCAATAGATCTCCTAGCTGGCATGCTATGACATTTTCATCAAATGTCTCTAATTCCTGTTTTAAAGTGGTAAAAAATTCAGTTTTCTCCTGTTCAGATTTTAACGGCAGTTCAATCAAATATGAATGAATATTTATAAATTTCTGTTTGAAAAACTCATGTTCTAATAAATTTTTTAAGGATGGTCTTTGGGATATATCAGAATTTTGTACTATATTTTTGCAGAATTCTTTGAATACTGTAACATTGTATATATCACCTAAAATAATTATCTAAATTAAAAAGCATACACTTTTTTTGTATTTTATCCACCTAATTTGTCTTCCTCTCTATTTTTAAATACATCCCTCACTAGAATACAAAATGCATATACATCTAAAAAATCCTTAGGGGTTTTGGAATGTTTAATGTGCTTGTCTTCATTAGTATCTATCGCTTTACTATATCTATAACTTCTAGATTTAATTAAAAACTCTGCAGATAAATCCTTGTATCGACAGAGATACTCCATTCCTCCTAGTTTCCATCCGCCTTCTCTATTGATAAAAATTGAAGTGTAACATATATTGTTATGAGACACCATAGCTTTTTCGTGAAGAAAACATAACGCCTTAAGTACTGAATGTAATCCAAGACATATTTCCATGGTATTCATTTTTGATATAACGTGGGATAATGGCCGTACCTCTTCTACAGCTAAATAATATTTTGTACCTTTGTGCCATGATGAAATGTATTTGATTATGCAAGGATGGCGATATAGCATTAAGTTCTAAAAACAAAGATTACATTTACTGTCCTCTATTCACGCAGTTGTGCAGCTCTGAACTGTTCAAGAACGTGATACTCTCACTCCATTCAATTAAGTCATAAAGTACAGAACTGTTCCGCGCCATATGGAGGCACCAGGCTATCACGCACAGCTCCTTTCAGAACCGTTCTCAAGTAGCCCAGGCCGTAAGCTCTGGAACTTGAAATTCGCGAATGGAGGACAGCAATTATGTAAATCTATTACACTCGGATAAATTATTCTTAATCTAAGGATAAACTATATAAAAAAAGTTAATTACTTTGCTAAATTTTTCTAGAGCAGAATTAGCACTCCAAAAAGGTTCATTAGCAAATAAGTCCCCGATAAATAATGTTATGTTCACATTATTATCTATACATGCACAATACTGAGACCAAAAATCAGAAACTTCAATAACTTTCTCTTCAATATCTATTCCGGGTATTTGCGAATGTTCGCTTCCCATTATTAAATTAATGTGTATTTTCAAATATTTTTATTTGAGATATTTAAAATATTTTTTAGGTTGCCTTCTATTGTTTCAATTTCTTCTATTTTGATTATGGGTCACCTTTTTGCTTCCAGGGCTATTCCGGACGTAGCCTACTTTGTTTACGTGGAATCCGAACTGCAGTCCTCGGCCACATCATGGTCAATTACTTATCGACTTGGCAAATGTCTAATATTGTGCGCGTTCAGGGAACACAGCGGCTGACCGACCGCTGAGTATTTTACTCAGCGGCTGACTGTTTTTGCGTGTAAAAAGAGACCGTTTAGGGAAACCGCTTACTCAGCCACTCAGCCGCTGACCGTCCTTGAACGCGCCCATTAACTCTTACTCACGGGATATCCCGGACATATGATCCCAGATCCAATCTCATCCGGCTTGTAACCGCCGTGAATGAGCAGTGGGTATACCGAGCAGTGTTATGGAACAACAGCACGACAGAGTTCTCAGACGGTTATCCGTGCATTCACTAGTATCGCCTTATGTCGCTTAAAGCCCCGTTCTCAGAACAACGTCGTGTCGCGGGCGACACAGTTTGACATTTCAAACAACCAATGGGAGCTGTACTAAATTTAAAATTGACAGCTGTTTGAATTTTGTACAAATCTCATTGGTTATCTTGACGTGTCGCTGTTCTGAGAACGGGGCTTAAGCCCCGTTCTCAGAACTGCGTCGTGTCGACAGCGACACTGATTGACACTTCAAACGACCAATGGGAGCTGTACTAAATTTAAAATTGACAGCTGTTTGAATTTTGTACAAATCTGATTGGTTCTTTTGTCGTGTCGCTGGCGACAGTCGCAGTTCTGAGAACGGGGCTTTAACTTCGCTAACATATTATATATCATCTTATCATATATAATATTCAATTATATATGATAAGAGGAATACAAAAACTGGCTTATAATTTAATAACTCGCGACCATAGAGATCCAAAAAGGAAGAAGATAGTAGCGCTGCCAGTAGTTGACAGTTGAGGTTAGAAGGAGAGGAACCAACTCCATAGAGGCGACATAAGCTATCGAGAAACGGTTTTATTATACAGGACCTGATTAAATTATTTTCGTATTTTTCATATAAGTAGTTGTGCGTTTAGTAATTAAATGTTAAGCATTTCTCTGTATATTGTAATTGGTATAATATATAATTGCTTAGTTATTTAATACTTTGTTAGAGGCAATTAAATAATTAAAACATGTCTCGATTTCTATTTTTGTAAAAAAATCTTTCTTTAATCAGTCTCTATTATATTCAACTACATATACCGAAGGATAAAAAAAACGGCGTCCAGTTGGCTTGAAAACGACGATCAATATCATCGATCGTCATTTTCAAACCAAACCAAACCCCATATAATTTTTCGTATAAAATGGAGTGATCCACCTTTCATAGCCACAACTGAGGCCGTTTTTTTTCTCGGTTGTATATGGTACTTATTTTACAGGAATAAGGCTATTTTGTTAGTTAAAAGTTTTTGTTTTAACTACGGTTTATTTTTCTACCTGTATACCTACTAAGATTTCGTATTTAAATATTTATTTACATTCTTTTTTAGCGTCTGTCCACCTTAGATTTTTCAACCATTTCCAATTATGGTGTATGCTACATATATATATATATATATATATATATATATATATATATATATATATATATATATATATATATATATATATATATATATAAATATATAAATATACCCCGCTGGCAAGCGAACCTTTGGGTCGGCGTTTACATGTATAGGAGTAGTGTGGGAGTAGTGAATCGTTATGGCAATCTAGTAAGTCGGAGTAAGCAAAAATACGAAGTATTTATTACATTACTACTTAATCTGACGCTAGATTCCATGCTTGGGAAAATACTCGCCTTCTGTCTTTATTCAGTACATCTTATTTTACTAAGCGTGTTGGCCGTACTCTTCGTACACATGAAAACCGGCACCCAAGACCAGAAAAGCCGACCCTTAGTATATAAAGTTAGTGCTTTAATTCTTAAATATATAAATTTACAAAATCAACAAAGTAAATTTACTACCTATAAAATTTTAACTACCTGTATTTATTGAAAAACATTTATTATTTTAATAAAATTTTATATCAGAGCATTTTAAATTTAGTATGTATATATACCTAGTATATATGTTACGGCCAAAATGGATACTTGGCTAGTTTTAAAACTAGCCAGCAATTTTTCAAACTAACTAAAAGCGCTGTTATTTTGAAGGAATCCGCCTATTCTTGCAAAATAGCAGGCAGCCAAGGGCTATTTTACAAACTAGCTGGTTAGTTTTAAAACTATATATTCGACGTATTGGTTAAACGCAACTACCATGTTCGATACAACCAACTTATCTCTTATATTATTTTCAACTATTCTCATTTTATCTTATTTAATTTCTTTGACTGTTTGAACCTACCTTTTCAGTAGTTATGTACTATACGGCTTTGCGGTATATATATTTCGTTATGTACTATACAGTTTGTGTTTAAAATTTGTTAAATTTTTTAAATAAAAATTAAATTTATTATTTTATCATCATATTTTCCTATACATCCTAACACTGTACATTAACAAACAAAAACAATTAAAATAAATTTTGTAAACTATCTAGTAAGTATGTAAACTAGCAGCTATTTTAGTAAACTGAGGTAAAATCCCCATCCTAACCAGATTTTGTAAATAGTTTGCATACTAACCAGATAAAATATAAACTAGCTGCGGTTGTCTGCTATTTTGCAAGAATAGGCGCCGGATTCCTTCAAAATAACAGCGCTTTTAGTTAGTTTGCAAAATAGCTGGCTAGTTTTAAAATTAGCCAAGTATCCATTTTAGCCGTAACATATATACCAATTTGGTCATTGAAATTTGGTAGTTAAAATTGAAAATAAAATTCTTTGATGTATTTAATCTACAAAATTTTTATCAAATAAAAACTACGGTATTATCGAGAAAAAAACGGTGTCAGCGATGGCTACGAGATGAAGATCGCTATGATTTTATGTGTAAAATTATATGGGGAATTATGTCGCATCGATGTTCATTTCCAAGCCAACTGGATGCTGTTTTTTTTTTCGATCATACGGTATATTAAATATCTGATTTTTATGGTCCCCAAAAATCCCATCCGTCGAGAAGTTTGGGTGTTTGTGAAGAGGAGAAACTGGCAAGCTACATCTGGCAGTGTTGATATGCTCGAAACACTTTTCTGATAGCTGTTTTGATAGAACTTTCTCTATATGTTGTCAGACTAAAGTCCGATGCTATTCCCACACTTAATAATAATATAAATAAAAAATAATGTATTTTTTTATTATATAGTTTACATCTTTTATTTCACATTATTCATTATAACAATAAGTAATAAAATATTTATTGCCAACCATCATATAATAATTAACATAAACGACGCCAGATTACTTTTTTGAAAGTTATCAAAAAAAATCTTAACCTGAGATAACTTAATTTGTTTTTTATTCGTGTTTACCATCTTTATTTTATATTTTATAGCATACAGTACGAGTTTAAATTTGTTTAATGATTATGAATATCGATTACGATTGTGGGATTGGAACAGAAGGCGCAAAATTGCCATTTACTTATTAAAACGTAGACGAGAACGGGTTTATATGTCATTTTATTAACTTTCAGTGGAACAAAAATGAAATGTCCCTAAAAATTCGCGACTGTGTGAAATAGGTCCAAATTTTACGAATATCTTTTGGCGAATCGCTTTCCGTAATTCGCGATTCGCGTCTACATGAAACAAGCTTAAAATAGTGTGGAAAATTCCACTGGGTTATATATTCTACTGGAATTTTCCAACTTCCATTAATACAGTCGAGAAGAAAAACTAATGCATTACTGGTTATTGTGGTCTCTACCTAACCAGTACCCATATCTACATAGCCATAGTATTTTCCCTGACTAGGAACCCATTCTTCACATGTCTTATGGCCATTTCATCCATGACCAGACCACACATTATTTCGCTCTCTGAAGCAGTAGATTTTAATTTTAATGCTTCAAATGTGTCGCTAGTAAATCGGGGCAATCCATTTACGGTTTGGTGCCAACGTCTTATTGTCCTCGTGTGAGGTAAACATGTATTAAAAGCTAAGATTAAAAGACCTTCTTCCTCCGAGGTATTCGGTACAGCTTCCGTAATGAGAGGATGAAATGACTATGAACTTGATACATCAACTTTTGGATTAAGCGTTATCCTGTAATAACAGAAAACCTTATTTTTATCATGTTATTCGAAAATTAAAATTAACAACATAATTTCTAGATAAATTAACAAATACTTTAGTTCTTTAGAAATATAAATAGAGAATAAAACCTGGGATATGTATACAAACAGGTAAATAAAAGTCGCCTTTTCTTACAAAAGCAATTTGTATGGGCAATTTGAAATTCCCCTGAAAATTATAAAAAAATACGAAATTTGTATAATATAATACCTGTAATAAGGTAAATAGACAGGTAAAACTTAAAGAAAAACATTATACAGTTATAAAAAAATAAAAAAAGACAAAAGAAAATTAAATAATCCTGAACTAAGAAGGATCGAAGTTTAAAAAAATAATTTGACTACAAAAAGACAATACAAAGGAAGTTTAAATTGCAAGTTGTAAAATGTTATTGGTTTGATATCAATATATACATACATACCTATATAAAAACAAATTTTATTAAGTAGTAAACTACTTAGCTGCCTATTATGTAGCTAAGTACAAATAATAATAGATTACACCAAAAAAAGTAATCTGGCGTCGTTTATGTTAATTATTATATGATGGTTGGCAATAAATATTTTATTACTTATTGTTATAATGAATAATGTGAAATAAAAGATGTAAACTATATAATAAAAAAATACATTATTTTTTATTTATATTATTATTAAGTGTGGGAATAGCATCGGACTTTAGTCTGACAACATATAGAGAAAGTTCTATCAAAACAGCTATCAGAAAAGTGTTTCGAGCATATCAACACTGCCAGATGTAGCTTGCCAGTTTCTCCTGTTCACAAACACCCAAACTTCTCGACGGATGAGATTTTTGGGGACCATAAAAATCAGATATTTAATATACCGTATGATCGAAAAAAAAACAGCATCCAGTTGGCTTGGAAATGAACATCGATGCGACATAATTCCCCATATAATTTTACACATAAAATCATAGCGATCTTCATCTCGTAGCCATCGCTGACACCGTTTTTTTCTCGATAATACCGTAGTTTTTATTTGATAAAAATTTTGTAAATAAAATACATCAAAGAATTTTATTTTCAATTTTAATGACCAAATTTCAATGACCAAATTGGTATATATGTTACGGCTAAAATGGATACTTGGCTAGTTTTAAAACTAGCCAGCAATTTTTCAAACTATATATATATATATATATATATATATGTATATGTTTATTTTCCGTTTTTTTTAATTAAAAAATATTAAGGTTATTAGTGTTAGATACACCATAGTAAAGAAAGTTTTAATTTTAGTTTTGTTGAAACATCTTTAAACAACTTTCAACTAAAAATTCATTTTTACCAAAATATTTTCAATCCTATATAGTTCCACTCATTTTACACAGCATTTTCATTTTCCCGAATATTTCTATGTGTCGAAATGAAAAAAAAATGTAGGTTTTGTAGTTAACTTGGTTAATTAATTTTTTATCTAAAAAAGTTGAGATCATTATATTGTATAAAATTAAATTTTCCAACGAAGTTTCTGTAATCCGGTCCTGCTAAAGCCGCCATATTGGTGCCGGCTTAAGCCACGCCTAGTGATATTGTTCGCAAGCCCTTTAAATGCCGAGAGCTTCTCCCACTTCCCATTCTCCCTGTTTGTCGTAGTCGGTAGTCGACCATCTGTCAAACGTCAGTTGTCAGTCGTATATTTCTGAAATTGTTGATTTTTAATATTTTTAACATTGTTCAGTGTTGATTAGCTCGCGATTACGCGTTACTGTTTTTGATTCAGTAAATCATTATACTCAGTTCACAATCTTCCTTCTTCTGTAATACAAAAACATACCACTTTTATAAAATTCTGTAATGGGTTGTGACGGTGGAACCATACCACGACGAGATGAATTGGTGAAAGTTAAAAAGAAGCCCGAACAAAAAGATAAAGACGCCGAATTAACAGCTTTATGGAAGTGTTGCGCAATAACTCAGCAAGTTCTACAGGAACCAATTGTTGTGTGTCATCTGGGAAAACTGTACAGTAAAATGGCCTTAATTGAAGCTCTACTGGATAGAAGAAGTTTGCCAGAGGAATTCAGGCATATCAAAACTTTGAAAGACGTTCAAGATGCAAACCTTACAAAAAATCCCGAATATAAAAATGAAGATGACAAAAAAGAAGGTTCGGTTGATCATCGTGCTTCGCCATACATCTGTCCCGTTTTGGGCTTGGAAATGAATGGAAAATTTCGATTTGTTGCGGTGTGGGGCTGCGGATGTGTGTTTTCTGAAAGAGCTTATAAGGAAATAGGAACAAAAAATTGCCACAAGTGTAATAAACCTTTTGAAGATGATGATATTGTTATTATGAACGGGACAACAGATGAAGACATGATTTTAATGAAACAAAGAATGGAAGTTAGACAAGCAAAAAACAAGAAAAATAAAGAAAAGAAAAAAATTAAAGTCGAACCAGGTACTTCAGGCTTAGTAGAATGTGAAGATAAGACCATAAAAGGAACAAAGAGATCATTTATGTCGAAGGCTGATGATCTTTCTAAGAGGCTAAAAACAGGACCTTCTAATTCTATGTCGTTATCCAAAATTGGTAATGTCATAGCATCAGGGAAAGCAATAAAACCTGAAGAAATAAAGAAGATGGCTTCTAGTTATAGCATAGCAAATGATAAGAAAGCTACAGATGTCTACAAGTCCTTATTCACTACACATAAGTCAGAAAAGGAACAAGATAGAGCTCATTGGATAACATATAATCCATTTTATAATTGAAAAGCATTTTACTAATATGTTTATTTATTTTTAAGAGTACATGTATATTTAGTTATAGATATTTTAGGATTAATAAATAATATTTAAAATTCTTTGCAAATATTTTATTTATCTCTGAATATAAAAATATCACAGTTCTTTCCTATACAACAGTTAAAGCTCCTCACAAATTTTCTAGATTTACTTTCATATATTCCACTCCATTCCCATATACAAATATATTTAAACTATTTTCATCCTCTAAACAATCTAAACCTTGTTGATCAGCTATTGCAGAATTGTATTTGTTAAGGTGTTTAACAGTAATTTTATTATTCGATACACACAAAGTACCTAAAACTACCCTTTGATCTATTGAACTAGTCAAAAATATGTTATTATTTATATATGCTCCTGTTATTTGAGCACAGTGAATACCGTCTTCAACAAAATTGTCCAGTAATTTTATTTCCAGTTTGTTATTAATTGGAATGATCTCAAATAAAGTAAAAACTACCGAATTATCATCACCGCATGTCATTAGTAACAGCTTGTTATTATTTATAATTCTATAACTGGTACTACTAATTCCTGATTGATGAATTTTAAACCCTGAAATTGGGTTTATTTTTTTTTCATTAATTATTTCAAATGTATTCCAAAATACTACATGTCCATCAGTAGCCATACTTACTAGAACATTTAATTTATTTATAGAAACATTTAGAAGTTTTGTTATACAAGTATGTTTGTAAGTCAGAGTTGTTTTGTAAGTCATAGTAAGATTATCATCAACTAAATATATTTTAATATAACCATCCGAACAACCAGAAAACAAGAATATTTCATTATTAATTATAATAATAGCCAAGTCCATTATTCTGTTTTCAGCTTCATCTTCTCTCAGTGGCTCATAAAAATTACCTTTTTCTGAGCATGTTACTATAGGGAAGTTATGGTCATTAAATTCTATAGAAAGATGCCAAGAGATTATCTGAGCCCTACCACCGGCAGAAAATATCATATATTCATTGATTTTATTTATCAGGTTACATACACTAATAACACGAATACTTGATAAATGCACTTTTGAATTATACAATAATTTTATATTTGAGTTATTATCTAAAACACTGATACGAAGAACTGTGTCTTCTCCTCCAGAAATAAGAAAAAGTTGCTTTGAAATCACAATGCTTTGTATAGAATTAATCTCTTTTACGTGATACCCCTGAATAATATCTTTCGGTGTGTAATCATCTAGATTTGCTTCAATTAAATTTAGTGATTTTTGCTTTATGAAAGCAAACATAAAATTTCCTTGGGAATTAAGGAAACTCCAAGACCTATGACCACCTCCACAAAAGTATTCAAACAATACTCTTTGAAACTGATAATCGGAAATAATAAAGTTATTGGCAGAGAATGCAATTAAATAATTTTCTTCTAAATATGCCAACCAAGATAGCTTTGTTTTGGTTGATTCTATACAAGTAAGGAGACCATTGTAAAATATGTATTTTTTTAAAACACCATCTTTTCCTAATGATAGTATATTATTATTACGTGAACATAAATATGATACACCTAAATTACTGTGTGCTTTTTTACATGAATTTAATGGAGTTTCCTGTCCAACAACATAGTTATAAATATTCCCTTTTCTATCGCCAATTACAATATGCTCATTAAAAGATATCGCACATGTTGACCATCTTTCTTTGCTATAAGGCAAAACAAATCTTTGTATGATACATACTCTCTTCTTATAAATAACACATAGAGACATTTTTCCTTCATTTTGGCAAATTAAAAAAGTTCTGCAGTTGAGCCAATGAAATGAATAGATTCTTTCACAATTTTTTAGAATACATTTAGTGAGCTCTTTAAGTACATTGTTTATTTCTTGATATATATAAATTTGGCCAGAAAATCCTGCTAAAGCAACCATTTTTCGACAGCTTGATACAGCCATAATGTTGTAATTCTGAAGGTCTTTATGTATAGCAATTTCATTAATTTTTTCAAGTTTCTTATTATAGACGTTAAATACTGCTTTCTCTGTTATACTAATAATATTTTGACTAAATAACAAACCAACATGTTTAGGGTTTTCATTCTGTAGTAAAGATATAACTGTTGTTTTTTGTGTGGCTGATATATTGAATTTTGAAATTGCACCATTATTACCACCAGAGCATAATATATTTTTGCTGTGATTATATGCCAATGACCATACACTTCCCTGATGATTATCAATTTTCCTTAATAAACCACCTTTAAAATCCCATATTATTAGTGAAGAATCCTCACCAGCTGTGACAAAGCCATCTTCAAGAATACAACATCGAAATACCCTGGATAAGTGCCCATAAACTTGACATGAAATGTTAATTCTTAGATTTTCCGAGTTATGCTGATTTATTTCTTCCAAACACTCTTTATTCAATATTTTCCATAATATAGCTGACCTGTCATCTGAAGCAGAACAAATACAACCGGTCTTCTGGTTGTAGTCTATATTAAATATTACACCCTAAAAATGTGCATTTGGATAATAAAGACCACATAAAAAATATTAAAGCTTACATTATGATGTTTCAGTCGAGTTAATACTGGAGATTCTCCATTTGAATTTAAAACATGTGGTTTCCAAAGCAAGATGTCACTGAACACTGTTCCAGAAAGAATTAACATGTTCTCTGTATAATCATGACATATCTTTGCGCTGTACAATATACACTTTTCTTCACATTTTGCTGTCCACAATTTAACAAAGTTTTCTGACCAAACTGTAACTTTATTATGCATAAAAATAGTAGCAATATTTCTATCATTATCAATCCATTTTGCATCTAAAATCCAATCTGATAATAAGTGTGACTGCTTTATTATTAACTCTTTAAGGTTTTCTAGATTTGATATGATTGCTATATTCTTTCCTCCATATATTATGCTTTCCCGCCTGTTTGCAGAAGTAATTATACCATAAATTTTATGACCTTCAAATATATTTCTTCTGCATAGTAAATTATGTGTATTCAATTCAAATATATGTAAAAATCCGCCAATTCCTAAAAGAACATTCGTTTAACAGTAAAAAGTTGGATTTCTAAACTCTTCGAGGGTATTCGTAATTTATTATTTACCTGATAATAATAAATTGTTGTATATGTGTAGTGATGTTACATCCGTTTTAATTGTTTTAGAATTAAACATTATTGTTATAATCGGTAAAAAAAATATGTAAAAAGTAAAAATAAGAGGTTAAAAATAGGGGGGTTAGGTTAAATCACAGGGTTAAATATCTTCTTCTTTTTTATCATTTAACCGGCGTAAGCTGCTAGGACTGTTTGATCTATGTATAAAGATCTCAGTTGTATTGTAATAATCATATACTTAGATAGTTTATATATGATCCAACTACATATTTGACATTTTTCTAGCGCCTTTTTGAAACAATTTTGAATAGCTCTTTATTCATTTCTGAATCTTTTAAAATTGTGTTTTTATTTATTAAAATATGTATTAAACAAATAATGCAAATAATATCTTGTCGTTGTTATGAAATAGGATATAAATAGAAACGTTTTATGATTCTCACATCACACTCTACTATTTATTTTTATTATCATATGTAGTTAAATTAATATTTAAGTTTAAATATAATGTTTTTGTACTTCGCGTTCATGCGGTTCGTCGACTGGTCCGAAACAGTACGCTGATAGATTTCGTCAATCGTACATTTATTTCTATGTTACTTTTATCCCTGTTTATATATTCTTATATATACAAGGCTTTTATCTATATATTAAAATGCTAATGTTTATCTGTGTCGTCTCTACTGATGTACCGATTTGCTCTAGAAACTTGCTTTTTTTACTAAAAGATGCTAATTGGCTCTTCTAAAAACTGTCGTCGCCGGATTTTTTGTTTTTCATTTAATTAAAAAAAAAGTATTTTTTTTTCTTGATGTCGTACGTGGCGGATGCGCCAGGCTTCAACTAGTATACTGTGGTATAATATATAAAACTATATGCTTTCAGCAGACTACTTTCAGCTTCTCGGCATCACCACATAACAGCAACCTTTATTTTCAAGCTAACTCTGACACTGATTTTTTTTTCTCGTACGAAAAACTTAGTTACAGCGGCATAGTGTGGTGTCAAGGGGATGTAATAAGTAATTGCAATTAACATTTTACCAACACAATATTTTTAGCCGACCATACCAACAGGTATGGCAGGCTATTAAGATCGGCAAATTTTTTTTTTAATTTCACTCAAAATGAGTTATTTGGGTCATGAATGACCTAAATACAAAATATTTTCATGGTGTCTGTCTGTCTGTCTGTCCGTCTGTAACACGATAACTCAAAAACCGCTAAACCGATTTTAACCAAATTTGGCACAAAAATACTGTGGCACCCGAGAATCTGGCCATTAGTTTTTGGTGGGGGTGGGGGGTTGGTAAGGGGGTATGGGAGGGGGTTAAAAATTTAAAAAAATCGTATCTCCTAAATTACAGTAGCTAGCGAAACGCGGTTTTCAATTTAAGATTAGGAATAATATTTCCAACAAAATTTGTAATAACATCAAAATCAGTCAAAGTCGCAGTTTTTGAGATATTCCGTGTTTCCGTAGTCCGTTTTTGAGAAAATCGTTGTGGAGAACTCCAAACTCCCATCGGACGCGACCCCAGGTGGCGGATGGGGGAAATAACCGCGGACCAAAATTGGAAAGATTCCTTTACTTTGAAACTAAAAGAACTGCCTACCAACTTTTTATTAACATATTTTATTATGGGCGGCTATACGTATGTAATAGGTATGGTAGGCTATTAAGATCGGCAAAAAAAAGTTTTTTTAATTTCACTCAAAATGAGTTATTTGGGTCATAAATGACCTAAAATACTACACATATATACCTACAAAATATTTTCATGGAGTTTGTCTGTCCGTCTGTAACACGATAACTTGTTGTAACAGAAACCACTGATCCGATTTTGACCAAATTTGGCACAAAAATACTGTGGCACCCGAGAATCTGGCCATTAGTTTTTGGTGGGGGTGGGGGGTTGGTAAGGGGGTATGGGAGGGGTATGTAAATCAATTTAAAAAAGAACTAAATTCAGGCAAAAAAAACCAAGGTGTAAACGTTATCTGTTGGATAAAATATTAGACAAGACCAACGAAAGAGTGCCTTTTACAACCACATTCTTTGACAAGGGTTCTTTTTTACTTTTATACACATTTTCACTAAAATGAAAAATACACGATTTTAATTTAGTATTAATATTCAAAATATGCTTTGGAGGTCTTTCTACAATAGTTTTTAATTTTTCTGAATACACCATAGAACTGAAGGATTATTGCAAAGTTATTTTTCTATTTTACAGCCGCACTTAGAATCGGTCATGGCGACGCGAGACTATGTTTTTTAGTTTATACTGCGAACGAGATGTGTTTAAAAGACCGCATTACCCACTGACTAAAATAGTGACCGAAAGCGTAACCACCGTAATAACAAGGCCGGACAGCTTATTCGTGACGTCATCAACTGGAGGCCTAAACTTTGATTGCATTTGATACACTTTATAGTATATAATGGATATAAACTTTAATTGCACCGAATTTTTAATAAATAATAATTAAACATAAAATTTAAAAAACATTAGATTGATATCCCATCTCACATTATCCATCGTCATTGTATTTATTTATGCTGTAAGTGTGTCTAAGTTTCTTTTATTTCCTTTTCCAAGTCTATAATTTTTTTTACAACAGTAGTTTTTCAGACGTGTATTTCTAATAGAATTTATGACAATTTTTACAATAACTTAGCATTATAAATAGTACATTGCGGAAACTTTAATAATGGTGTTATTATTTTTAATGTAATGCAAAGGTATTTTTGATAAAAATATTTTTTTAATGTGAATTTTGAGAAACTCCTCATGGCTTTGCAAAACTTTGTTAAAAATTATATATTCAAATAAAACTATATTAGTTATTTCATCTTTTGGAAACCCAAGACTGCCTTTAGTAAGGTTTTTTATAAGTGTATTTTTTTTTAATATCAGTGTTGTCTGAAAATGTTAAATTATTCTTACATGTATCGCATTTAATTTCCTTTAAGACAATATAACAGCAATATCCTCCTAAATAAGCAATAACAGGCCTTTCTTCTTTCACACTTTCGATATCTTGTTCAGAAATAGTCATGTCGATGTTAAACCAATCTGATTCGATGGTACTTGTATCGCGTGGTATTTCTTTAGACAAGGTATTGTCATCATAAAATCATAAGAAGTATCGATTTTTATAAAACCAAAACAAGTAGATTTTAAGGACATTAATGACTGAATCCTAAGTTTCTTTATGCCTTCATATAAATGTCGAACACAAATATTGTACTGACTTCCAGCTAAGTTAATAACTTTAATATTGAACACAGATAAAAGTTATAAATTTATTATTTTCATTGCATTTTAAAACTTCCAAATATATCTACTGAGTGAAAAAAAAATCCACAATTTGACCTTTTATCGAGTAATTATCAACGCTGCTAAATAGAGTCACGCCTCCAGTTGATGACGTCACAAGATTTTTACGTCACAGCTGTCCGGCCTTGTAATTTTACGGTGGTTACTATGTGGCGTTCGGCTATGTTCAAGATGTAATAGAGGACAGTCGCATCATCGCTCTGTCGAGATATTTCCGCTTTTAGCGGTTAGCGTATAGGTTTTAGTCTTATCTATAAATCTTGACCAATATACACATTAAATAATTGAAATTGAATTTAATTATTTGAATAAATTTACTCAAAATTTTAATTTATTATAGAAGATATCAGTGACTTTTTTTTTAAATAAAAACGTATTACAAAATTTTGAGGGGATGCGACGCATATCACCCGCATCAATTGAAGTTCGCCGCTGTTTGCTTATACAGAAGTCTTCAAAAATTGAGTTCTCTACAACTTCAGTATTCAAACATTGCCATTAATTTTTATGAGAGAAATATTTAAATACTTGAACAATAATTCCGGCACGCTGTTCCTCTAACGTTTAGCAATTTTTGTTAATAGCAATTATTATATTACATTATTAGTATTAATAAAAATTGATTATTCTTCAATTTATACATTATTCAAGAAAATATGTAATTTTCATGTGGAAAAAAACTAGCTAAATATCGAATGACTAGCGGTTCGATGTTTGTTGTAAGTAAACGTTACCATGCCTTCAAAGGGAGTTAGGGAGTTAAATCAATATGATATAATGTTATATTATTACTCAGGCATTGTAATTTCCCGTGGTTATAGATGGTTATGTTGGATCATCAAAAATTCACCCTTTCTGTAAATAAATATTAATACGGTTTCATTATTCATATTGATATCAAGATATTGCTTGGCAATATTTGTTCGAACAAATAAAATATAAAGTATGCTAATATTTCTATACAGCATGTTTATTTATTTACAGCATTATCTTATATACAGGGTGGCGCACCACATTCACCTCGGTCGATTATACGAAAACGGAAAGATGTAGAAACAAAAGTTTTTAAGGGTCTATGTAGAAAGGCAATGTGCATAATTTAAAATTATTTTCAAATGTACAGGGTGTGTCAGAACTAAGATCCATACCACAGTTATATATTTTTTCTTATGGAACACACCCGGTATTTTATTTCGTTTTTGGATTCTTGGGCATAAAATAAGGCATTTAGCATAAGGGTTTAATATGTTTAAATCCTTTGGTTTTTGAGATATTTAAAGATATTTAAATATGCATGCTATAATAAAAAATATTGTCACAACCAAACCAAACACCCTGTACATTGCTTTTCAGAATTAATTCGTGTGCTGACTTTGAAGACAGAGAAATAAACTTTACAAAAAAAAGTTATTGCTTCTTTAAATGTATACAGGGGTATCAAAAATTGCTGGTCTATTTTAAATATGTATTTTACATAAAAACTTCTTTATTTCAAATACAACACTATGTATTTTTTAAAATAAGGCGAAGCAGATTTAAATGCTCTTTCAAACTATATTAGGGTTTCCTATACCTATCTGGCTCAGATTTTGAATAAAAAGCGATTTTTCAATAAAATGGCAATCAAGATCAAGATGGCTGGTGTCGCCATGGCAATTTGCTAGTGACAGTAGCTATTTTCAAAATCGACATTAGTTTATGTATTTTATTTAAATTTATAACAGTTTACTTTTATTTAATTTACCTACAATAGTTTAATAAGTAAGTATAGTAAAC